TGTGACCAATGCGCAGAGCCAAGTGCAGTGGTGTGTTACCCAAGTCGTCCCGTGCGTCTATCCGAAACGGACTATGATTGAATTCTTTGGTGACATTGAAGAAAAACTCCGCCAAGCCATCGGCATCGTCGTATCTATCGCAAATGATATGCAGAGGAGTTAATCCCTCTGCATTAGCTAAATTGGAATCAGCGCCTCTCTCTAGCAGCCATTCGACTAGCTTATACTTGTGACCAATGCGCAGAGCCAAGTGCAGTGGTGTATTACCCAACTCGTCCCGTGCGTCTATCCGCAACGGATTATGATTGATTTTTTCGTTGACCTTGAAGAAAAAATCCGTCAAGCGATCGCCATCCATGTACCTTTGGCAAATCATATGCAGAGGGGTCTTTCCCATGTCGTTGGCTACATTCGGATCTGCTCCATATTTCAGCAACAATTCAATCAACTGCTTGTGCTTCCAGATCAGAGCCCAGTGCAGTAGCGGCATTCGGCTCATTCTAGGTACGAGGAGGCTATTCGGGTCCAGACCGAGCTCGAGGAATTTCTCGACGACGTCATAGAGGCCGTACCAGCAGGCTACATGAAAATGTGTGACGCCGTCGCCGTCGTCGTCGATGTAATTCACGTCGAATCTGTCGTATATTTGAAATAGATAATTTAGAACATCAGGACAGGCGACCACATTAGCAGCGAAATGAATCGGTGTGGTGCGATGCACAATTATCTTGCCTCTTTGATCTACCTTAGGTTCGTCCTTGTAGCCGGTGTTGATCACAAATCTGATGAGTGGATTATTAAGGTTATTACGGGCTTCATACTGTCTTATGGACTCCCTGAGAAGCCACTCAACAGCTTCGGGCCGAAAAATGTCTCGCAGATTCGGGAGTTGACCCTCGTAATCTCTAATCAAAGGATAAAGTTTACGAAGAAATTCGTCATTCTTTGTTACTTGGTCCATTGTTTTCACGCACTCACGCAAACAGAATTGCTTATAATGCAAAATACACAATTACAAATTCTGTATCTTTCTTTTGTCGTTCACGCTTCTGCGTCGTAACGTGTACTGACTGTAATATAATAATTCGCTTCGTGCGTGTGCTTCGAGCCGATAAAGAAAATGATCGTATCGCTCTAAGTGGAAAAGATAATAGAAATTCCGACGTTATTCGGGCAGAAGCTACATTTCGAGCTTTCTGTACGAGCTAAATTTTTAACTCAAACAAAAAAGTATCGAAATGTGCTAAGAAAAGAATAAATTTTCTGATCGTGTGGTCGGATTTTCCGCAATGTTTGGTTTTCACCGGATAAACCACGAATTTCGGGCATTTACTCACGGAGAGAAACTATTACTTTTTCCACATTGTTCGCACACCCGAATAGGCCTTGAAACGATCGTTTCTTAGTATAAAGTGTATAAAAAAATATTTTTAGGATGATCTCATTTAAAACGTTAATCGTTATCGTTGCATCTTCATTGCTCCGATGATGACTATAAAGAGATTATTTTTCCAATGATGCGAACCTTTCGATGTATATAATGTAACTGGTAATCAATACGTACGATTGAATTTGAAAAATGAATATTGAAAAACAATTTAATTCAAAATTAAATTATGAAAAAATTATAAATAGTGGTAGAAAAACGAATTTGTATGCTTCAGTGATCAAAATCAGTTCAGTGATATAACCCTTTGTTCAAAGATAATTACCTGTAATCTAAAGATATGAAAGATGTTTAAACCCGAAATATTGCACAACTTTCGTAGAGTCTAGATTTTTATATCTACAAGTGGCACTTATGCCATTATTTTTTCAGCACACAATCGTGGGTATTTCTTACATTATGACCATATCAATCTATATCAAAGAACACTTGGTGCTCTTATGCCTAGCTATATAAAGACTCGATCAGTGATAAACTACCATCTTTTAATAATTTCATGAATTATAAAATTATGACACGAGGCTAAAATTTGTTACAAATCGATATGTACTTTGAAATATATTGCCACGCAAATACAGCGTAATATTCCGTTTTTTGAGCTTGTTATCGATGTATCTTTCAGAATTTTCAAGGGCATAAGTTCAAAAATCAGCACCTATTATCGGTCACTATCTGCCGGTCTACGTTGACAATGCGGAACTGCAGGCCTGCTCAGTGCCCACGTGTAAACGTGTAAAGTACGACCCTCGTCCACCACCTCGCTGCGGGTCAAAGCTCGTCGTGTTAGTGAGCACATTTGGCAGTATTTTTTACAAAGTCTAGAGTAATTAATGCTACATATTTTTCATATCCATGTGCTTTTATATTTAAAAAAGAATACTATTGCAAAAAAAAAACACAAAAAATAAAATTTAGCGCTAAATGTCATGAATGCAAGAACATTTTAAACGGAAGTTACAAACAGTCGTCCGATAAGTATGAATTTCATATTAGTATTCGAGATTCGAGTCTAATTGAGCACTTCGAGAAAGGACCGATGTCTTGTCACGTAAGGAAACGTCATGAGGAAAAATTACTCCACGTTAAACCTTTAAAATTTCAAAGAAAACTGGAGAAAATCCACACGGAGTTCCCTTATGACGTTGTTTTTGGCACTCGGCAACAAATGGAAGTGTGGAATTAGTCAAGTTCAACCAGTCAAAACTTATTAGTCTCAAAGATACGATATTTATAGATTTTTAATGAAAAAAAAGTTTTATTCTTCAGACCCGTTGTTATTATTTTTAAGTTAAAATTTATAGGTCGGTAAGTTAGCACCCAGTTTTAAAAAATGCGATTCAATCATTTTTATTAATATGTCTCGTTATCGCGTAAAAATGTACGATAAGCTGTATGATTTTACGTTTGTGCGTTAAACATATTTCGTAGAACAGTGTATTTTTGAAACGGGTGCTGAAATTCCAGCTCTCTGAAGAAAACACTAGTCACCTAGCTCCAAAATTTTTTTACTGATTCTGCGGAAAAACCTATTCATGCCCAGGGTATAAGTGTTTGTAACTTAAAGGCTGAACTTGCCTACTTCTTTTAAGGGTAAGACAATTTAAGTAGTGCGCCACCTAACGGTGACACGTCTACCGTTCACAAGTGCCGTGCTACGTACGGGCATATGATTCCTGTATAAACTTTTGCCAGATGGAAGGTAATAAATTACTGAAAAAGATGGTTTTTGTGCCACCCCAACCTAAAGTAACATTTTACTACCGCTGAGCAAAACCAAAATGTTACTTTAGGCTGGGGGATTCACAAGACTTTCCAGTTTTTCACTCCGTAGGTGCAAAATATACCATTATTCTACGAAGCGCCAATTCGTGGTTCAGTATGTTGAATTCGGACATCGTAACTATTGTACTTTCGAGTCTACATACAACGAATGCCATACGTATAGGCGTTAGACCTATGAAAAAAGTATCTTTCCGTTTTGAAATTCGGGTCGAAACAATTGTAGTTTTCTTTAAAAAAAAGTCGTGTCTAGTTTGTTTCGATCGTTTATTACTTTTCAACTTTAACTCGCAGTTCGATTCTGAAGTCTAATTCTGAGAGAGGATTAAATTTCGCGTTAGGTTTAACGAACGAAAAAATCCGATAATGATCGAGTCCGACTGTCATTCTCGCGGGCGCATAATAAATACACGGCAACGCACAACGCGCGCGCCTTTCGCAGAGCCAAAAGATATTGCGCAATCGTCGACTTTTCTCTCTTTCTTTCTCGGGGGGGGGGACCTGTAAAAATATATAATACATGTATATCTCGTTATCGCACACAAGTATAATACATAATACCCGGTCGGATCTTACGCATTACAATATATATATATCGCCGGTCAAGAGTACACAAGTCGTTGCTGGTGCACGTATACATATACTGAGCGCTACACGTTGTTACGCGTCCGGGCCGCGATTACGTGTCGAGGAGGCTGATTAATGGATCGGTAATGGAGATCGCGATCGGTACCGAGTTCGAACTATCGACAGTAAAAAAAAAAAATGCATACGGAGAGATTGGCTGCATTAACTTCCTGCTGCTGTAGTTTAACAACAAAACCTCGTCCGTATTTCGCGTCGATTCTCGAACGGAAATGTTGTGATCGTTAAAAAAAAGAGACGTCATCTGTCCTTTTTTTTTCATTGTTTTCTAAATTAATTTAACTTTTGTAAAAACGTACAATGGGTTCTTAATTACGAAATCTAGTTTCAGAATAACTTTTTTGAATAGACAGAGAACTAACTTCGAATATCGAACTCTTTTGGTCGATAAAAACAATGAATTAACAATCGCGACTTGACGATTCGACATTCTTTTGTTTCAATTTTTGTTTTTAATCGAATACGAAAATCGTAGCAAATACATCAATTTTTTGTATTGATCGAGCTTTATCGAGACGGCGTCTTACAATCGATCACTGCATCGGACACCTGCAAGTACCAATAAAAGCGTCCACTAACAATCGAAGCACGAACAAAGCTTGAAAAGAACGAAACTTGCTGATTATTGGAAAATGGAAGTCTCCTCGAAGACGAGGAAAAAAGCAAGAAAAAACGAATCACGAACGAGTCGAAGAACGAGTCGATATTGATTATCCGAAACGATCGCCGAGGAGTACACATCTACATGTCACATAATACATACATAAACATAGCTTGCCGAATTCGCGTGGCGATCCGATGTATTAAATTAGTCACGCGAGAATGTACCATGTGTCTCTCTCTCTGTGTATGTGTAAACACATTATTATTACATTCGTCGTTGAAACATAAACATCTCGGGAAGATATTATCTTTCGTAAAAAAAAAAAGAGGAAAATGTGTATCGCCTCTCGGTGTGAACTTCATTAATAAACTTGGTTTGTCGCCGTCGTCGATTCTTACGCGTATATATACATCGAGCGAGAATATAATATCCACCCGACGCACGAGCGCAAAGTCCGTTTTGGAGGGGTAGGCTGGATCAGTACGATACACACACACACATATACCTACACACGTGAGCCGCTCGTAACGTTGAAATTCGCAAACATACACACACGCACACGCGCATAGACACAATATACACATTTGTAATAGCTCCTAGCCGCGGGCTGGATTCAGTTTCGCGCGGACACTCGTCGTGTGTCGCAGGCAACGATATTATCCGTTTTTCCGTGCCCTGCTGGAGATCGTAAATCCTCCCTGCCAGGAAGGAGAGCGCGAGTGAGAAGTTTGGTGCTTGCGGTGCGAAAATCGCGACAAAGTTATAATTTCGTCGGGCCCTTTTGTTTTACATACGCGACGCGATATGTAAAGATCGAGAGACGCGTGTTTTTTTCTTCTTTTTTTTTGAACGGGGTCCGGAGCTCTTTTCGCCACTGTGATATACGTAAAAAAAAGAAAGAAACAAATGGAAGTACACGCGGTCGTGGTTCTGTGCGCGACTCTGCTCGTCCTAGCGACCACAGCCAGGGCAGAAGCATCAGCAGCAGCAGCAGCGGTAGAGGCTACCGATATGGAAGCGGAAATCCTTCGCAGGACACTGCCGGCCTACGGATTGATGGTGAAATCGGCGGAAATGTATCGAGGAGTCCAGCAGGACGAGGGCAGCGCGGCCTACTACGACTACTACGAGGAGCACGAGGCCGAGGAAGCCTCGCTGCTCTGTCGGGCCGAGCTCGAGGTCTTGCGCAGGGCGGTGGACGATCGCAAGCCCTGGGCGCTCAAAAGTAAGCAGCAGGACGACGAGATCGGTAGCGCACGAGCTTGGATGATTTTATTTTTTCCATTTCTCTCTCCCTTTTTTTTTATTTTTTTTGTAATCGTGCAATTGGACGCAGTGTGTCACCGTGTTGGTGCAATACAACAATCGTTCGGATAAGTGATTCCTCGATTACGTATACTTCCGCGATTGACAATTTCGATTTTTTCTCGTTTTACGAAATATCGAACCCTCGCGCTGTCATTATAATTTCGTAAATGCGATCGAGCGCAATAGTCGCGTCTCCTTTTCTTTTACGGAACGTATATATAATATTATCGTCGCGTCCGTTAACGGTATATACGCGTTCGATCCTAGATTTGCGCAAAGTCGCGAACGGACGGACGCGATGAAACAATTCGCTATTTTTCGTTTAATAATAATATATGTAACGATGTACCCGTACGAATGTACAGGACCGATCGCCGCAGCTCCTCTACAGCCTAGCTCGTTTGTCGATTCCGCTGTGTCATATAATTCGATTCGTTCGTTTTTTTTTCCAGCTCTTCTTCCTTTGGATATCGCATATATATATAATACGTACGGACGTACGCGTGCCGCACAAGGGGGAATTTGATAAAGATAAAATGAAAATGAAATGCGAAAAAAAAATAAATGAACGTTCTTTCACTCGTGACGTAACGTAAAAAATGCGAGCGCGCGATGACCCTGATCCTCTAAGTCTCGACTCGACGACGAAAAATATAGAGAACGTGCTCGCGCGCACACGCGTATCGATGGTACGCATCGTCGCGCCGTAAAAAAAAAACCTTGAATAATCCTCGTTTCGTTATCGTCGTTATTACCTCTATTTTGCGGATAACGAATATTCCATATAGTCGCCGCTGTGGTTTTTTTTAACTGTACTCGACGTTATTTATAATAAATAAATAAATTGTTCAGTGCTGGACTCGAGCGGCTTACCGCGGGCGGGCTTCGTCTACGGCAACAACTACTGGCTGGGCAGCCGTAGTCAGTGCCTCGACGCGGCCAATCGCTCGCCCCTCGTCCTCAGGACCAGTCCCTACATCAGCGAACCCGACGACGAATATCCACCCTTCCGGCCCAACTATCTGGTGGCTCACTTCCGGCACAACTCCAGTCTGCAGCTGCACGTACGCCTGCCCAACGAGGACCTCGTTACCCTGGGCCTGTGTCTACCGGCGAGCTGTCAGCCCACGACGATCGGTCGACTGCTCGAGGCGACGTTTCGCGACGCGGACGAGCATCGTCGTCTCGTGCACGGAAGACTGTACGGGGAGGCCGCGTACAGACTCGAGCTGGTGCGCGATCTGCGCGGGGACGATCTCGGCTGGCTGCTCGAGGCCCGATCGCTGCTGGTCGAGTTCCTGTTGGCTGGACTGCTGGTGCTCATGTGCCTCGGCACGACTTACGAGATACTCCTCGGGCGCAACAACAACAACAACGGCAGCAGCAGCAACGGGAAGGAGGATAAGGAGCGCAAGTGTCTGAACAACAACGAGAGCAACGTCGAGGCGGCGGCGGCAGCAGCTCCAACGTCCAACGGTGGAGGCGGCGGCGGCGGCTTCGGCCGGCTGCTGCTCAGCTTCTCGGTGGCCTCGAACACCCGGCTGATCCTCGGCACTCGGCTCGGGCCCGACTCGATCGGCCCCATCCACGGCATACGCTTCCTCGGCATGGTCTGGATCGTCATGATACACACGGTCTTCTACATGTCCGATTACGCCGACAACAAGGCCTGGTCCTGGCGCATGGCCGAGGGCTTCGCCGTGCAGATAATCAGCAACTCCACCCTGTCCGTCGACACGTTCTTCTTTCTGTCGGGCTTCCTCGTGGCCTACATGTACTTTACGTCGCATCGGGCCGAGGAAAGACAACATGATGAGGAGGAAGGAGAACAGATTGGAAGGCGAAGAATCGATTACGGGAGAAAGTGCGGCGAGTTCGTGGCGACGGTGCTGAGGCGCTATCTCAGACTGACGCCGGCCTACCTGATGACGATCGGCCTGCTGCAGGTCAACTCGGCCTGGTACGCCAGGACGTCGCAGTTTTACATGACCGAGCGACCCGACCTGCTCTGCGAGAGATACTGGTGGAGAAACGTTTTGTACGTCAACAATCTGTTCGGCCGCGACACCATGGTGAGTGACGATCAATGAGATGTACTTCATTCTTCATTTTTTTTTTATACTGTGCGATTGGTTTTTCTTTTCTTTACCGGCAGTGCATGTCGTGGAGCTGGTACCTGTCCAACGACATGCAGTTCTTCGTGATCGCCACCTTTCTCCTCATCCTCTCGTCCGTGTGAGTACATTTATTTGATTATCCTCGCGCGATTATTTTCAAAGTATTGAAACGATCTTTGTACAGATTTTTCTACCTGGCCGCGTCGATACTCATGTTCCTGCTGATCGGCTCGATCGCCATAACCGGCTACATCGCCTACGTCAACGATTACATTCCCACGTGAGTTCCTATATACATCGTATCGGATATAATAATATTTTTTACTTACGTTACATTTTTGTTTTTTGTTTTTTTTCGACAGGATGGACGAGCAGTACAACATGCTGGACGTGCTCTACGATCCGCCCTGGACGAGGATCGGTCCCTACCTCGTCGGAATGATCACGGCTTACGTGGTGACGAGGCTCGACGGCAAACTACACCTCAAGCCCCGAAGCGTCGCCGTCCTCTGGATACTGGGCAGCTCGTGCAATCTGTCGGTGCTCTTTGGCCTGTACGAGAGGCGAATCGACGTTCTCGCGGCCGCGTTCTACGTCGCCCTGAGCCGGACCGTCTGGGCCGTGGGACTGGCTTGGCTGCTCGTGGCCTGCTGCACGGGACACGCGGGTAATCGATCCTCGAACGAATCTTTTCTCTCTTTATGATTTTTACATGAAAACACTTTTATTGCGTAATTTTTCTTTTCTTCTTTTATCGAACGATAATTCTTTGCTTTATTTTTCATCATTATTACGTCTATACAATGTAACGCTCGTCTTTTCTTTTAAAAAGTACAAATAATTACAAAAGTTTCTTTTATATAAAACACACGATGAGACCCCACCGTTGATTGCGTGTGTATTAGTGTAAAAAATTTTTTCACAAATTTTTTTTTCTCTCACTCTCTTCCTTTTTCGCAGGAATCGTAAACAAGATACTCTGCTTCAAGGCTTGGATACCGCTCAGCAGATTGACCTACTGCGCCTATCTGCTGAATCCGCTTCTCATAAATTCGATCTATCTGCACAGCGAGTCGGCCGTCCACGTAGATTTCTTACCGAACGTAAGTGTGTTTAAAAAAAACGCCGAAAACTATACACAATCGGCAACGATCTCTCACGCGTACATAAATTTATCATTTATACATTTGTATACATATAAAAAATGCAAAAATTTGTGTCTCTCTTTTTCTGACCCTCTCTCTCTCTCTAGAGCACGATGTTCCTGGGCAGCCTTGTGATAACGTACATCTGCTCGTACGGGCTGTCGCTCATGCTGGAGACGCCGACGGTCGTGCTGATGCGACACTTCGTCAACGCCAAGAAGCGATGACGATTGTTTTAACTTTTTCATCGTTATTATCGTTGCAAACGAACGTTACGAGTGCACGCGCGTCCGGTGCGGATCGATATATGGCTTCGTACAAAAAAAAGTTTCGCCTCTTGAAAAGAGACGAATCGCGCACGATCGTTATACATATATATGTTAATTTTATTATCTTTATCTTTGTTACGGTTTTTTCTTTTCGTTTTAATTGATTATTTATTTTCCTTTTATTTTTTTTTATATAAATGATCGACTGTATGAGTGTTATTAACTACTACTTGCGTTTTTATCTTTAAGATTTGTAATATATACATTATACATATATTATTTTAGCAAAAAAAAGAACAAACAAAATTTTAATTTTTACGAAGAAAAAAACAAGAAAAAAAAATACAAAGAAAGCTGCACGCTGTTTACTCCGTTTATACTTTCGTTCAGTCCTATTCTAACCCTTTCTCCTCTTCCATCGATTCGACATAATAACGAATTTTTTTTTAATCTGTACAGTGAACTTTGTCGTTGCATCTAAGAGATATAATCGATAAAAAATAAGATCTTTTGTATTTCTTCTTGTTGTTCCGTACGTATGTGTGTGTGCATGTGTGTTGTTATCCCTCTTAAATTTCGAGCTCGTTCATGATGCTGCAGGTGAGCAGCAGCCTCGGCTGGTCGACGGGCCGCTGATGCTAAGAGTGCACCGGCGAGTGCAATCGCGGCGCAGCCTGACCCGACGAGTTCATGCTGCGCGCGTTCGTGCGCACCGCCTGCTCTCGCCGGCACTCCTCGGCCTTCTTCTTCAGCTGCTCCTTTTGGACTAGAAGTTCGCGGGTGCGTTGATACACCGGATCCTGTGGGGGGAGGAGGCAAAAATGAATTTTGAACGGGTTCTGCGTACGCAAAAATTAGCGGTAATTTTTTTTTAGCTCGAGCGCTCACCTGTTGCCGCATGCTGGGATTCCATCTGCAGTAGAAGCTCTTCCACGGCTTGATGTATCTCATGCTCGCGATCGGCATCAATACGAGCTGATGCGTCGGACCATCCCAATAGAGAGGATTTTGGTAAAGAGGCAACTGACTGTTGATGTACGACCACAACGACACCGTTTTTTCCTTCAATCTTTCTTGTACTCGCTCTCTTTCACTGAAAAAAAAAACAAAAAAAAATACGAAATTTATCGAATCTGACGTTTAGCGCATCTAGCCGAGAATGGCTCATTTTACAAACCTGCTGCATAAGAAAGTTCCGAATCTACAAGAATACAGATGATCCAATATCGTCGTTAAAAAGTGTTCGTTGAACTGAAAGGCATTTGGGAATTGCTGCGTGACTTGCCAAACGCAGTCGATGAATTGCACGAATACCGGAGACCTGTCGGCATCGCTGTGGTGCTCGTCTCCGTGACCTATCCTCTGTTAACGAAAAATAATATACGCATGATTAATTCAAGCTACCAATTGTTTCACACGTCGATTCGAGCTTTTATATTAAACGAACCTGTTGAAATTTATGACCAAAGCTCAGCCATTCCTTTTCAATCAGCACTTCGAATCCCTTGATAGTTCTGTAGTACGGGTCGAGCAGCAACATCGCCAAGGCAGTGAGCTGTGCCGTCCTGTCCCAGCCATCGGAACAGTGGACCAGTACGGAGGTTTTGTGAGTCTCGACTTTGTCGACAATTTTCACTGCACCGGCGACTATACATTTTATGTGTTTGAGCCACATGGTCGATTCCAAGCCTGATAACCATCTGGTTTCATCGATGGTAGGAAAACATAACTCTACAAGTATAATATCAATTACATTAAATGTTAAAGGAAAAAACAATTAGCATCGAGTTCGAATGAAAGTTTACCTTTCAATTTCCTCAGGCTCTCTCTCATCACGTGAATATTGTGAATATCGAGAAAGACGACCTCGCTGTTCTGGTAGGCGTCCTCGGCCTCGTAACCGCCGCCCTTGGCTTTGTTGGCCACGGCGTTGGCCATGGGTCGCGCGTCCATGATGAAGAGCTTGTGACTCTGGGCGTTGGCGTCCATAATATACTGTACATATCTCTCGTCCTCGCGACTCCTCTTGCCGCCGACGCCGACGAGCGGCTGAGCGCATCGCGTTATCGTCGCCTGGCTCTCGGGATGAATCCACGAGAGTACCGGCAAACGTCCTCGACTCCTGAACGCCGCCGAGGCCTGAAGATCCTCGTCCGTGGCCGCAGTGGGCACTGCCCAGACGGCCGGATAGCTGTCGCACACGGAATATGTGTCATTTATCTTTGATATTTTCCACATATCGTTGTTGATACCCTGTGACAATAGGAATTTTCAGTGCTTATTGCCTACTTTATGGCAACCTTTTTTTTAAAGAAAAATTTACCATTCGTTTTAATTCAGCAATAGGTTCATAAACATTCCAACCATTCTCACTGAAAGTTTCAGAGTATTGAAAGGCAAACAATGGCTCGTTGTGAGATAAAGGAAATGAATACTGCTGCAGTTTTTCAAAAACATTGCGCCTGGAATGATTTTCTTGTTTATGAGCAAATCTGAGATTGCGCATATCTTTGCAGAAGATTTCTATTCCATAAGAATTCTCTCCTCTACTAGATGCACCACCAACTTTTTCTATTCTACTGACAGCACCAAGTGGCATTTCCACCACGTAAGGTGTTTCTCTGTCAATGCTGCGGAAATGCAGCTTGTAGTTGGTGAATGTGAGCACACCTCGCGCTGGACCAGAGTAAGGACACAAGTATGTAACATCTCGAGCGACTCCTTGAACTCTCTCTCCATTGAGTAAGAGTGGACCGCTCTCATTGCCAGACAAGTTCTATAAAAAAAAATGCTAAAGTTAAATTACATTTTTGATTAACTTATTTATAGCTGAATGAGAAATTAAAGTTAATATATTTTGTGCATTAATCAGTAAAAATGAATCGAAATAAAAGGAAAAGAGAAAATAACTGGTGTACTGTAAAATGAAAATTGATTCTCAAGTAACCACAGACCCGCATGCTTTAAGGAAACTTTTATCAATTAATTTTTACCAAATCCTCTTTTCCTTGATTTTCTTTTTTAGTTTCTAGAGCAGAAATGATATTATTGTCTGTTGAAGTTAAGCTTGTGGACAGGCTCTTTGTATGAGATGCCTTTTCCCAACTTTCCTGTAGTATCGCATGAAATTAAAAACGTCAAGTTATAAATTCTTTGAAAATTTTTCAACTGCGCGCATTGGTTCTTTTGGTCAAATGGTACGTAACGGTGCCAACCAACTCACCAATTCTTGTCCTATTTTAGAATTGAGCGAGCTGCTCTTGCTGTCCGAGTTAAGTGAGTCCGAGCTGGCATTTTTGGAATTGTTTTGATCGATGCTCAAAAGATCTGCACTTCCTCTTTTGTTCATTTTGGCTACTGGTCTTGGTCAATGATATTTATCTCGAAGCCGACATCATATCCAACACCTTGCACTGTACGTATGAAAATCAAAAGGGCATGAGCGATAATCAAACATTGAAATAACTATTGATACACATGACACAAGTAGATGCAGACGAGTAGGATAGTATTATGCATCGAAGCACCATTCACTGAGTAAATGTAATTAACGAGAAACACAATGAATTTAATTTCAACAAAAGAATCAATCGCAGGAGTTCACAAACTCTCTGCAAGTGAATTACAATTCAACAATAACAAAACGTCTGTTCAGCAGCTACTCTAACCTCCAATTCCTCTTTAATTGACAATTACGATTACGATTCGTAAACAGTTCGCTCGCAATCAACACAGTGATCGAGAGCCCACTCGTGGAGATAATTCACGATCTGCAATGCTCTCGGCTCGAAGCACCGAGTCGTGGCGTTGGCCAAAACATTTATTATTATTACATTGGTAAATTAGACGTCTCTCTCTCTGTCTCTCTCTACAGTGTCAGCTGCCGAACTGCCACTCGATTAAATAGTCAATTTTGCGCTTGCCACGCCCGCGACTCCAAGTCCGTCTCGATGCAATTTTTTTTCTCGACGCGCAACGATCCTCTCTCTCTCTCGGTACGTATCACCTCGGAATTTATCCGAAAATAAACAAACCTTGGGCAGTTTCGCACGGGATTAAATGGCATATATACGAAATCGCAGCCTTTGTACAAAATCCAACTGTATACAGTATGTGTGCGTGTGTGTACTACAGAGTCACACGCGTCTGGTTGGGTGTCAGTGCTGCTGTATATACAATGAGTGCTGCGCGTGTATGTATAGTGTACACACACTGCAGGCAGCAGCAGGTATCAATCGGAGCAGCGGCATACGCAGACACATATGGATTCCCCGCAACGTTTTATCATGCTGCTGTGTCTGTGTGTTTCGTGCGAATCTCATTGGCGATCGTCGTGCGCTTGCAGACGTCGCTTCGAAAAGACGACGCGCTTGCGATCTGCGTGTGCTATAGGTATAGCGCGAAATACGAAAGAGACGTTCGAACGCCCGAAAAAATGGGGCTCACCGTTCGATAGCTCCCGAAGTAACGAAAATTCAGAGTAGCGATATTTATTGCTCGATATGCTCGAATGTGTAGCTGAGTTTTTCTATGTGTCTTTGAATTTTAATACAGAGAAGAAGACTCGCTCGAACGCAAAGATGCGAATTATTGGGAATTGGAGAATATAATCATTATTCGATTCGAGGCGACTACAAACTTGGCGCAAAAGGATCAATGGAAGTTTGGGAGAAAAAAATACTGTTTACTTAGTGGCGTTCAAACAACAATTGAGAATCCAACTTGCTTGGGTTTATATACTATTCGGAAATTGTTTTGACACTTGCGAGTTCGCGATGCTCCACCTGTCGATGGAATCGCGAAGCTCGCAATCAAAACACGACGCACCATCGTAGATCGCTTTGATTTTTTTTCTTGTTTACAATTCTAATTCGAAACGTGTTTCGGAACATCGATTCTGATCAGCAAGTTTCTATATATACGGAAAGTGTGCGAGAGCGGCTGTTAGATGGAGACACTTCACCGAAACTCTACCACCCAAAACGAATAAGAGCAAATTGAAACTCGAAAGCATTTATCGATATCAAAGACGATTCGAGCCTGTTTAAAAATTAATCTGGGTGAAAATTGAAGTCAAACTTTTCGTATTTTTTTTTTTTTTTTACTTATTTCTTTACGCAATCGGTACCTATACGCTCGCTGTCCTTTCTCGTCGACGCGAATCATTCTCATACACATCGCAAACACATCTTTCCCTCCGAACCCGCCGCGGGTATAGATCTCTCGATATCGAAAAATCTCACCGCGCGTATTTAACGATTAGAGAAAAGTCAACGCGTATCACCTCTAATCTTCGCGAAGGCAGCTGCTCCGCGATTCCAATCGACGTTAAACCTGCCGCGCGCGCGAGACGTCAATAATAATATAATTAATAAGCGCGCGGCTTTACTCGAACGACGATTTTTCAACGCTAAGTAGCGAACGCTATACTCGACGACGTACCTTCTGCGCGTCGTCGTGCAGTCGTATTTAAATATCATATATATAGGATGTATCAGCGATCGCATGCGGTCGGCAGCGGCGCGCGCGTGACATATACGATAATGGCTCGTTTAATCTCGTCATATAGATGCAGCGCAGAGAAAGAGAAAGGGAATCGGCTCGTACACCGATCTCTGTCCATATACGCGGGGATTATTATTTTAATATTTACGACGATAGGTATGCGATTTATACAGTCGACGTTATTATTTTAAGCGTGTATCACATATGGCATAATTTAATGACTCGAGGGTCGCGAAGGCACGACGTATACTTGAATATGATACAATTATTAAAGCGCGCGTCACGATAACGCACGTTTGTTCGGTATTACTAAACGATCTCGCGCGTTGGAATGCACGTGTGCGTGTGTGTATAGATGCGCCAGCAAATTACGGCATAGAAGCGGGAGATGTCGGGAATATAATGGAAAGACCGTTGTCTTAATCGCGATCCATATATACCTATTATAAATACGCTCGTTTGTATATTGTGTGTATAATGCGGAGACGTTTACATGCTAATATAGACACACAAACACACACAAACACGAGTCGACGATTGTGTTAGTATACTCGATTTTCAATCGTCTTCTCGATAGTTCCATAAATGTATCAACGATTCTACCATTTCATCGTACGCATCATCGTCCGTATATATAATAATCGAGAGCTCGTCGCGGCCACGAGACTGTGCGTATATACGCGTCAGAGAAAGAAGAAGGAAAAAGAAAGAAAAAGAAGCGAGCGCCTTTTTTCCCAGAGTCCACAAAGAGATCCAGGACACTAAGGTCAAGCGTCGCTCGCGCGTATTAGCTTCTTTCTTTGTACAAGTCTCTCGCTCGCGAGACTATACATATATACACGCGTACGCACGTATGTGTACCCTTTTTTTTTCTTCTCTATATCGCGAGTCGTCGCCTTCCTTGCTGCTGCTGTTTTTATGCAATTGTCGTCGTTCTGTTCACCTTTACCTCGTGCTGCTGCCGCTGCGATCGTTTCGATCGTCTCGTGGATCTCCCGCGAATTAGGCCTTATAACGCGATTTTCATGTAGTTAAAATAGTGTCGCAAGTCTCGCGCGCGCGCGACTTGGTAAAGCCGGTGGAGCTATATGATATAGCTCGCGCGCGAGGCATGTGCATTGTGCACACGGGAAGTGAGAATAGCAGCAGTTTTTCGCGGAGATTTCACAAATTTTATAAAATATACATATCGATATCGGCATGTGTACCCTCGATTTTCTGCAAATCATTCGCTGCTATATGTACGTGTGTTTTACAGCAGATACATGATAAAATGCGCATATATACGAGAGCGATCGGATGGATCGTGTCTCTTACGGACGGAATTGCGCCACGATACGACGAGAGGAGGCGAATAAATATTGCGAAATATATTATATATTATATACTCCGCGCACTCGCGTGTGCATCTCTCTGTGTCTGTGTGTATATTATATGCACTGGTGGCAGCGACGGCGGCGATCGCCGGATTCGCGCGATAACACACACAATATGCGCCTCGTTATTTTGTCACGGTCGTCGCGCGGGCTGCTGCTGCATCGACTCGTATACATACTTCGTGCATAATAACGACGATGAATAATAATAAAAAAGTAAAATTTATGATTAATTTATACGCGTACGAAATATCGCGAATTTATATATATAAATTTTGCTTGATTAAAGAATTTGCACGCGATAATTGGCGGGGTACCGCTCGAAGATCGGTATGCCCTGTCGCGTTTTCATATATATCATAAAATAATACGGTGTGTTAAATCGGTCGCTATATAGCTCCATTATACGCCGCTATGCACAAACACACAGACGGATACATTCGCGCGCGAAAAATTATAAACTTTCTCGAGCGCAGTGCCGGAGCGTCTCGATGTTTCCATGCCGTCGCCGCTGCAGCGGGAGAGCGAAAGAAAATAAGGTTTCACTTTCGTTCGCGATCGCGTATATGCCGTCGTCGCATGCGCAGCCGCCGAGTGCCCGCGAGACACCACTATATACCACCATCATCGTCGTCGTCAGCGTCGGCGTTCGCAGCTGTAAACACTCGCTTAGGTGCATATAACGGATTATAAACGCGCGATTTTTACTTTATTTTTTTTTTTGGGGGGGGGGGGGNTTTTGGGGGGGGGGGGGGGGAGGGAAATCGGATATAGACACGCGACGACGAGGCTGCTTTGCTATTTGGGTATATATCTTTCATCGGCGAATTTCGAGATGCGTTGAACGCTCGACTATAGGGTAATCGGATACCTATATGAGCATCATAGGTTGGCAAGCTAAAAGACGAATCGTGCCCGTTTCGCCGAGCATCAAGCGCGTAGAGACGAAATAAAATAGCTTTTACCGGTATTTTTGACTTGAGTCAACAGTATACCGATCGATTGAATTCATAACACGAATTTTAAAATTATATCATGATAAACAAATCATGGTAGAAATTGTCAATATCGATAACAGCCCAATGACCAAAAAATGGCCCTTTAAAACGTCTTAAACATTTCACAATTTCACACTTTGGCGATTTTTCTATTGAAATTGCGTTAAAAACATCGAGCGCATTCGAATTAATTAGCTGTTTCCAAAATTTAGACCGGCTTTTATCCACTATAAACGCGATGATATCGATTTAAGCATCGGCCGCCAGATGGCGAGTACCTTGATTTCAGTAAATCCACAAATGTCAAAATCAAAATAATTGTATACGTCACAGCATATAGTTTTGAAAAAGAATCACGTTTGCTTCTACGTTTTTCAGAACTTTTTACGTTTGCCAACAACTAGACTTCGAATGTGTTTCTACCAGGAAAGTAAAGCCGAGACTGCAAGTTTAGAGACGATTCGAAAAGTCTTGAAAAATGCTCAATCCTCTCCGCAACAAAAGCAATGATCTTTGCGACGTGAATTTCGATTATCGACCGCGAGATATTTTTCATCCCACATAGATCGTTACGCATCGGGCTCGAAAATTCAATCGATCAGTCGATCCGTTGGTCAATAATCTCGAGACCCGCATTATACGAAACCAGAATTCGAAAAAGAAAAGGAAATTTCCACCCGATTCTTACGTCACGAAATGCATCGAGTCTATATAGTCGAATTTTTGCACTCGTACAGTCGAACGCACATCGAAATCGGCATACACACAACTTCTGCGCGCGCCGATCGTAAAATCGAACGCATCGGGGTTTTGTTGCTGCGATTCTCTTGCGGCCGCGCAGAAATACAATTTTCATCTCGCGCTCGTTATTATACGTATTATTATTATATACACTTCATCAAATGCGAAGCTGTCAACGAGTCGGTGCTCGCGCGCGCGCGCGCTAAACTTTCGAAAAGACGCGTTTAAAGCGACGTCGTGTCACCGCTCACCGGCTTTTCACCGCAGGATTTATTTATCATTATTATATATTACCTGCAGCAGCGAGCGATAACTGTATGGATCTTCCTTTCATCGAGATGATTGAAAATAAACCCGACTCCGAGCTTCAATCAACGCGGGCCGTGTATTACAATATACTCGTCCTCGAAAGTGCCAAAAGATCGACGAAAAAAAATAAGAGGATGAAAATCGTCACTCGATACACTCCGAGTACGAAACGCGTAACGAGTATACGACGACGATTTTTTCTTTTTTCTTTCTTTTCTTTTCTGTACCGCGGGAGAAAATAAAATAATATTAACGCGTGTGGCAGCGCGTCGTGTGATGCAATTGCCCCATCGCCTGTATATAATGCGATCAGCTCGTCTGCATGTCGTACCTACACCGCAGTTGCGCGATAAGAAACGGTATTTTTCAAACTTGTACATTACGCTTCGGCTAGAAAGCGTCTCTCTCTCTCTCTCGCGGGTATACGCGATTTTTTTTTTCTCTCTCTCTCTCTTTTCGTTTTCTACAATTCTGTATTATACATATACACGAAAATAATAATGCCAAAAGAGCATCGTTCTCGCGTACGCGCGAAAAATGCCGTTGTTTATACACATAAACTCATTTCTCGAAAAACCGAGCGGCGTCAACATCAACAACGACGACGACGACGACGACGAGAGATGAAAAAAAAAAAGTATTATAAAATACCGGATGGCTAACCTGTTGGCCGATCTCTTGGGCGCCTACATATATTGCAGACCAACGAATAAAGAGGCGCACAAGAGTGCAGTAAGTCAGTGTATCGCACTCGACTCCGAGAGAGAGAGAGAGCTCCAGATTATCGGGGCTCGCGCATCCGAACCGAAAAATAAGTTCATTCGAGCACTTTGTGCGCGCGCGCGCGCCGCAAAAGTGGGCCTCGTGGGGCCATACTACACACACAAACACACACACACACACACATACTCGGAGAGGTGAGTGCAAAAGAGAGAGAGAGAGACATTACTGCACATTTCATACATACATACACCTGAAGCTCGCGCGCCGCTCGTCGCGTCCGTCACACAGTCGCGGGCAGCCCAGTGCTGTGCTGCTGCTGGTGATGGTGGTGGGAGAATCTGCTGCTGGGTATACGTGCACATCCCAATGGTCGCTGCACATACATACATATACACGTCCCAAGGCAAAGGAATGGGTTTCTGGCAGGAGAAGCATAGCGGGGGTTATTTAGGTTAGACGGTGTCCATACAACGAGCAGCGCAGCTCGCGGCTTCGCGTATACGATCGGCAGCCGCATATATATATGCGTGTGTACCTGCAGCAGAGGAGAGTTATATTATACGGCGGCAGCAGCCTCCAAGAGTAAGAGAGTAAGAGAGAGAGAGAGAAATAGCCTATCTACCACGACGAGGGAGGGAATGTGGGCCGAGTGTCGTATATACTGAAGCGCGGGGCGCTCTTGCCGGCTCATTCTTACGCCGCATTTCCGATTAGCCGGATCGACGATCAACACCAGCGACCGAGAGACGACCGGGAGCTGCTGCTGCTGCTGCTGCTTGTGTGCCATTGATACACCGCGCCGTGGTACATTTTTTGTACACGTTCCGTTGATTCTTTTTTTTTGTTTCTTCTAAAGCAGTGTCGATCGAATTTTCGATCGTTATTATTATTACTTTTTTTTTGTAATCGACCGATTTTCCGGAAAGAGACACGATTTGTGCACGACGGGGAGCCTCTCACTAGGATATAGTCACGCGCGCACGATAACTGGTAAGCTCAAATTGATATACATTGATTTCTTCGTTCGAGACGAAAAAAGGAAAAATCGGTAACGCGCCTGTTTACGAGTTTTGCTCTCGGATAACAGGTGCATATATTGGCGATTATCGATTTTTTTTTGCTGTCCTCGCCCCGCGCGGCCGAGCGACGTTATTTTATAAGTATACCGTTAACGCGTTACCGATCTTTTACCGATAAACTTTACCTATCCACGCGTATGTCTAATTATTCTCTCTCTCTATAAATTTATAAATAATAAATGTGCCGCGAGTCCAGTGCGGCGATCGAAACCCGTACCGATCTCGCGTCCGCAAGTATCACGACGCGTCCGCAAGTAGTCCTCGACTCTTTTTCTTCCTTCTTTTATTTTTCTCCTTTTTTTTCTTTCATAATACGTATACATAAATAAAGTCAAATCAGCTCTCGCGCGTCGACGCGTTACCGATTTTTCTCGCTGCGTGTGTATGCGTGTGTGCGTCTAGCGCGGATAACGTATAAAAAGAAGACCACGCACGAGAAGGATAAGAAGAAGAAGAAGAAGAAAAAAAACAGACACCTACCGATCTCGTATACGAGATTCCACATCGCGCGCTCATATGTATACACTCTCTTTTTCGCGAGCACAGCTATACGCGGATACATCGCTACCGTCGATTTCAGATCCGTCAACTGGTATTTTCCCCTTTTTTTTGTCGTTGCTGTCGTTGCTCGTTGTCGTTTCGACTTCTAATTTCGAGGTGCGATAGATACATAAATAAATCGAACGAACGAACGAATAAATCGTGTGCCAGCGTATAAATCGGCGTCCAATATACAACGTATCTCGAAAGCTCGCGGCGCCCGCCGCCGCAGCGGCACATAGCAACAGGTAGCGCACGATCGGGTATAAGACGAGTCCGCGCCGAGGCCAGTTAACCTACTGATCTGTATCGCGCGTATGTAATAGCGCGAAAAAGCAAAACACACACATATATGTGCGTGTTTTTTTTCTCTCTCTCTCTCTCCGACGAAGGCAGGTCGTCATCATACTTATACTACACGCCTCGCGCAGAAGTTAAAGCCGGCCAGCTAACGGTTACGAGCCAGCCAGCTCGTGTGCACATGTTATATTTATATGTGTGTGTATAATGTAGGCGCGCGCATTCTGACACGCGCCGATCGCCGAGCCGCGCAGGTCGTCAGCTTGGACGATTTTTGCGGCGTTACATTATCATCGTATGCGTGTGCGTGTGTGTGTGGCGATCGGATAGATGTAGCTGTTGTACGTAATAATGCGACGAGCGCCGATATGTTTACGATGTTGCCATATGTTTTTGCCCCGAAATTGAAAACAGTGAAACGTCGCGCGCGATTTCACCCTTTTCGTATGTACGTATGTCGAGTACGCTAATTGCCTCGAAAACCGAAGGAAAAATATTTCAACGCGATCCTTACACACGATATTCAATTCGGTCGATATTACTCTCTTTTTTCTCACGCGAACGAGAGCACAAGATGATAATAATTTTTGGTAACGGTGTCGAATGCCGTGTTTGTATGCATACGTACGGTGCGTGTGCGATAAGCTACACGCGGAGTGTCGATGTTTTTTTTTCGTTTTTTTTTTTTTTTCATTTATTTTTATTGCGTCGCAGCTTTCTTCTGCCGCGCGGTGCATTTAATAACCAACGAATACGAACTTTTAAAGAGCACGATATTTTTTTCCGTAAAAACCGCAGACGAGCCGCGTAGTATAGCGCATATATAACAGTGTCGTCGTCATTTTTCCTTGTCCGTGTCGAGAGCATCTCTTCCTTATTTAACGCGTTGCAGCAACGACGATTGCCCCCATCCGAAAAGAAAGAAAGTTACACATTATATTCTCGACTGCAGTTGCATATTTATTATATATGTATACTGGTGCACCGAGCGCCGCCGCAAGCCATAAGCACATACGATATATTATAATACGAGCGCGACGGCAAAATTTGACGCAATAATTTCCTCGCGCGGTATGTACAGCTCGAGGGATCGTTTAAAACGAGCGAGTAAAAAGAAAAGCAGGAAGGAAGAGGATTTGCGTGAGCGAAAAAATTACCGTAGTTTTTTTTCTTCTTTATACAAACGACACGCGAAAGATGTCGCGGTGATTCCAAAATTTCGCCTCGCGTACTATTGCGTCGTGAACGAGCGTATTATATCGATACACGACGACGACGACGACGACAACAATAATAACACGCCGTCTCGGCGCTTCGAGAATATTCTAGATCATGGAAAAGCCTCTCTCGTTCGAAGCCCACGAGTTTCATAATATTGTGTTGTCGCCATCGTCGTCGTCGCTTGTGTTGATACACATACACACTGACATTTATGCTTGTGCGTGTGTATAGAATCGCGAAGCATGTCACATTTTGCCATAATTCGATGTACAAACTCCGATTCCTTCGATCGACTCGCGCTTTCGATCGTTACAATAAAAAAAAAAAAGTCCACGAGCGGGGGTGTCTTCTTCGTCGCTTCGAGTCGCTCGCGATTACGTAGTACGCGTGTATGTAGGTTTTCTCTCTCTCTGTGTCGCTTCCTTTCGCGATCGGCGCGCATTGTTTTGTTATATATTTACACACACAGCAGCTCGATCGAGGATACGAGAGACTAGACTGATTGAAAAAAGAAACATAATGGCATTTTAGTTCCATTGATCCCCCGCGGATACGGGTAAAAAAAAGAGGAACTCGAATGGGCTCTCTCGATTCATCGCTCGATGGTCGATCAAAAGTTCAAACAAATTTATGTAACTACCGATCTAAAAAAAAAAAAAAACAAGAAGCGCGTCGTTTGTGTAACATCGTCTCGTTTTTCTTTTTGTCTTCGTCGTTGTTGTTAATGCACTGCAGACTCATCGCTTCCATATAATATAAATATTCGCTTCAACGACTCGCGCGCGTTATATAGAAAGCGGGGTTTCAACGACTTGGCTCTCTCGCGCGCGTTGCGCAAAACGTCCGATCATTTTCTTCCCTTAAAAATGTCTCTCTCTCTCGCGTTCGTATCTCGCGCTACACTGCGAGCGCGAATTAATGTCTCCGTGATTTATTTAGGGTACACACACACACACACACACACATACATATGCGTTGCGTCAATCAACCCGAGCCGAGAGAGAAGAGCCGCTCGCGTTGGAACGCGTGGCTTAATTAACGTAGCTCCGATGCCGATCGTAAATCATGACGTAGTTAGACGAGCGCGGCGTTAAGATATATTTAATTGAATCGCTTATATATGTGTATGAAGGGAACGAAAAGATGCGCGCTTAGCCGCGTCGACTGCCGCAACGCTTCATAATAATGATAATTTATCCGTTTTTTTTCTTTTTTTTTAATTTCGACTCTTTATGAATACCCGTATGACGACGCAATAATGGCACTAAACAAATCGCTTTCCAATTGCGCCAGGTACATATATATGTACGATACATTTGCTGCATAAAGGTATATGTACACACGGTCGTGCGATCGTACGTGAAATAACAAATCCGTGTGGGTACTCGACTCTTTTTTTTTCTCCCCCGTTTCTCATTTTGAATCATATTTTTTTTTTCAAGCTCGGGAGATAGAAATATCACGCATTTGGTGTCAAAACACATGATTTTCATATACACATGTCGTATTTACCGATTTATAAATCAACTCGATGCCTATACGAGTTATTTACTTTGTCGATACACGTATAATTCATGTTATTGTCGTTGACTTTTTTCTCTCTCTCTCCCTCGCTCTCTCATCTTCGAATCAATTTGTAATCGAACTTTCCACAAACAATCGCGCACGAATCTCGTTCGAACCTTTTCCCTCGTACGACGACGACGACAACAATAATAACGATGATAGCCGATGCCTCGACCAGCGGCCTATACAATACGTCGATTTTCAAGGATTTTTTTTTCCTCCTCTTCTCTCTCTCATTTTTTTAATAAGCTCCTTCGGCGCGAAGGAAAGAAAGTGTCGAACTTTCGCGCCATAATTCTCGACTCCGATCGACGGCTCAGCGGAGTGTACCATACTTATTTGTTATTACACACTTGTGCGCGAATTCAAGGCTCATTGATTCACATGTCCTATAAATCCGAACAAAAGTGTCTAATTATACGGCTCGTTCAATTTTTCTCTCTCTCTCTCTCTCTCTCTCTCTCTCTGGCTCTCGGTTATGTCCTCTTCTTTTCTAACTCTGTACAGAGACGATATAAACTTTTACGCGGTCGATCGAGACTCGAGGCGCGAGAAATCTATCATAAATATCGTAAATATCCAACACAGAATTTTTTTTATCCTCTTCTTCTCTCATTTGATGTCTTTATTATAGAAAGTCGTCGTTGTTGTCGTTATGTACGGACGTGCGCAGAGGTAGAGATCGTTTTCACATCGCGAGGGTCCCCGTTTTTCGCGCGCGAGATGCTGTGTCGAGGTAGTTGTTGCATAGTAGTAGTAGTAGTAGTACCTATTACTTTGCCGCCGCCGCGAAAAGTGAATGCGCAGCTCTCGCGCGCGGCCCATCGGTTTTGGTTTGTATATATTGTATATACAGACGACGATGACTCTCTAAACGCAATATCGTACCGCCGGGAAAAACGAGGTAATATAATGACAATACCGTCCGAGTCATGCACTTCGGAAAAGCAAAAAGAAAGACTCGCGAGCGGCAACCACGAAAAACCTCGGCTGCTTTCACCCGTGCACTGCAAAAAGGTACCGCATCATCGTCGGTTACAAGTCGAGGATATGCACAACGGTGTATCTCCCTCGTATATTACATATATATATATATACAATAAATGGATACGGCTCGTCTTTTATTATCTTCGCTCTGCGGTATATTTTTTCCTTTTTTTTGCTTCACTCGTTGCCTCTATATTATAAACATTCCCCGCTTTAAATCGATTTTTACGATCCTCGAGGAGCCCACGCGCGCGCAAATTCCGTGCGTGTGCGGAGCAAAGAAAAAATTAACTCTCCCTTTCACTCTGTCCGCTGGTTCTTTATTTATTTATTTTATTTTATTTTATTTTATTTTATTTTTTTTTACTTTTTATTGCCTCTCGCCTTTGTGCATCGTTGACTTTGATTATTCGACGCAGCTGAGAGAGCATCACCTGCGACGTACAATATATATTATATATCATATCGATAACGAGGCGTCCTTTACCACGGAGCGAGAGAGAGATAAAAAATCGTAAATAAATTAAAAGTGTCTCGAGGTAACGTTCGCGAAAGAAAGTCCATCGCGCGTGGCCCCTACGGGAAAAAATAAAAAAAAAAGGACGTTAAGAATCGTCGGTATACATACGTGAGTACGCAGACGCTAATATGTATATAGTCGGTCGTCGTAAAAGACGCAGCGAGAGAGAGAGAAGAAAATGATTTCAAGGATATAATCCATCGTTTATGAATAAGTCCTTTCTCGGTCGAACAATGATGATTGTTTTTTTTTTTTTTTTTTTTATAACGTCCCCGCAATGGTCGATTTTTGCAAGAATGGAAAATTCTTCCTCTACATGCATACAGTAGCATCTCGTGAGAGAGACTCGAGAAAAGCTTGAAAAAAAAAAGGAGGAAAAACCCATCCAACCAGAGTCGGATATATAATAGATAATGGCGATGCAGCAACCTGCATTATATGGCACGTAAAGAGAGAGAGAGACATTATATTCTCTCTGTCTCTCTATCGATACGCGCGCATAGGAGCTCGAATCCACAATATACAGTCGGGGCTTTTCTACGCTTGTATAAATTCTTGCGCGTTGCGGTGCGCGGTGGCAGTATATACACTTTATATATACACGATATACAGGAATTACCGGTGAAACGAGGAAAATTTCAAGGCCACCGATGCAACAGCGACGACGACGATACATCGTATACATGTATATAGATAGAGATAGATATAGCGTGTGTGCACGAAGAGACACGCGCAAATTGCGTAATTATATTCACTGAGCGATCTACGCGGGTTAATTGTCCCGCGCCGCGCGCAAGGGAGAAGAAGAAAGCAACACGGGAATGAATCAGCCGCGCGACGTAATTTATATTTTATTATATTTTACCAGAGCCATACAATGATACAATATTTCGCGCGCGCGCGCATTGTATTCCATCAAAGAACAAAGCCTTATAACGACAATGTGGTCTGTACTACTGCATATAGCCTTGTGAAAATTGACGCGTCGCGCGCTAATACGATATATAATAAATGTAGTTTTTTTTTTCAGCGCGCTCTCGTTTTTTCTCCGTGCGCCGAATCCGACGCGAAAAAGATTCGTCATATGCATTCCCACGTGCAGCGGCGGTTAATTGGCTTGCTTAGTTCAGCGGAACGGTGCCGCCGCGCGCGACACTGTGTCCGATTATATACCTATGTATCTTTGTCCGTCCGAGCGCTGATTCTCTCGTCGCTCGACAAAAATCGAGGACTCGCGCACAGGCCGGGGGGGGGGAATCTATACTTCTTCTTTTTCTTCTTTTTTTATTCACGAGTTTGTACATGCGGTTGGAAAAATGTAAAATCGAGAAATTTTCTCGAGAGATCGGCTGTATATACAGGTACTGGTGATACTATACTTGGCTCCGCAGTCGCGCGTTTCTAGGTCTGTGGCATATACCGACGAAATGAAAAAAAAAAGAAGCGATCGAAGGAAAGAAAGAAACAGCGTGAAAATTCGTGATATATACAGACAAGACACTTTCACCGAAACTCCGCGTTACATTTATATCGCGCGTAATTAGCATATACAATACATATATTATAGCAAACGTTTAATTTGAATTTTCTTAGATCGATCCTACGCTGCTGTACCGACCCGAGAGAGCCGAAGCTGCATCTCGTTTTACACACATAAAAAACACACATAGAGACATCATGAGGGCCGCTCAGCTGGCGTTTTTACTACTGTGCTGCTTGGTCGCGGCGACGAGGGCCCAGCGCCGACTCGCTCTACCCGATCCGAGATCCTGCAGCAGCCGTAAGTTCATTTCGCCTCCTGTATACAACGTATACATTCGTTTTCTTTTTTCATCTTCATTTTCTTTGTGCACTTTATTATCATGTATATAACAGGCGTGAGACACGCGACGTACAGGGACGCTCGGGGCGTGGCGCACTCGTACTTCTTCAGCTGGGAGCACGCGCCGACGAGGAGCCTCGAGGTCGACTGGCTGGACGCCCGAAACATCTGCCGACGCCACTGCATGGACGCCGTGTCGCTCGAGACACCCCAGGAGAACGAGTTCATCAAGGCGAGGATCGCAAGAGGTCGGTATATAGAGCAGCAGTAGTAGTTGTTTCGAATTAAAAATCCAAAAAATCGGTATCGATATCTCGAGAAATTCGCGAGCTTTCGCCGCTGTCGAGTAAAAAAGCTCCGCGCGTATCGAACGGCGCACATTCGCATTGATTTCCTGCGTGCGCGACACGCGTCGAAAAGAATATCTCGTTGACCGATAAATGCGGATATTTTACATTTCAAATACTATGCTACGAGACGATCCGGGCACTGCAGGATCGAACCGATTTTTTACTCCGCGGCGCGGGACTTTGTCGCGAAAGTTGCGTCATTTCGATAGCACCGCGCTATGTGCATTAAGCGTGGGTGCAACTGCATCAACGATGTACTCACTTTCTAGGCTTCCATGCATATACGTGTCCATCTCTTTTGGAAAATGACGGCGATAAAGCAAAGCAAAGTTAAAAATAAAAAAAAGGCCTGCCTCGAGCGAGCTTTCACTACGACTTGCATCGTGACGCGCGCGCACGCCGGCATCATGGCTCTCGATGCATTAATTTGCTTTTTTTTTTGCCTTTTGCTTTTTGCCGACGTCGCGTTTATTTTATTTATTTTTTTTTGTCGTTATCACAAATTTATCGCGAGTCAGTCTGTGCCGGTGCGCGCGTTAGACGGGTATACGCGAGCTGCGTCGACGCCGTCGTCGTCGCGTGATAATTATTATTTCGTATCGCTCGCCGAAGGGAAAGAGGATGCTCGTTCTTTTTCTTTTTTTAACTTTCTCCGAAAAGCTGTGCGCGCGCCATGTACACTGCCCTGTAATCACTTTTGCTATACCAGCGAGTAAAGAGTGAGTAAATTTCAAAGTGTCGTATCTCGGTCAATGAAGGTCGGATTAGGATTTTAAAAGTACCATTCGAAAGGTCTTTACAAGCACTTTACAATTGCATAAATTATAATAGAGTTCGATCATTTATTTACGAATTATTTTCAACGAATAATGAATCGAGAAAATCAGTTTTTCGTTATTATATTATAGAAGAAGATCTTGTAAAAACTTTCTGAGCTGATGTAAACTTATAGGTTTTGACAAGAACTTGAAATCCATTTAATTTAAATTGTTCTAAAAATAATAGTATTCTAAAAATTTGAAGCATAAATATTACTTCATATTCTACATACAATAACAAACATTTTTTGTACATAAGATTTTCTTCCATCTTATTTACAAACCCGTGTTGTAAAATGCACGATTTGAAGTTCTTGTCAAAACCTATAAGTACACATCAGCTTAGAATGTTTTTACAAGATCTTTGTAAATGATTGATTATTTATTTGTTGAAAACAACTGGGGAATAAACGATTGAACTCTATCATAATTTATATAACTATAAAATGCTTGTGAAGAACTTTCGAATGGGATTTTTAAAATCCTAAACAGACCTTTATTGACTGAGCATATTACACTTGAATGCCCTTTAAATGCAGACGAATTCTTGTAGCTAAGAAATTCACTTTTTTTTCAAAATGCGACAAAAAAAACTTGAAACGACTAAATCTGAAAAAGCGATTTTAATAAGGGGATTTTCTTCGCGTAAGCATCGTCGATATATATACATCTCGCGTATAAACGAGATCGGAGCTCGTCGAGTCGCACAACCATACACGATTCCGTAATGATAATTGTGGCCAAAATTTGTGGTGGGGGCGACGCCTCTCGTTACGCTCGGCTCGCTTCTTTTTGCAGGTAACGTGAGATACATCTGGACTTCCGGCCGCAAGTGCAACTTCAACGGCTGCGACAGGCCCGACCTGCAGCCCCAGAACATCAACGGCTGGTTCTGGTCGGGCTCCGGTGCCAAGATCGGCCCGACGAATCAGCGCAACACCGGCGACTGGTCCGCAACGGGCGGCTACGGCACGCCCCAGCCGGACAATCGCGAGGCCGCCCAGGGCAACGACGAGTCCTGCCTGTCGATCCTCAACAATTTCTACAACGACGGCATCAAGTGGCACGACGTCGCCTGCCACCACGTCAAGCCGTTCGTCTGCGAGGACAGCGACGAGCTGCTCAACTTCGTCGCCTCGAGAAATCCGGGAATTCGTCTGTAAACGTTGTCGTTGTTTGTTTGTTTTTTCTTCTTCTCGTAACATCGCAACAACGGTATATAAATAATAAAAGGAGAGAGGCAACGAGTTACGTACGAGAAATTATCGCGCGAAATAGATATACGTAACGAGAGGTCTTTTTGTTTTAGAGAGAGCTTGAGGAAACGCGATCACAATTAGCCGTTCGAGCTTCATTACCCGGGGGTGTAGCGTATAGTTAATTTACTTCTTTTTTTTTTTTTTATAATGCTCTTTCTAAGTTAACTTATACGTATATCGAGTTTAAGGCCGAAGATCTTCTCGCTCGCCGTAGTTTTATAATGATAATAGCAAAGAAACAAAAGGCAATTTTAACTTCTCTCTTTTTTCAACGCAAGAAAATATGCAGATAGCGAGTATGCTCGTCGATTCAAATTCTTTCAACTTTTGAGGCAAATAAAATATTATTATTATTATAATTGTCGACACGCGAGAATATCTTTGATGGTAGTTATTCATTATTATTATTATAATTATTATCGGCAACAAATGTATAACTTTGTATCGTAATTTACGAGCCAAGCAAACACGTCGACCTAACTATTTGTTCATAATATTTAATTAAATTAACGATAATCCATAAATCGTCGTTTGTACGCGGTGACAAATGTAATATTTTAAGCGTAATTATGTACAATAACTTTTACGGATACTTCATATTTTTATGAAAAATAAATAATTAATAATTATACAATAAAACCCGCGAGTCTCGTCGCGGACTCCGCTGAACTGAAGCGTACGATGTTTTTTATTCTCTCTCTCTCTTTCTCTTTACATCTGTTTCATTTTACATTTTACATCGCACGTAACAAGGTATACATAACAGAAGAAAGGATATGAAAAAAGAATCAAGAGAAAATTGATTACTTGATAATTGTAACGCATCGTTGTTCGCAAAGACTCGAATTTGTGCATCGTATTCACCTGTCATCGCGTTAATGTCTTGTGTACAAAAAAAAGCACCGTGTGTGACGACGCACGACATATACGAGAAAAAGAGAAATAAAAATTTTAAAACGAAAAAAAGGAACAGCAACTATGTGGTACTCGTTTTTAAGTAGCGAATGAAAGCCTTTTTACTTGTTAACCCTAATTTCTTTGCGATATCTTAATCCTCACTTGTCTCAACTCTTGTATTGCACACTGCCATCGTATACACGCCGATTCACTTGGCGTACAAGAGAAGGCGACAAGATATAGCTAACTCTGTTTTTGATATCTTGACCATGCATGATAAAACGTTACCGAACCCGTCGCGCAGTAAAGGTGATTCACTTCTGCACGTGGCCTGTAAGTTGGGTAACTCGAACTACCTCCAGGCGTATACGTAGAAGAAAGCATATTTCGAGATGGGTTGGAAAGTACTAGAGAATATATAATAAATTTACGTAATTAGGAAGGGAACAATTGAATTCATGTAGCAGCAATTAAGGGACATGTACAGATTGTCATAAATTTGTTAAAAATGGGCATTAATCCTACTAGTGTTACAGAAGGTGGAAATAATATTTTCCATCTTTTAGCATTAGATAGGAGTTTTCAGGACAATAAAGCCGCGCTGGCGATAATGAATCACTTTGGAGAAACTAATGCAATAGGAATTTCGTCTTTTTGACGATAATGTCAGGGGACACCCGAAGTTTAAGATACATAAATGAGTATGAAGCAAACACCCTTCATAAGCCCTGGCAGCGACATGTCATTTGTGCAGAGCGACTAATGCGGTCGGGGCCACCTAGCGCCAGAAGCGGGAAACGGGAAAGATGAGAGTGGTAAAGTGAGAAAAAGATTGTTTGGCGGAGAGACAAAGTTAACTTTTTATGAACAAAAAAAAAAAACCACAATGCGTATATCATCACACAGGAACATCGTCTGCTCGGGCCAACGTGGCAACAAGCTCCTGATCAGCGGTGGCGAAGGTGGTGGTGGCGGTGGCGGCTCGAAGCTGGCCGCCCTGCTGACGACGACCAACAGCAGCAGCAGCCCGGACTCGTCGGACGATGCCTCGATCATCGTCCAAGAGCTCCTCGGCGCCCACATACCCGCCCTGGCCCAGCAGCAACAGCAGCTGCACGTTAACAATAATCAGCAGCAGCAGCGGCTACACTTCTAAAGCAGTCTAAACTTTCATCATCATTTACTGTTGTTTAATTATTATTTAACGTTTAAGAGATAGGTAAATCGATGATTAATTTACATCTCTGGAAAAACGCAAAAAATACTGCTAGTGCACTGCTGGTCTATAATACTATTATTGCACAGAAGTACACAATAATAACAGGTGTCCGTATGTGAATGCATTTATTGCGTTATTTTTGATAATTATTTATCATTTCTTAACATTCAGCATTTTTCGTTGTTGCAAATATCGTAATTGAAAAAATAGTTGTATTTTGTTATTCTAAAAACTGTCATAGGTCACTCTCGCGCTTATTGCATTTTTTAATTTTTTTATTGAATTCAAATTAAGTTAAAACTTTAGACACTAGAGCAAAATTAGCGATACGAAGAAGTGTCTTAGAAAGTCGTGGCTTCAGTAGCATGTTAGACATTAGATTTTTAACATTGTTCATGAACCCACCAAATATAAATATAAAAAAAATTATCAAAAATGAGTTCCTCGAATCTCAGCTTGAGATTCTCAGGCTGTTAAACAACAACGCATCCTTGATACAGGTATGATAATTCAGTTTTAACAAGCTTTTATAACTTTTAAAAAATTCATAGTACATTAATTAGTTGATTAAATAATGAATTAAAAAACGGTTTGCACTTTGAGGTTTTTTGATAAAATATATATTGTTATTACCGATCATTTCTCTCGTAGCAGAAATAATCGGCATGTCAGACAATTTATCAAAATCTTTCACTTAAGCGTGCCCGATCAATTTGGGGTCACATATTTCATAAAAGGTTTATCCAGTAGCCGACTAAATGTTTACTTCTTTCACAGATCCAAATAAAACGCGAAAAAAATTTTACAAAGGTGTAATGATAGTTGAACGTCCGAGGTTCAGGTAATGTACAATTAGTATTATTAACAGCACAATTTTTATTAAAATATAAAAAAAAGCATGCATGAATATGTATCTATACATATTTACAATTGTCATTTCTTATCGTACTGGTCGCAAGTGAAATCTCTCAGACGTTCGTGTATTACTTTTTGGTGTTTGATCAAATGGTGTTTAAGTCCAAATTTCTTCTCGCACTTGTCGCATGCGTAGTCTTTTTGACCCTGGTGTATTGTTCTTATGTGGAAGAGCAAACTTGATTTCTGGCCAAACTTCTTCTCGCATCTGTCACATGCAAAATCTCTCCTACCTTCGTGGACCGTACTTTGATGCACAAGCAAATGCGCTTTTTGTCCAAATTTCATCTCGCACTTGTCGCATGCGTAATCCTTAAGACCTTCGTGGACTGTTTTTTGGTGCTGAATCATAGTCCTTTTTTCTCCAAATTTCCAGTCGCACTTGTCACATGCGTAATCTTTCCGACCTTCATGGACTATGTTTTGATGTTTGATCAAATTGCTTGATTGATCAAATTTCTTCTCGCACTTGTCGCATGCGTAATCTCTCCGACCTTCGTGGACTGACCTTTGGTGCCTTAACAAATTCGATTTATCTCCAAATTTCTTTTCACACTTGTCGCATGTAAAATCTTTGCGACCTTCGTGTACTGTCCTTTGGTGCTTTAACAAATCTGATTTGAATCCAAACTTCTTTTCACACTTGTCGCATGCATAATTTTTGCGATTCTCGCGAAGTTTTTTTTCGTACCTGATCAAATCGAATTTTATTCCAAATTTCTTCTTCCGCTCATCACAGGTGAAAACTTTACGATCTTCGTGGGCTGTTTTTAGGTGTAAGAGCAGATTTTGTTTATTTCCAAATTTCTTGGCGCACTTTTCACATAAGTAATCTTTGAACACCTCGTGGAATATTTTTTTATGTCTAATCAAAGTTGATTTGTTTTCAAATTTTCTCTCACACTTGTTGCATGTGAAATCTTTGCGATTTTTGTGTACTAATTTTTGGTGCGTGAACAAACTCGATTCTTTCACAAATTTTTTCTCGCACTGGTCGCAGGCAAAATCTTTGCGGCTTTTGTGTACTGATATTTGGTGTCTATTTAAATGACTTCGAAACTCAAATGTCCTCTCGCACTTGCCGCACGAGTAATTTTTTTGCCCGTCATGAATTCTACTACGGTGTGTTATCATGCTCGATTCTAGTGTAAAAGACTCCTGACAAATATCACAAACGTAATTTTTGTTGTCTGAAACATCCTGGGAGTCAACTTCCTCGAATTTCTTCTCACTTTTATCCATTTTGGTACAGAAATTAAACATTGAGTCCTTCTATTTAGTGTCGCAAAAATTAAATGAGAAAAATTTATCTTTGCTTATTATGGCTTGTTTCTTCGGGAAAGACAATATTTAAACTAATTTGTTTTTACTATAAACACGATCAGTGTTTCAAGGAGCGATATCAAAATCGGTTATAATCAATATTGTTTACAATTAACGAACCAATTTATCTCTTTACACACTATCCTTACAATATTTGAAACAATTAAAAATTTTTAATTGGCAACGAATCCTTCGATGGATTTTTGGACTTTCTGAAACAAAGTACTTTCAATCAAACTCACTGATAATTCTTAGACCATGGTTTTGCTATACGATAATGTTATTTATTTGTTCATTTCCGAAAATCGTATTAAATTATATATTATCATATACGATGTATATGATAATTTTTATTGTGTAATTTATGTCTGTTAAATATCAAAATGAATGATATTTGAAAAATTGAAATGTGTTAATAAATTAGGTAAAAATTGGATGAGAAAATGATGAGTAACGCCAGCTTTCGCACATCACTAACACTTGAAAAGTCACTTCAATAATATTAATGTTTTGTGGATTAATTATCATTTTACAAACTATCTTACTAACATTCCTTCGTAACCTTGCAATTTATAAATCAGTTTTTGATTGCAGTTTGTGTTTCATTATTTTCACGAATTCAGTACTACATGATATCGCTTTTTTTATGAAAATTTAGCATCCTTATGAATTGAATGTTATCCGTTAAATTTTCCACTTTCACAGGTAAAATGTTGTTATGCAAGACTTAAAAAGTACGCAGAGATATTTGAAAATTTTGAAGGTAAGATATAGCTTTGCATCGTTGCTGATTCCGATGCAGAGCGATCGTCCATTGGAGCTGCTTTTAACCCTCTTTTGCGATATCTTAATCCTCGTTCCATTGTTGAAATCGAAGCAGCCTTACGCCTATCGCGCAAAATTGTGCGCGGCCGGTCGTCGCGTCTTCGACTGTTTATGTTTTGTTTTTTTTTTCTTGCTTTGCCGCTCACTGCTGCCCGCTGTGTGTGACTCCCCCATCTCTTATCGCAGGAAACCTCAGTCGTCTGTTGCCTTTTTACGCGCGCACGTATAATAGGCAGTGCCCATAACAAAGTGTCGAACTGCGTCGAGTGCAGCATCAGCATAATTTTCTCGTTTCTTTGTGCGTATTATTCATATAGCGTTTGATTAAGAATCCGCATCTCGATCGTCTAGGTGCAGATTATTAATCCTCTCTCTGTCTCTCTCTCTCTCTGCGTGTGCCGGGTGTCGAATTTTGATCGAGTCGAAGCGCAAAAAAGAAAATAGAACAGAAGAATGTCGTCGCCGCTGAGGACGCGTAGCAGCTACGGTCGCGACGACAGCATCAAGACGTCCAAGGAGCTCGTCGGGAAGTGTCTTCAAGTGAGTCTGCACCGTAGAGCCCCGACATTCTTATCTCGAATATCGTTTTTCACCTCAAATAATGTATGATTATTCGCGCACGTGCAGCTCGCCCAGGAGGCGGAAAAAGTCACCGAGTGTCCGCTGTGCCTCGAGCCGGTCAGGGAGAACGTCCAGTGTCGCACGGGCCACATCATCTGCAAGGACTGCCGCCAGAAGGTCGACCAGTGCCCCAGCTGTCGGGGCCCCTACGTCGGCACCAAGTGCTTCCTCGTCGACGAGGTCACGGAGAAACTGGACTCGGTCAAGGTATTGTTACGTTAATCGCGATGATGTTTATACATTTTCGTAGTTAAAAACAGCCCAAAATTTCATCGTACGCGCGCAGATCTCGCTGGAGGACCTCGACAGGTCGCTGAACGAGCCCAACTCCGCCGACCGAGTCCTCGAGTATCGCAAGCTGATCAAGTCGCTGCTCGGCGAGCTCGCCGACTTCCTCGGCAAGACGAGCAAGTGCCTGGAGCGCCTCGACGATTATGTGCACCGTCGGTCGTGGTCCGCGCAGCAGCAGCCGGAGCAACTCGACGACGATCTCTTCCCGGCTCTGATCGAGCAGCTCAACGGCATACGCATCCTCATGACGGGCACGTTGGACGAGCTCGAGACTCTGAAAAAGTGAAGATTCGTCGAACATCGACGTCGTCTTTGCGTCGATTATTGTACTGCTTGATCCAATGTAATTGTTTATTATATACTTAATTGCGAATAAAAACGCCTAACTTGTCTAATTGTGTACATTGAAAATATTTTCTGTTACTCGATGGGGGTCAGTAGGTTTCGGCAATTTGTATATAAACACAGCGCGCGACAGTTACTAAGTTTCGCTCGTCTAGCGAGGCACGCGCGCGTCAATCTCGACACAAACACGTCGGATTTCCTGCGACAGGATATCGAACTAGAGAGAAAAAAAAGCAATATTAGCAAGATAAAAGACCGATCATGGACGCGGCCATAAACGAACTGCGGCACAAGGTATTGTTGTAATTGAACAAAAAAAAAAACACGACTATCGTATATACTTTGATATCTATGTGTGCGCGATGAATTCGAACGAAAATCAAAAATTGTGTTGTGTTGTGGTCGGCCTCGCAGTTCGCCGAGGACCTCGAGGACATACTCCAGTGCCCGATCTGCTACGACTGGCTGACGGAGACGGTGCCGATGTGCGCGCAGGGCCACCACGTCTGCGTCAAGTGTCTCGGCCACCTGCGCCGCTGTCCACTGTGCCAGGGCGACTTCAACGGTTCGCGCAGCTACCTCGCCGAGTCACTCGTGCAAAAGTTCAACGATCTCAAAGTGAGCTCGACCGGCCAGTTTAACTTTTGTTGTTTTTTCGCGACGATAATTAATTTTCAATTTCGTGCGTTCGCGTGCGCGCGTCCTGCAGCTGGCGTTGGTCAATTACGACGAGATGAGCAGCAGCTGCAACGACGTCGACGGCCAGGACTCGTCCACGGCCACGGACCAAGATCACGACGGCCAACAGCTGGATCGCAGCGCCAGCCAGGAGACCCAGACCGACGAGTCGTTTTCGTCGTCCGACGAGAGCCTGAACGAACCGCTGAGGCTCGCCCCGAGCGTGGGCACGGGTAAGTATCCGTGTCGCATCGGCGACTGCAGACAAGAGCTCGCCCACGGACGCATGATACCCCACATCAAGTACTATCATCCCGAGGCCCTCATAATGGTAATTTTGCTGCTGCTGCTGTATCTTTTTTCTTTCTTTCAACGATTGAAATTTTTGCCCCCTTCCACGCAGGACAAGACGAACCGCGACTGCGGCTACGAGTTCCAGTGGACCCTGCTGTACGACCCGTCGACCACCTACAGTCAGGCGCTCGCCCTCACCAAGATGGGCCTGTTCTTCTTCCGGCTGGCGATCGGCCAGGAGGGCGAGGTGCGCGGCCACCTGCGCGTCGTCAATACGCGGCTGCGCGCCGCCGAGTTCCGCTACACCCTCGAGATCACCAACGGCCGCGACGCCAGCTCCTACACCGGACCGGTAAGGACGACAACGACTTTTTTGTGTCTTGTCTCTTCGTCGTCTGTCAATTGATTTTTCTTCTGCCGAACAACAACAGGTACTGGGCTGTAGGGGCACGAGAATCATGAAGAACACGCCGGGTTTGTTCGTCAATCACTCGACGATGACCTACATCCGGAACGGTCGCAACAAGTTCTTCTGCAACTTGAAGCTCAAGCGTCTTTCGTACGACGAGATGTTGAACGCCATCAAGGGTGATTAGGGATATGGAGAAAGCAAAAAAAAAAGAATTTAATATCTACTCTCATTGTTACGCTGGTCGATTTAAAAGATTATTTTTGAATTCGTTGATTGTTATTGTTTGATTGTTTTGTTTTTAGTTTATTTTAATAGATGAATAAGCAAAGAATTTTAATTATAAAATTATTGAATTTATTTGTCGGTCAATTAATTTACAATTATCCTCGCTCCACTCTCGTTTCAGATGTGCTGCATCCAAATTTACAAGCCTTTTGTGATGATTGAATTTTTATCATTCCATGTAATGGATTTCATCGTCACATGGATATTCACTTTATGCTGTGAAGCATTAATTTAAAAGATCTGTTCTTAAAATCCTTAAGTTTCAGATAACATCATAGCGACTATTGTTCTGTTTTGAGCCTAAGTTACGTTTTATCATTGTAAAAGTATCCATATACATTAGTATCATACTTTTTCCTGACAAATCGCAATAACCAAGGAGCCACTGCTACTAAAGATGGTAGCAATAACTGCAGAAGCAGATGGAAAAATAGTAATTTTATCAGGAATACCCGGATGTCACAGGACGTCCTATTTTCGTTGTTTCTATTTATTATCGATACAGAATCCACTCTAATATTTGCTTGAATTGAATAAGCTTGATTTTCCTCGCGTTTAAGCGACTTTGAACGCCAGTAAAAGTCTGTAAAATTGACATTCCTATATTCCTCTCTGACGGCTTCTTGAATGCATTCGTTGACCAGCTCACGTTCAATCGCCGCACCACGCATTGAAACATTTGTTAATTCTCGATTTTGATCGTATCGCCTCGATGAATTCAAGTTTGAAGACTCGATTGATGATTTACCAGTATAGGGTTCGATGATTTCACGATTCAGCTCTGAATCGCCCCATGCAGTGTGCATTGAAGCATCTGTTATCTTGCCACTTGCATCGGATTCAATGCTTCCAAAGCTCAGCTCGTTTCCGGTCGATGCCGTATGCCCCGAAGCAATCGTTAAATCGCGATTTCGATTATATTGCCTCGATGAATCCGGGCTTAACGACTCTTTTGGTGATTCTAATTGTAGTCTTGTACATGGTGTTAAACGTATACTCCGATATTCCTCTTTGATAGCTTCTTGGTTGCACCTTATAACCGCAACCGTTGTTAAACGCATACTCCGATATTCCTCTTTGATAGCTTCTTGGTTGCTTTCGTAGTTCAGCTTTATTTCGGTCGGATATTCCTCTTTGATAGCTTCTTGGTTGCACCGTATAACCGCAACCGTTGTTAAACGCATACTCCGATATTCCGCTCTGATAGCTTCTTGGTCGCTTTCGCAGTTAAGCTTTTTTTCGGTCGGCGCGGTACGTACTGGCGTGTTTTGATCATGTTCGCTGGGTCTATGACACCCTGAAGACTTTTTTACTGATCCTAATTGAAATCTTGTATTTTCTTTTCTCATATTGGTCGACCCATGACCCAAAATAACACTCATTTCAACAGAATTTATATGCATGGAGAATTTTTTTAAATTGTTCCCATAATATGATCTGTAAGCTACTTCATCTTCTTCATCTTCTTCATTATCTTCATTGTCTTCATTGTTTCGCGTGAAGAATTTTTTTAAATTGTTCCCATATTCTGGTCTGTAAGCTTTTTCATTGTCTTCATTGTCGATCGACGGAGTAGGCGTTGACGTTGCTGTTAGAACACAATGTTGATTATTACATCTTTATCATTGAGAGCTTGAAGACTGATACAATGGTTTATTTAAGTATTTACCTTTAAAATATGAGGGATCAAAGTCATCTTGTAAGGCAGAATAGCTCATCTCCGGTGATAGATCGTCACCGATGATTAGATCTATAAAAAATAAAATTATGTTATCAAGGGATATTATTTATGGATAATAAGTATTAATATTAATGAATTATACATGAATACTGATTGTACATAAGAACTTCGAAAATGAATTTTTTTTGTTGAAAATATTTTTCACAAATATCATGAGTGCATAACTTTACGCTTACCATTCACCAAATTCTCTAAGTCTAAACGATCTAGTGCTATTGAATTTTCATTGTGAATTGTGAATGAGTAATTTGGTTGTGTAGATGTTGTAGGATTTGTTTGATTATCGTGACATGTATTTGTATTGTTTGAAAAAAGTGTACTGTATGTGGGCACATGGTTTTTATACACTACAAGACGCATGCAATCAATGAGTGAACGTACCCTTTTTTCAACATTTTCGTAATTTTGTTTCGTTGGAGAATGCTGAAAAAAAATAATGTATAAAATATTATATTAAGAAATATTACATAACGTTGAAAAATACTATAGTAATACATACATAAGATGTAGCTCCACTATTAAAATCTTGATCTCTTGTCATTTCATTGATTTGACCATTTTTTTGGAGATTTAAAATCGAATGAATCGCAGCATTTTTGAAAGATCTAAGATTTCGACGAATTCTACCTTCAGCAGAATCTGGATGATTTGGCTCTATCTTCATTGGGTCATCGTTCTTAGGCATTTTCTCGACAGAACGTCCTGACGAACATTCTGGTCTTAAAATGTCATTACTTTCTTGTCCAATACTCAAAAGATTAAAAGCTGGAATGATTCTGCAATCCGATGAAGTACCCTGAGTGTGCCTATCATCCAACTGATTTGTTTCATTGGTGAAATCCAGTACTTCTGGTTCAATCGTAGGATTATAGGATTCAACATGTTCAGCTGCAGCATTATAAACAACGAACTGACCACCTACGTATTTGATTAAGGGAGCACCATTGACGAGATGACTCGTAAAACTATGTCCAAGTTCAATAAGACGCGCGACACGGAGATACATCTCAGTTTGTGAATCCAACCTCTGATTATTATCAGACTCTGTGAAATTTAATTCTTTTAAACAATCTTCGAGTGGGGAAAATCCTTGCACTAAAACATCTTCTGGAAGTGGATAACCAACTGGAACTAAAATTACATTAGAATGAAAAATAATTCTTTGATTAAATTGTACAGTTTTATAAAAGTACTTCATACATGAAGGGCGTTCCGAATCCGACAGAACAATCTGCAAAATGTTTAAAACGGTGCAAAATCCTTTCCAAATCTTAGAATGTTCTGAAAAAGCTGGTTCATTTAAAATGGAAGATCTTGTTGAAATCCATTGGAAGCATAATTTAACTAGAAAAGTAAAAATGAAAATTTTAAAATGAAATGCTTTTTATAATTTGAATATTATAAAAAAATTATAGCAACTTACTTGTTGGTAAGGCATTGTTACCAATTAAACTGTCAGTTATCGTATAATTTGCGAGTAACATTGCATCCAATTGACCAACTATTAATTTAAGAATATCTTGTTTAGCTTTCTGTTGTTCACCAGATAGTTTCGAATTGCAGTCATTTGTTGGACAAAGTTTCAAGTAATCAATACTAAATAAATTTATGACAAACATTTGTAGCAATATACTGCTACTGAAAGAATTTGTTGCTACCATTGCAAGGATTCGTAAATTTAAAAATTTTACTAGACCTGAGCGCTTCCTGTTGATGAAATAAAATACATTGAATACAGGAAAGTTACTCGTTACAGTACATTTTAAACCAAATACTTACTGTGCATTTTGTGTGCAATTTGTGTGAAGAATTTTGTGGAAGTAAAGAAAAATATTAATTAATTCGTCTTGTGTAAGTTCGATGTATGGATTCGTGATATTGATATCAGGAATAGTTTCAAGTGTTCTGAATAAATTAGGTATTGATGGTCCAAATGGATGTTGGCACATAATTGCTTGTACATAATGAAACACAGTTCCAAGCTTGTTTGAGCGTATTACATCCAATAATGCTAATTGGTTGTAAGCATGTCCACTTGTTGGTGAAACAGATTGAGCATGTCGATAAAATAATTCTGCTTCATTAAGTTGATTTCTATATCGGTCTAAATCTCCTAGGTGCACTAAACAGTGTGTGCATATGAAATAACATAAAGATTTGAAATTTTCATCTGAATTCGTTTTTGTATTGTTTTCCGAGTCTATTCCCATATATTTATTTCTGAAATGATTTTAATAGTTATTTCAATTCGTAAATAAAATATTAATAAAAAAGACATTGATAACTAACCGGCGAAATGGTACTTTTAAGTCATAAGATAGACAAAAGTGATCCAAGAGATTCAAATAGAATCCGTAAGCTTCATCGAGAATCTGAGTCAAAATACATTGGGCATCAGATCTTTGACTATTTTTTTCGTTTTTAGACATCTTTTGCAAAATTGATATGAAATGTTTAAAGCCATAATTCCACAACTCTTGTTCAACCATACATCTCAAGGCATACTGTAAATCTATAATAATTATCATTTTACCCAGATACAAGTATTTTCTTTGTATGATCCATAGTGAGCTAGAGAGAACATCTGATTCACTAAGATTTTCAATGCGTTTTCTAACTTCTTGAAACTCTCTATAAATAAAACGAACAAAAACAAAGATTAGTGATTATCGTTTAGCAACTTCTTAAAAATATGCATAAAAGATTGTTGAATTCTAGTTAAATGATAATTACATAGAAAGTAAAATGCTTACCGGTGCATTTCGTCCACAGTTCTTTTCAAGCTCATTTTTATGTATACCTAATTGATCTGAAAGTATAAAGATAAAAAACTGCTTAGTCAAATAGTTTTTAATGACTCCTATTTTTGTTTCATAAATATCTTTCTCGATTTTTAGAAAAAGTGAAGACGTATATATCATCATGTAATTTCCAAATTATAAGGTTATTGAAAAGAAAATTGAAAGTAATTAAAAATAGTATATTTTGCACCTAGGGAGTGAAAAACTGGAAAGTCTCAGAGCAAGTGCAATTTATCATCCGAGGCGAAGCCGAGGTTGATGATCACGTGCTCTGATACTTTCTTTTTTCGCTAAGTAGGTGCAAAATATACTAACTACTGAATGTCGTTTAAATTAGATCAATTTTTTTCATCCCATTAAAAATATTTAACCTATCATTGAGACATTAAGATAATTGATGATAATTGATCGAACTGGCGAAGAGGTTAAGTATAAATAAAAGGATAGCTTTCATCACACACTTATCAAACTGAAGAAAATCAAAAAAACTTTTTGGAGCCTTCAATCGTTGAATCTGACGGTTAGCAGAAGACTTGATAATAACACAGTTAGATAGAAATTCTGCAATAATATCTGCTCTTTATCGAAGAGTAGGGGCAATAATAAGAAAGCATGTGGTCGCACGAAGCACATGTGATATGGCACACACCAGAGCCTAGTAGTAGTAGTTTAGTCCAGGAGAGCAGGGCTACCAAGTCCCAGCATTCGGCGCTATCTATGAAAGAAGCGAATTTTCAAATGAGAAAATCAACGCATCAAGTTTATTAAATGTAATTTTCTGTTTTTTTTTTTCATTAAAATTTTTCATCGGGCCTATATTCGAAATTATTGAAAGCAAATGTCGTAAAAAGATTGTTTCAGCTTTAAACAATTACATACCAAACTATTTGTTAATCATTAAAAAAGTCAAGTTGTAAATTGTTATATTTTTTATAATTTTTCGATAACTATAGCCACATAAAATAATAACTATTTAAAAGTTGTGTGATTCAAAAATATTTATTTTTTTTTTGAATGAAATTATTTGCAGACGACACATAATTGAGGTGCCAAGTATGAAGCAGCCGATAATGCCGTCACGCGGCAGTCGGCATACGCCAATTTGTTCTATATTTTTGCAGCCTACTCTAACAGGTTACGTTTTAGAAAAAACATTGATTTGAAATATCAGAAAAATGTTGATGTTCACACGAAAAATAATTGGAGATGTTTACTTGCACCAAAGCAAGAGTCTTGTAAGAAATTTTAAATAGTTATTAAAACTTATGGATTAATGTATCTATTTACAAAAATATGATCTCTCACGAAATCTTTACAGAACTTTCATATGATCCAACTGATGCATATGAATGCAGATCAACTGAAAGAAAAACAAAAGGAAATGATGGCTCGTAGTTTGCCCAAACAGAAACCTATCAAGGGTGTAAAACAGATTTTGATTGTGGCATCTGGTAAAGGAGGTGTTGGAAAATCAACAACTTCTGTCAATTTAGCTGTAGCTTTGAAAAATATTGAACCAAATAAAACAGTAGGATTGCTAGATGCTGATGTGTTTGGTCCATCTATTCCCTTAATGATGAATTTGCACGAGGCTCCAATGTTGAATAAAGATAATCTGATGGAGCCACTTGTGAATTATGGGGTAAAATGGTAATAAAAAATATGTTTTATTTCTCAAATACTATTTAGAAATAATGATTGTTTATCATGACTTTACTTTTCCAGTATGTCAATGGGATTTTTAATTGACAAAAAGTCTTCTGTGGTGTGGAGAGGTCTGATGGTAATGAGTGCATTAGATAGAATGATTCGTCAAGTTTCATGGGATCCCTTGGATTATTTGATTATAGACACACCTCCTGGTACCGGGGATACTCATTTATCATTAATTCAAAATATACCAGTTGCTGGTAGTATTTTAGTTACAACCCCTCAAAAAGCAGCTGTTGATGTCACAAGGAGGGGAGCATCAATGTTTCACAAGGTCAATGTTCCAATTGTTGGCATTGTTTCCAATATGACTAATGTTATCTGTCCGAATTGCAATACCAAAGTACCTCTGGCCAAAGACACGACAGATAGCTTAGCCAAAGAATTGGACACCAAAATTTTATGTAAAATTCCACTGGAGGAAAGTATTATGGACTGCTGCGATAATGGTAAACCTATTGTACTTAGTGCTCCAAATTCAGAGACAGCAAAATCCTACAAAGAATTGGCTCGAGCAGTGTCAACATTTTTAAAAATTCGCTTAATCCATTCTGACTAGTACTCCAAAAGTACATAAATATTGTTAGATCAGTTATCTAACAGAGGACACGCAGCTGTAAGGTAAATAAATAACAATTGATTAACGAAAACAACTGATTTAATTAAATATTATTGATTATTCTGTCATGCGATGTACACGATTTTCGATAAGATTTAAATTGCACTCCCCCCCTCTTTTGATCCGTCACATGTTCACCTGCGCTTATAGCTTCAGGTAGAGGGGCGAGGTCTTTTTATATACACGTATGAACGCGCGAATTGTCGAATGACTAATGTTCAAGTACTTAGTGTGTGGCTTGCAAACAAACGTGTAAGATCAACTATTGCAGCGCGAACAGCTCAATTTTTATGTTTAAATCTTCGAAAATAATTTTGCGACTAACAAAATTAGAGTTGAGAGCGAATTTTTGTGAGTTTAAGCACTAATTTGAACAAGATAGATCGTATATACGTCGAAGATTTTGTAATCGTACGAGGTAATTTATTATTTCATCATTGTTACAGCGAGTCGCGGTAAAAACATGGAGAGCAAGTTTACCAGCATACATTCTAGCCCAGATGCGGATATTCACGACGTGCCGATGGACGTACTGATACGACCATTTCAATTATCAGTTAATAATGAAAAAGTGGAAAGTTTGATGAAAACATTGAAAGATCCCAGCACCGAGCACCAAGTACCGCCTGTAGATATCCTTTGGATCAAGGGCAAAAATGGTAAGATCAATTTTTGGCCACACATCTTGCGATAAGAAACTATTAATTGTGCTGAAAATTTCCATGTTTGGTTCTTGCTTCTACACGTGTAGGTGGAGATTATTATTATTCATTTGGAGGATGTCATCGTTACGCCGCTCACAAGCGATTAGGAAAACCGACCATCAAAGCGAAAATCGTCGAATCCACGATAGCAGACTTGAAGACTTACCTGGGAAACTCGACTCCCGACTTGAAGTAATTTTTATATGATTGTTGAACTCGTTGTTTATTTATTTTTTACTTTATTTTTAAACGTGGCAAGCACGATCTCGCTCCACGATGCATAATTATTGTTTTTTTTTCGCATTTTGAGTCAAATGCGAGCAATCAACACCTTATTAAATAATCGTGAAAAGTGCATTATGCTCGAGCAAGGTCAATGAAAATAAATAATGTGCATTTTATTAGCATATTTACTTATAGAATAAAAGAACACCAAAAATGCAAAGACTTGTGTTGCATTTGAAATCGAACGAATTTTAATAAGATTTTTAAATAAAAAAGAATAATGCGATAGAATTCAATATTTGCAATTGTTTATTATTTTCTCATCTTTTGCAAAATTACTATAGTGATTCCATTTTAGTAGAATAATACTTCTTTTTTTTACGCTTTACTCAAGTGTACACAAATCAGTTTTTCAACCCATTTCATTAATTCTACATTTAAATCACATGCTCACATAATAGATAACATCTATATTGCCCTATCATACCGGTATGTTTAAAATACAATAATTGCATTACGTCAAACTTCCCAATAACTCAATTGGTTTTCGAAAATAATATAAAAATTATATACCTCTGCTTTCATAGAGTATCTTACAAATTATGTTAGCAGTATCGAATGAGTCTCATAGTCAATCAAATTGCATCAACTGTTTTATATTATTGACTAATTAAAATTTTCTTGTAAAAATAAAACTAATTGCACTTTCCAAAAGTATAAAAAAATCGAGTTTTCATCTTTAATTAAATTACCTTCAATAATTAGAGAAAATAATTTACATAAGTATATAAAGAAATAAAATTCTCTTTTCACTTAAATTCCATGTCCTACGTAATTACAGATTCAAATAAAATATATTCTAATTAATTCATAATATTGCGAAATAAATCTGCCTGTAAATCATAAATACTTTTTAATTATATTAAAATTAATTTATAATTATTTAGCTATGAATTTTGCTATTCAAACTGACCCTCAGACTGTACTAAGATTCAAAATTAAAAACTAATTTAGAGCCTCTTAATTAATAAATACTGTCTTATAACCATGATTATTTTTACTCCATTTGGCAGTAACCTATTCTATAGCATACATAAGCTTTTTACACAGCCTTATTAAATAATACATAAGTGAATCGTTAGTATAAAAAGGTAATGCTTTTCTTCGAATAATTAGTTACGCCAAAAATGAGTTCCCTTTTTAATTTCCTTATTCCACAATATTCACCATTTTTTTCTTTGGTGCAAGGACTTTCATTTTACGTGCTAGGAAAAGTCGTATTCGATGTATTCCTATTATACTGCGCTGGTTTACGCAAATGCTTTGGTATGACTGTTTCTTGTAGATGCAATAGTTGCGTATTTGTCACTTGACAATCTATTTGCATCATTGTTATGTGATTCGATGGAGTAGAGTAATATGAACCTGTAAATAAAACATGAGCATCTTAAAAATGTTTTTCTTAAAATTGTATCGTTTATTTATCTACATCTGAATTTCTCTTATCTCAAAGATAGTATTGATTTATTATTAATATAATTTACCAGTAATTTAAATTTGTCAGATAAATTATTCATTCGAAATTTTCGTGTACTTACCATTTACTGGCAGCGCCGGTAAAATCAAGGACATTTTGGGATGCATTGTACTGTTTTTTCTTGACGCTGGTAACAATAAATGATCTCCAGTGAACCAGACAACATAAAATGTATCTTCCTTTCTTCCTAATACTTCAAACAGTTTTGCATGTTCTTTGATCATTGGAGAAAATAACTGTATGGCATTTATATCTTTCGTCACTTCACTTTTTATTTTTTGTTGCTTGAGTCGTTTTTTGGGTATCAGTCTTGAAGTTATCACTTTTGGTTTCAAAGCTTTTTCGAGATTTTTTTTCTCTAAAGTTATAGGTTTCGGTGCCTCACCTATCCACCGACGTAACTCTGAATCTAAGCGATTCGATTCAGTTTGATTGATGTAAGTTGGACAAATGGGATTAAACTCAGGTGTACTGTCATTAGCAGTGAATGACTCTTGTGGTGGCTCTTCGATGTAGTTGTCTTTCCATAATAACGTTCGACCCATCCTGACATTTGCCAGATCAATCGCTGAAGGGATTTTTGAGTTTATATCATGAAGTCGTCTTGGTTCTCGTGTTAAAATATTGCTGAAACTAAAATTTTTTTGGTTATTCAATATATAATTTCACTAAGAATTAAAATTTTTAATGTATGATTCAACAAAATAATCTTACCCAAATCCACCAATGTTGTAACATATGAAGGCGGATACCATTAAAAAAGTGTAAGCTGCTTTTTTTTTATTTGCAGTTGGTTTCAAATATTGTGTTAGCTCTGGAATTTTTTGTGTATCCATGACCAAACTCAACATTTTTTTGAGATTTTCATTTTGCTAATCATTATGTATTCATTAATAAGTGATGATGTTTAAAAAAGATAATAAAATCATAAATACCTCTGTCAAATCTTGAATTATTCTTTCGAAATTTTCTACTTTTGCTTCTAACGATTGAAGATATTCTTTTTTTTTCTTTCGCGATACACTTGCAGACTCTCTATTTTTTAGCATTCTCATACGCTTTTTTTGTTTACTTTCTTCAAGTGCTAATTGAGGATCTATATTTTTCTTCTGCCTCATTCTTGGCAGTGGCTTCATCGCTTGAGCTGATAAATCAATCGATGGAACATGGACATTTAAAGTCAGCCTATTTTCTTCAGAAATATTCTGAGTGGGAACATTTTGAATTGGAACATTCTGAGATAATATCATATTTTCAAATTTAATATCCTGAAAGTTATCTTGAGATATAATATTTTCAAAATCATCATTATCGATGGAAATATCTTCAGGTGATATTTCTTCAAACTGATAATTCTGCATATTAACATCTCGAATTAATGCATCATCAAAAGAAGCTTGACTAAGTAGCATATCTTCAATTGAAATATCTTGAAATGGCTCTTGAGTAGGTGAAAATTCTTCAGCTTTAATATGCTGAGTTTCTTGCAATGATTGCATTTGACTGTTTTCAATGGAAATGTCTTGAACATCTTCAATTGGTACGTTTGGAACAGGTGAGTGAGAATTTGTGACTGAAGTATAAAGAAGCAAGGGTGGTTCAGGCGTTTCATTGTCTTTTTGTATAACAGCGTTGGGCACAATTCTAGGAAGGGTGCTTTTTTGACCTGGTTTTGATATAAGTGACAAATTTGGTGGATTGAGATTTATTTGAACACAGGGTTTTTTTAAAGATTCTTTAAAATTTTTCAGATCAAGAAATTTTCCCATATGTTCTATATTAGGACATTTTTCTCTAAATTTTTTAAAAAATTCATTTGATTCTTCTGGGCTTAATGCAGTCACTTTCTTTACTGATACTGAAAAAAAAGAAATATTTTTTAGATGTAAAAAAAAATCACTTAATAAATACTTGAAATTTGACACAAAAAAACATACTTGTTTTTATTGTTTCCTTAGTCGAAACATTTGGTATTTGACATTTCTTAGCATGATTATTCGTAGGAATTTCTGCTAATGGCATGACTCCATATGTTGATACTAATTTAATTGGTCCAGACATTGATGGTAATTTATTTTCTTTATTCTTTGTGACATTTTGCAGTGATGGATTATTATCAGGTGAGATCGGTGGAGTGTCTAGTGAAGTCTGTTGTAATAAGTAGATAAAATATTAATGATTTTCTCAATGTACTTGCAAATATCGTATTATAGAATAAAATTGAATTTGCCAATAACAAACCTTCATTTCATGATTTTGTGTATTAGTTGTTAAATTATCAAGCCAGTTGCAGTTAGAATTAGTACTGAAGGTAGTGTCAGGCTGCTTTACATTAGTACTCACATAATTGTCAGACTGTATTGTATTAATACCCAGGGCATGGTCTGCCTGGTTTAAGTTATTGCTCTGCAAATTGTCAGACTGTTTGATACTTGATGAGAGTGGTAACGTTTTATTTGGCTGTACAGTATTCTGCAGATTAGTATAAAATAAGTTGTCTAAAACAGATAAAGCATTCATTGATTATCGTCACAGCGGAGCTTGATAAAAGTGGAAAATTAAATGAACACGAACCAGGTGCAAGCAGTCGCTGAGAGTCAATCTCGTAGGGATCGCACTGTTGCCAGCCATTCTGGTGAAGCGAGTCGAATACGTTGACGAACTCCGCGCCAACCTGGCCGCCAATGATTAAAGCGGTTTGTTGCCGCCGGGATTGATCCGTGGCTTTGATGTCTGGTTGTTGATCAGCATGTTCGTCACCTGTAAATAAAACAAACAGACAAACATCGATCAGAACAGCACTGAGCTTGCGAGACCCGCGCGCAAAACAAGCAAAATGAAAGGTCCACGGTGCATTATAATATCGTGCACGATAAAACTGGCTTACTCGGGGAACTCTTAATACGCATCACGTTAATGCCCTATCAGTTATCAATTGTATCCGACGCTCGCCCGTATACCGAAACCCGAAGGGGGTGTTTACTTCAATAAATGAAGACGACACTGTACTGCCAAGCGGCTTCCTACGACTTTGCGAGAATCATACATCCACAGTCCACACACATACATGTATACGCAATGTTCATGTACTGTACATGGATACAAACTTGGCAATGCGTTGACGGGTGCAGAGATAAAGAGGTAAGTTCGCACTGCACAGTCTAAATCGCAAGCCGGCCGGCGTTATAGTATAATATATGTGGCCGATTCTCTGTTAAGGGATCTACTACCTTTAGAACGTCAAAAAACAGAGGTTATTAAATAATTTTTTTTAATTGTTTATATTAAAAATATTGATAGAATAGATGTTACACTTAATAAATGTACTCTCGAAATGTATTAAAAAAAATTTTTTCATCCACTTTTGCACGTTTTTAACAATGAAAAAATTTTTACCAGACATTCTTTACGATTATAGCTATTGTATGAATTGAGCGATTTTCGATTTTTGCAAAATTGACAAAACGGTGGACATTTTTCCAAAAACAACAAAAAAACGTGCGTTTTTTCACGAATTTCTAGCAAATAAAAATACTTAAAATCAAAATTTTGAAAAACCCTCAATTCATACAATAGCTATAGTCGTGTCTGGTAAAAATTTCGTAAGCATCGGTTCATTAGTTCCCGAGATTTCATCAACGTGCCGTTGAAAAACCTTGTTTAGAGAAAAACGCGATTTAAGATTTTTTCAGCATTTGAGCGCGCTGAAATGACAAAGTCAAATTCGACTAATAATACAGTTAGACCGCTTCAATCTTTATGAATTTTTAATAAGATACTTCTGTATACATATACTTTTCAAAAATGTAATAAAAAAAAATCAATTTTTTGAAAATTCTAAAGGTAGTAGATCCCTTAAGTTGAATGGCCAAAAAAGTTTTTTTTTGCAAATATGAAAAACTTGTAGTTTTCGATGTCAGATTTGTCCCAAAAAAAATTTTTTAAAAATTGAGGCCTTCAGAGGCAATTAAAATTGAATATCTGCAATAAAGATAATTAGTTAGTTATCTACTTATAAAAAATGTATGAATCATACGAATAAAAATTAAACTTACAGTTGCAGTTCAAAGGGCCCCACTGTCGTTGCTCAATTCAAATTCATTTTGTAAATTCCAAAACATTATTCGGGTTCGTTAAAAGGAGCATTTTTTGCTTTCCTAATTTTCATGTTCCATTTTTAATCCTCCAACTTTCACCTATTTAATAAGATACGCAGTTGTAGGCGCCCAAGCATCGCTTCACGTTATCAATGTTTAAGACTTCAGATTCTGGTGGGCTTGTATGAGTTCTGCTTGCACAAATACTTGATTCAATATGATTTTCGTTACAATTGACTTGGGAATTCGCAACTTCTGAATCATTTTCCACAGCCGCAAACGGATCGTCCCAAGGCTGCCTTACAGTCGATCCAAACACTTGGAAAACTACAGCTCCTATTTACCAAATGGCCGCTCTTCAGGAGAAAAGATTTTTCCACTGATCTGGGTCAGTGGGATCTGTAACGATGGCGCCATGTACTAAAAGTGCAACAATGGCACCAAAATTAGCGATGGTATTCATAACGCCCATGAGAAGTCCAGCGTATTTCGACGAGAGATCCAAATGATTGGTATGGTGGCCACTGTACATGGTAATGTTTGTCGTTATTCCGATTACACTAGAGTTATCGCGAAAACTGAATTTTCAGTGTTAGCGTAGCCGAGAACCAATATGCAAAGTGCAAGCACGACCTTCCCAATACCATTCCACAACATACGTGTTGGCCTCGTGGTTAAAGTTCCATTCTTTACAAGCATGTGATTGAGCCATATCACCAGCATACTAAATGTAAACGCGGTAAAATACGGTAAGCCTGTATGAGTGTCGATCTACAGAATGAAAAAAGGAAACAAAATGAAATAAAAAATTCCTTTAAATTTAAAATGATGCAAAATGTTAAAATAATATATTACTTACGGTCGTCAAATCCATTTTCAATATTTTATCCGAGTACTCCGGACTCTTGGTTGCCAGCATCCAAAAACATAATGTCTGAGAGCATTGAGCTACAAGAAACGCATATACTGGAACAGACGATGCTACGGATTTCCAGGAAAAAGGTCCATACGCCTTTTCTTCATGATTTCGTGAATTCATGATGTAATTTTTTTCTTCGACAGATATCGACAAATGACGGTTGGGGATTTCACATCCACAGAAATTCCAACTAATTGCCCACAAAGTGGTGATTCCTCCCCATAATAAAAACAATATTCCCACCCGTTTGGGTAAATTGAAGAAATAAGTCCGGTGGAGAAGAAAGAACAAAAATTTCCGAACCAGCCCGCGCCGTACACTATTCAAACTAACATAAAAAAGTTTATCATTAACAACATTCTGGTTTGCAGCCAAAAAAAGTCTATGAATTTAGTGAGAGGAATGAACAATATATATAAAAATCGGAGAAAATGGTAACAAGACTTGTAAGTGTAAATGGGTTGCTCTGTGTGAATTGTAGACTGAACGACATTTGCATCGAAACAAATAACCAGTAAAGTTACGATTGCCAAATATTTCACATTTTGATTGACCCAAATAACACAGGCACACAAAATAAAAAAAATTCTCAAACCCAGTACACTTTATGTTTTCGGGGTTGCTGAATCCGAATTCGTCGTCGTTTTTTCGCCATCAGATCGATTTAAGGTCATTTGAAGGTCATTTAAAGGTCAAATTATGAAAAATAGGTTTGAAAACTCGAAACTATCCCTGTATAGGTTTCTGAGGATGTTAAATTCAAATCAGATGACCTTTACGACCTTACCTTCAAGGTCATTTGAAGGTCAAACTTAGAAAATTCGATATAAATATCCGAAAAATATATTTTTTATGTTTTGAGGGTCGCTGAATTCGAACTCAAGGTCATTTTGACTAAATTTAGATATCTAAAGGTCATTTAAAGGTCATTTGAAGGTAAAATTATGAAAAATAGGTTAAAAAATGGGAAAAAACTTCTAGATGGGTTTTCGAAGATGCTGAATTCAAATCTAAGGGCAGATGACCTTTACTATCTTACCTTCCAGGTCATTTCAAGGTTAAGTTAATAAAAAAAGGGCAAAACTTGATGAAATATTATTAATTTCTAATGCCTTTTTACTTTTTCTTTTGTAACACTCCTTGTGTTCTTCAGACGATCGGCATAAAGGTTGCCGTCTGCGTTTGGTTCCTCTATGTTCGCTCTCCCTTTTCAACATACAGCAGTAATCAGCCATCATTGCAATAACACGTCTACTTTGATATCACTGCTCCATATGTTTAATGTCTTGATGGAATCGGTCTCCTTGCTCGTCGCTAAAATCACCACAGTTTTTCAGGAACTCATCTTAATGGTTATGCAAGAAATTCAGTTTATAAGACATATTACATTCCATTTCACCGAAATTGTTTATCATTGTTGATATTGAAACTTTGTAGTCATCGCTTCTGCGATTACCTAGAAAATTTTCCACAACATTTTTGAAGCTAACCCACGCAGCTTCCAGAATCTCAGTCATCTTAGTTGGAAAATTGTCATCGTTCAGCAATTCTCTTATTTCTGGTCCATTGAATATTCCTTCTTTTAATTTGGCATCAGATTTATAGGAAAATTTAGATTTTAAATATTTGTAGCATTCATCGCTCTCACTCAAAGCTTTTACAAATTGTTTCATAATGCCCAATTTGATATGTAAAGGAGGTAGTAAAACTTTTTTAGGGTCTACTAACGGACTGTTCATAACATTGTTATGTCCAGGTTCTAGAGAATTTCTCTCAGACCAATTGTAATCAGTATAATGTTTTTTACGATCTCTGCTGTCCTATTAGCACTTGAAACATGGTTACTTTGTAAATCCAGATTGCTGTCCTGCTAATGGGAGAGAGCAAACATACAGAAAATAAACGCAATCGGCCACCTTTGCGCCGATCATTTGAAGAAAATAAGATGCGTTACAAAAGAAAAAGGTAAAAAGGCATGCAAAATTAACAATATTTCATTAAGTTTTGCCCTCTTTTCATTAACTTAAACTTAAAAAGACCTTGATCTTGACTTTTTACAGGTTACTCAATCAAAAAGCTGAGTTCCTCAGCTCCAAAAACCTATGGTCGATTCTCTGTGAAATCGAATGGCCAAAAAATTTTTTTTTCTGCAAATATGAAAAACTTGCTGTTCCCGATGTCAGAAATGTCCCCAAATTTTATTAGAATTTTTGGGACCATCTATCACTCTTTTTCAGGGGCCCGAAGTTGGCCATTTTAGGGTTTTTTTGAAATTCATGAAAAATCACAAATATTCAAATAATTCCTGGATTAAAGTAGAATGATTCAAAAGTAAAAGTGCCCAGCAACTTTTTTGTTGGAAATTGTCCAAATTTTCAGAAAAAAAATATGCCAAAGTGATTGGAGCCACCCAAAGAGAGCATAGTGGGAAAACATAAAAAAAAAACAATTCCTAAACTATGTGAAAAGCTTCCTAAAGATGTCAACTAATGCCTGATAAAGTTTTGTAATGGGTCTTAAAGTTTAACGCAATGTAGACAACAATGTGTGGCGAAAAACATGCAAAAAAGGTCAAAAATAGGCCCAAAATGCCTAAAATCACCAAAAACAGCCATTTTCAGGCCTTTTTTGCATGTTGTTCGCCACACATTGTTGTCTACATTGCGTTAAACTTCAAGACCCATTACAAAACTTTATCAGGCATTAGTTGACATCTTTAGGAAGCTTTTCACATAGTGTAGGAAATGAAAGTCCGGTTCGAACTCGAGTAGATTTCTTGTTTTGTGTTTTTTTTTTATGTTTTCCCACTATGCTTTGGGTGGCTCCAATCACTTTGGCATATTTTTTTTCTGAAAATTTGGACAATTTCCAACAAAAAAGTTGCTGGGCACTTTTACTTTTGAATCATTCTACTTTAATCCAGGAATTATTTGAATATTTGTGATTTTTCATGAATTTCAAAAAAACCCTAAAATGGCCAACTTCGGGCCCCTGAAAAAGAGTGATAGATGGTCCCAAAAATTCTAATAAAATTTGGGGACATTTCTGAAATCGGAAACAGCAAGTTTTTCATATTTGCAGAAAAAAAAATTTTTTGGCCATTCGATTTCACAGAGAATCGGCCCTATACACAATCTTTTTTCGATATTTTATCGTTTTCACTAGATTTTATCTTGAAATAAGTTTAAAATAACTCAGCTTATTGAAAATGAACTTTGTTTTAAAATTCAGCGACCCTCAAAACATAAATGTCATATTTTTGCATTCTTATATTGAATTATCTGAGTTTGATTTTCAAATAACCTTGAAGGTAAGATTTTAAAGGTCATCTGACTTTCAATTTGAATTCAGCATCCTAGAAAACCCATATAGGAGTTTTTTCCAATTTTTTAATCTATTTTTAATGATTTGACTTTCAAATTACGTTCAAATGACCTGTAGATATCCTAATTTAGTTAAAATGACCTTGGATTCGAATTCAGCGACCCTCAAAACATAAATATATAATTTTCGGATTTTTATATCGAATTTTCTAAGTTTGACCTTCAAATGACCTTGAAGGTAAGGTCGTAGAGGTCATCTGACTTCAAATTTGAATTCACTTTCAATTGGAGTTTTCAAAATTTCGTCGTTTTACTCTTTTATTTACATGTTCCCCTACTCAAATCGAAAAAATATTTATTGCATCTCATGTAGAATGTTCTAACAAAAATTTTGGTTCCACATTTGCACGGTCGCTAATGAGTTAGGGGTCATTGGGCACTTTAGGTGGGTAGCCGCTCGCCTACTGGAACTGAGCATTTTTTTTATTTTGTGTGACGAAGAGGATGTGCCTGTTTGCAGATGGCCGAAAGTCAAGTCGATATCTCAGCTAACATAAGTATCGCAGCTTAGGAGCATCAGTGAAAAAAAAAATTTTTTTTTGTTCAGTAGCGATGCACGATACGACGCAATAAAAGCAGCTCGATGTGCTACATCGATAAAAGGCCGCGACACGACTATAATATTATGCAGAACAAGAAAAAAAAATCGAAGATCATCGAGCTTGACGCGTTTACGCTATTGATGTTCTCTTTTTGCGGGCGTTTAAAGTTAAATTTCTTGGTACGATGGCACGCGTTATTGTTGGTAGAACAATGGGGATGCCAAAAAAAAAGAAGCTGCACGTCGCATCACTGTACGCGCGAGAAAAATGACATTTACTACCGAATGCACGCGAACGAGCGGCGACTCGATGCTTTTTTTTCTCCGTCGTTCATCGTCAAGATAGTCGACTATTCCGGTGCACGAAGTATAAAAAAAAGCAAAATGAGCACGTGCGTGACTCGACTATTAAGAACAAAAGCTAAGGAAAATTCTTCCGAATATAAAAAAAAGAAATTATTACGAATCGGTTTATAATTCGTCAGATCCACGAATACCGAATGAATACCGACGAGATTATTGAGATGTGCATGGGAGCATTTAGGAATGAATTGAATCATAACTATTTTGATAAAAGTTTAATGGAAATTGGAGGAATAAACCATGATATAATTTTAACATTCGGTGAAGAGGGGTTCTGGGCATTTTATAAAGCAGCCTGTATAAAAGCTCATCCTGCTATAACTTCATGTCTGTACACTCGGCATACAAGCCTAAAAAAGCATCAGTACTGCAGTCAGTTGATAACATATCTAGTAAAAGTGTTTTAAATAAAGTCAAGAATAGTGAAAAATCGAAGGAAAATGATTTTTCTTTATCCGTGGATGAAATGCCTACATGCAAATCGATTTTTAAGACACCAATGTTGACCAAACAAAAATCTTCATTAAAGAAAAAAATCAGTGGGGGGTTTCTTAAATCGCCTGATGTTCCTGAAAAGAAATCAAAAGTACTTGAGGTAGGAGTCGTAAGAAAAAGGCAAGTGGGCGTTGCCATTGAAGTACCAATAGCTGACCTTACTTTCACAGATGCAGTATTTAGGAAAGGTGCATTTGGAGAAGTACGTAAAGGAGTATGGTCTAACACGAATGTTGCAATTAAAACTATCAATGTACTTGATGAAAATCCTAAAGATATTTTGAAAGAGGTAATGATACTTCGAACAGTTATGCACACAAATATAGTTTTAATCATGGAATACGCAATTGAAAAGTATCATTTCCATATCATCATGGAGTTCATTGATGGATACACCCTAATGGATTTAATATTCAAAGAAAAAATTAAGTCTAAATTTCCTTTAAAAATTAGTGACAATATTCAGATAACATCAAATTTTAATTGAACTTTCATTCCTACATGGCTTTCCGAATCAAATAATCCATATAGAGACATAAAACCTCCCAACATAATGTTGACTAAAGAAAAGTTAGTTAAAATATGGGATTCAGGAGTATATAAAATTAACGAACTTAACTCAGAATTAATGACTATTAAAGGTCGAATCAATTGTCCTGGCAAACCCATGTACATGGCCCCTGAAATTTTTGTAAACCGTAAGGAAGCTACTGAATACTCAGATATGTCCTATAGAAGCGAACTCCCGAGCCAAGATATAATTTCAAATGTTTACGGTTTAGATCCACTCGTCTGCCGGCAGCCGTAGACATCGATAACATTATCAAAAAGTTATACCTACGGGAAACTTACGATTGGGCATCCCGCGGAAATTCCGATCTCGTGTCATCGACACTCACGAGAGCATCTCATTGAACGTCGCATCGATTCTCATCAAAGGCGCGAGTTTTTTTTTTATCGTCGGGTCTATAATTAGACACGAAAATAGAAATTCACGTTTTAAATCGTGAATCTCGAATGACGCCCCGCACGCGATGTGAGAAATAAATAAAACATCGAATCGCACACGCCTACTCTTGAACATCACTGTATCGAGAAAAATAAAATACGTTGTCCGCTCAATATTCGAGTAACTTAATGCAAACGATGCGCGCATATTATTATATACACACTCGGCTGCTATCACAACTATATGATCAATAATCGGCTTCTGGTATTCGAGCTCGGGCGCGCGAATCGCAATCGTGAACGAACAACGAGAAAGTATAATATGGTACAGATACCTTGGCGCCTCTTCTTGCAGTTGTCGCCGTCGTTGACGTCGTCGGTCTCGAAGATGTCGTCGGGCAGTCTGGGCGGACAGGGCTCGATCACGCGGTACATAATGTTATCCTTGATCCTCATCGATGATGTGGAGCGCGCGCGCGTACACGGTCACGAGTATTTACAACGAGACACTGCAGAGAGAGGGAGAGAGAAAAATAAAGACACACAACGCGACTTTTCGCTATACACTGCACATAAACATTAGCCGCTGACACGGGCGAAAAATGATCGCGAATTTCGAGTATTGTACTAATGCGAATGTCTCTCTATTGGTCGCAGACACCTACAGACTATAGGTGATGACGATTGCCGCGACACAACTGGACTCTTTTTCGCTCGTGGGCTGTAGCTAAAGGCTCTAACACGTGTGTGAGTGTATTTGAATATATGACCTATACATAGAGATATATATACTCGCACGCCGGTGAATTGCGGGGATCGCGCGTCAATGAGTATCGTTGAACTCGCGTAGAGAGAGGGGCGCGTGTGGGAGAAACACGCTGCGATCGTGGGTCTCCCCAATTTTGCCTACCACGACGTTTAAAACCAATCGGTACCTATTTACATGCACGCGTCTCAATGATAATACAATGTACAGACGGGAGTAAATGCAATTTGTCAGGGTATGTTGGTGGGACAAAATTTTTCCGAAATTCGCGTAGATTGAATCCCAGCGATAAGAGTTTGATCCAACTTGCGAACGCACGATTACTAATACGATATCTGGTCAATTCAAGATTTATGACTCGACTCTGTTCGAATGAAATATTATTTAGAATAGAGACGTAGAATTAGGAGACAAAATTGGTTATTTGTTTATAGATTTTTTCTCAAAACAGGAAAGCTTAGTTAGGATACTTTTTTTATAGATAATTTATATCGTGTTAGCACACTATGGGAATGTGAATAGCTCATCGTTTGGTCGGTTCGTGGGTGATTTGTCGATGCAATTTAGGAATGAAGGAATTATTATAATCAATAGTTTATTAGATCAGATTTACAAACTTAACAATAATTATCGTACAAAATTTTTAGCTGCAAGTATCAATTTATCAATAGCATGATTATAAATGTACAACTTTTTACCTAAGAGTCAAAAAAACTCTATTAACCATCCAAAAAATCACACAAATAATTTTTCAGTTCAAAGCCAACGTTCTTTGAAATGACCATGACAAAGTCAAAGTCCACACAACACTTGTACTTGGGTTCATCTATGTTATTGCTATCTCCAACCGCAGTTATTAAACCTAGTTGGCACAAAGATTGAACTTGCATTAATAATACTGCATTCAAATCAATTTTAGAATTAATTATGGCGCAAAAAATAGCAAGCAGTCTGCATAATGGAAATATTTTTGGGCCCTCCTTCAATGTCAACGTGACGCTCTTTTTCTTTGCAGTTTTTCTTTTCTTTTTCTCTACTTTTTCTTTTAAGAAAAGTCTTCTATCTTCTTTTGCAGGATTATAAGATGCTAAAAATGCAGCTATGAGCAGATATTTTGCATAGTATGGTAACTCAAAACTCAAAGCTAGTTTAGTAGTTGATTCAATTTCATGCAAAAATTTAGCTTGTTGTTCAAAATCATCCGTTGATACACGTAAATATAGGACTTCAAGATTAGCTTTGAATACTTTGATAATGTTGTTCCATAAGGCACGTTGGTTAGTTTTTTTAATTTTACCTTCATTAACAGGCTTGACATACTCTTCAAAGTTTTTTCTTGCCATATAACGAAGTTCTTTTAAATCATTACAAAATTGGAAGAATACAGCTAGAAATGTTCTCAAATAGCCGTCATAAAATGTATCATCCTCATCCATTGGTTTTGTGGTATGAAGCAAGATTTCATTGATTTCATCTTTGTTATATTGAGGAAAATGAAGTTGAATAGGTTCGTAAAGACCATCTTTTGGCTTAAATTTGTCCCAAATAACATCTGATGTAAGAATTGAACAAATGTTAGTTTTAGTTAATTCATTCAATTTTAACAATGCAGGCAGTAGATTTGCATCCATATCACGCAATTTGTCACATTTTTCTAAAACAACAATCATAGGCCTCTTGTCTCTCTTAGTAATTTCTTGTATTTGATAAATAAATTCAGTGAAATCATCGCACCTTCTTTCTAATTTATAGTTATTATCTGCAGTTAACTTTACCTTAGAAAGGTCAATCAATATTTTTTCCAGTAAACTTCTGCTATTGGCATGTTCAATGCAATTAATGATTGAATAATTATATCTCATGTAATTCAAAACTTTATCCACTATCAAAGATTTGCCAGTAGAGATATGACCATAAATAAATATACTAGAAAACAAAGGCTCGTCAGCCAATAATGAGTACAATTGTCCTATGAGAGAGTCTCTACATATAATTTCATTTCTCAAATTTTCTATGCAGTCCTCCTTGGAAATTTCAATTTTCTTCTTTGTTGGCATGATTAAAAAGTATCAATAACGAATGGATTCTCTAAAACAAAGTTACAATTTGTAATTTATAATACCTGAAATATTAGAATTCTGTCAATAATTATAGAAAAGAGACATATTACATAAATCCAGATAAATATTAAGATGTTCTTACTTAAAAACTGTTGTCTCTCCTGGAATTATCCAATGAAAACAAACATTTTCAGTTGCTGCGCTGCATTACACGCACAAGCGCACGAGGTTATACTTGAAAAAGTTACGGCCTGTCCATTTTAAACGTATCTACGAAAAAACACTGTAGTACTCATGAAACGATCAATTGATCAAACTGATGCAAGCACTTTAAAACATCGATCGATGCGGTGATTTAAATTATTGAAAACACCAACAAAAAAAAAACTGACGCCAGCCGGCCAGTGCAACGGGTTTCGCGGATTATGACTTGTTTGTATTCGATGCGCGCCAAAAATAAACTTCTGCCAAACGGCCGCGTCATGGTGCACATCGTCATAACGTTGGCAGAATCGTCTCGCCAAACGAGTCGGAAATTCGAATGAAATTTTTCCAATGTCTATTTTTCAAACTTGAGGGATGAAAAACTCATCGTTGAATATTTGGGACTGTTTGGAACTCGTTAATGTCACCCAAAAATTTTTACGCAATCGCACGCTAATCAGTGATCGACTGGCAAAATTTACGTCAAGTTTCGCATTTTTTACGAACACGTGTGTGACAGTGTAGGCGGCGATCAGCTGTGCGGCGACAACGGCAGGATTGTATCTTTGTTGACAAGTTTAGACACTCGTTCGAAAAATTTCCCACGTCAATCCGAGGCACATGGAGCAATTATGTTCTCAACGGTGAAATCGATCGCGAGGCTCGCGACCAACAAATTGCGTAAGTCATCGGATGGTTCGCTCATTCAAATATATCATTGAAATTTTGCATGCCTCGTAATTCATTGTATCGAGAGGTTAACACGTGCTTCATACATCTCGTTCAAAATAGATTTACCAAGTGCTGCGAGATGTCTGTCGTCGAAGGCGGCGTCGCGACAGCACCCGTCGCACCAGGATACGGCGCAGCAAACCTACGGCCAGCCGGTGCCGCGAACGCATCCGCATCTGTTGAAGAGCGACGAGCTCGTGACGGGCATCAAGCTCGATGAGTTTCAGCGGAGACGCAGCAGGTTCATGGAGAAAATTGCCAAAACCGGATACGAGACCCCGCTCGAGGCCAATCCACACATTGTCATCATACCTGCCGCGTCCAAAGTATACATGTCGGATCACATACCCTATGTATTCAGACAAAACACCGACTTTTTCTACTTCACTGGCTGCCAGGAGCCAGATTCTATACTGGTGATGACTGTGAAGGGTGACAAGCGCTCTGCGATATTGTTCATGCGTTACAAAGATTCTCACGCTGAACTCTGGGATGGACCCAGGACCGGCGTGGACGAGGCTCAATCGATGTTTGGCGTTGAGGAGACTCTGCCCATTGGAGACTTTGAACATTTTGTACTTTCATACATGACGGAACATAAGAAAGCCATTATTTGGTATGATAAAGAAGAAGTTATTCAAACAAAAATACACAACAAGTTGAATGAAATTGTCAAACTGTCACACAGACAATCATTCAATTGTCCTAAGACCCTTGTGCATCAACTAAGGCTCATCAAATCACCTTCAGAAATTGAACTTATGAAGAAAACCTGTGAAATTGCATCCAAAGCAATAGCTAAAACAATGGAAATATCAGTCCCAGGTATGAGCGAACATGAATTATATGCTACAGTGGACTATGAATGCAGAATGAAAGGAGCAGAATATTTGGCATATCCTCCTGTTGTAGCTGGCGGTAAAAATGCCACAATAATTCACTATATTTCAAATAACCAAATAGTTCAAGACAAAGAAATGATTTTAATGGATGCAGGTATATTTTTTTAATATTAACAAATTGAAAGTCATCATCTTTGTAAAATTTTTCATTATTAATTTACAGGTTGCGAATATCGTGGATACACATCTGACATAACGCGTACATGGCCTATTAATGGCACTTTTACGCGTGAACAACGAATATTATATGAAATAGTTCTAGATGTACAAAAAATTTTGATTGACAAGCTGAAAGATATGCCTAGTCTTGACATGATTTACAATGAGATGTGCCACTTACTCGGCGTTAGGCTACAAGAAGAATTATTGATACCAAAGGATCTCAATGGCTCTAAGCTACTCGCAGCAGCTTACGCTTACTGTCCACATCACGTCAGTCATTACCTTGGTATGGACGTACACGACACATCGAAAATATCAAGAAGTATTCGACTTCAACCTGGTATGGTTGTGACAGTTGAACCAGGTAATGAAAAACAAAAACAAACAAAAAAACCGTAAATTTTCTTTGCCACTCTCAAATAATCCAACTTTGTGCAATATCCACCAGGTATCTACGTGGATCCGAAAAATTCAATGGCACCGCGAGAATTTCACAATCTCGGCATCAGAATAGAGGACGACGTTCTGGTTCAAGAAAATGCCCCACTAATATTAACGGCCAGCTGTCCCAAGGAGGTGGCGGAGATAGAAACCTTGGCGAAAATGAACCAATCGAAATAATCGTCGCGTCGATGGTTATCGACTGTACATACCTTGTACATAGGGTAGATGTTGGATCTTTATCTGTGTTCACATGTGAATTTTAAACAAAATGAGCCTTGTTATTATTTTTTTTTTCTTAGACATTAAAGAAAGATTTTTATTCATAAATTGGCGATTCTGCGTGAAAGTAATTATTACAAATTTGCAACCAGTACAATATCACCAGTATGAAGAGCAGCAGCGCGTAAGCGCAGAGCGCTATCATAAAAAAGGTATTTCTTAATTGACAAATTTTGGCGGCTTTACAAAGTCAGACAGTCTGACTTTCAACGCTTGCGTAAAATACACTTCTTTACATAAAATAAACTTTATTTATCATATCAAAAATACACGAGTCGTCGTTACGTATAAAAAAAAGAGAGAAAGAAGAGCAAAACTAAAAAAAAGAACAGAAGCTTATGTAATCAAACTTCGGGCCTGTCGGCGCGCTTGAGTGCGACGAGGGTGTTGAGGCGACGGGCGCGCAGCCTCGACCAGACCCGGTGATCCGTGAGCGCGTGTATCTGCGCCGCGGCCAACGCCGCCGACTGCGGATAGATGCAGGTCGTGCAGCCGAGGCCCGACGGCACTTTCAGCGACGACCAGATGTCCTGCTCGAGGTCCTGGGCCTTGCCGGGTGGACAATTGATCACGGGGAACTCGCCGTTGCCGGACAGCACCAGGCCGAGTCCGTTGCTTCTGCCGGCCACGCCGATCAGCACGACCTAATATAGTGAGCGAAAAAGAGAGATGGATGATTATTATATTTTTTTTATCAACGGAGCAAATGTCAAGAAGTTATCGTTGCCGAGAGAGAGATTATATGAGAGTATATCGTACCTTCTTGCCGGCGTACTCGGCCAGTATCTTCAGGGTGTCCTCGGTGCTCTTGTGCGCGCTGGTGACGCGTATCTCGGCCTCGAGGCCGAGCTCTCTTGCCTGCCTGGCGATCTGTCTACCGTGCTCGAGGTCGCTCGGCGAGCCCAGAAACACGACGCAGTGGCTCTTGGCTCTCGGCGCCTCGAGCAGCAGGGCCGCCTCCTCCGCAACCCAGGCGAAGTTCATCTTGATCTTCTGCAGATCGGCCTCGGTGGCGCTCGCCGCCAGATTACGATAGACCTGCTTGTCCTTCATCTGGCTCTTGTCGCCCTTGGGCCACAATCGCCACGAGTCGTTGTCGATGATGTCGGCCAGTAAAATCTCGCCGTCCGGCCCGACGCCGAACTCGATCTTCATGTCGACGAGGACGCAGTCGCGCGTCGCCCAGGCGCGCTCCAGTATCTCGAACACGGCCAGAGTCGTGGCGGCCATCGTGTCGTACTCCAGCTGGCCGATCTTGACGCCACCGAGCTCGAAGCCAGCCGAGACGATCTGCTGCTCGGACCACTGGGGATCGTGATTGGCGTCGTCCTTGTAGAAGGTCTCGAGCAGTGGCGGACTGAAGCGATGACACTCCGCGACGCCGGGATTGCGCTTGAGGAAGCTGCCCGTGGCGAGTCTACGCGTGACCCACTCGATCGGCACCATCGAGCACTTCTTGGCGAGGAAGCTCTTGGGGCCGTGGGCCTCGACGAAGGCCGTCTCGATGCCGGCGCTGGAGAGCAGCTCGAACACCCTGGCGTTGGTGGCGTTGCTGATCTCGGCCTTGCCTTTGAGCTCGTTGGCCTTGGCGCCATCGCCGGCCGTGATCATGTCCTTGCTCTCGACGTAGCACAGCTTCGGCTGGTCCTTGAGGTGATAGACCCTCTTGGTCTTGCCCTCGATTATCAGCGCTCCGAGATTCGGCTCTGCAAAGCGGGGGGTTGCTTGTTTGTTCTGTTTTTTTTGTTTCTATGCCTTTTATCTCATTAATTACAAAACGATCCGCGCGTTCGAATTTCGCGTTCGAGAATCGCGAGATAAAGCCGAGAGAGGAGATCACGTGGCGCGTCGATTATTATTATTATATATATACTGCACCAAGTTTTTGACGTATAAAGTTTCGATCGATTTATCTCGACGCGGCTTTCGAAAAATTGCACAACGCGCGCTTGTGCGTGTGTTTGTGTGTAAACTACCGGCGTTTCTGCACATGGCAAGTGGTAACATATATATATCGTATATAAACACGCGCGCACACCGACTCTGCGGTCATGGATATACAATATATATTTCGAAATCTAAAAAGTAACCTCTTCGCCGTATTCGCTGGGAGTTTATATATGCGTTTCTATAGTAAGTATACACGATCTCAAACTCCGTTTTTTTTTCTTCGTTTTCGTCCATCGTGGCATTATCGTTGGATACGTCGATCGATCGCGCGGTCGATCGGTAGACTCGAAATCGGTTGGACGATCGAAATAAAGAAACGAGAAAAAATAGAGAAATAACGTAAGAAAACAATCGACACTTACTGCTCATGATGATGGTTGGTGTAAAACGTGTGCGTGTGCTTATACAAAAACGAGGCAGTGGTGTCGTGTGCCGCCGACTCTTACGATTATACTACTAATATATACCAACGAGCGACACTGAGCTGCTGCTGCTGCTGCGCGAAGCCGAGAGAGAAATGCCCTACCCTGGCGTGTCGCCTCTGCGGCTGCTTAATATCTCTATCTTCGCGTTTAATATAAAAGCATGTATGTATGGTATACGCAGAGAGCAGAGAGGCCTTATTGCCATGCTCCCACCTAAGAAATGGAGCTCGCGCGGGGACTCTCTCTCTCTCTCTCTCTCGGCACGACGCACATCACACAAAAACAACACATGTATGCAGATTACATCCACACATATACATATGTGTATACATTATCTCGTGTTATATTCTAGAGCCGCTTTAATTACGTACTTACGCACACATGCATATAATATACGTACGAATATTGCGATCGCCGAGAAATCGAACGAGAAAATATTATACCCCCCTGGAAGCTGTAGTAGGCCGAAGGCCGCGATTAGACGCTGCGATCGCGGTTTGTACAACGTTGCATTATGTTTATACGACGCTGGCGTAAGCGGATCGTTGTTAATAATGTTAACAAACACGTTAACGTAAATTTATTTTTCCTCTCTGTAATGGCAATAATAATAAGCCAGCTCGAAAGTGCGCGAAAATATTGTCGCGCGCGCTCAAGAACCTATATATATACGATCGTTGTTGTAATTTAACGCGTATATAAAAATGGCAAAACAGGCAAAACAGAATTATTATTATGTTATTTTGAGAGAATCGCATTCCTTTTTCGGGGCCCTCTGTTACAATTTGATATTATTTTTGTTTACACGCAGCGGCGCACCAAGCCGGAGCAGCGGCAGGTGTATAAGGAGGAATGCGTCACATATACTTTAATAACCTTGCAGAATTGTTTGCTCGATTTTATACATTAGATAATAATGCGCGCGCGCATGTGTGTAATATTTTAAAAAGAATGTTTTTTTTTTCTTTGTTTTAATCGGATGGACGATCGCTCTCGTCTCTTATCGGTACAAATTATATATATAGAGCGCATGTCGCGCGATCGTACATACATTAAATACCAAACAAATTGATCCCCGCGGCGAGCGGGGGGATACACAATTACCGTTTAGCTCGATCGATTTTAGAGAAAAAAAAAGAGTATATCGAGTTGGGGGGCGGGGAGGAAAATTTCGGAGCAGCAGCAGCTGTGAGAATCGAAGTTCTTTACTTCGAGTGGCCGGCGTCGAAAGACAAAGAGAGAAGAAGAAAAAGTGGAGCGGTATACGATTCTTCTCGTTCACACTTATGTGTAGAGTACCATTTTCTAAGCCTCGTGTAAGTAGTAATGTGCATGTATACGCGTATTGCGTAAAGACGAAACCGCATGCACGAGAGGGAGAGAGAGAGAGAGAAAGTTTCCACGCGCAAGCAGCAGCAGCAGCCGCAAGCTCGATCGAATTTCCTCTGTATATACGAAGATCGCATGTGTAACGCCGCTACTTCGTTTCATTGCTCCTCTTTAATTTTATCTTTAATCATTCCTAAAAAATCGATTTTGACAAACAAAAAAAAGTTTAATAGTTAGGGGGAACTCTCGTTATTATAAGTAAATTAAAAATGCGCACACGTGCGCGTAGAATGATACTATATACTGTGCCGCCTCTGTTTCTCTGTATATATATATCAGCTGCTGCTGCGACTTAAATTCCCCATATGCCTATACGCTACATACTTAGTAGTATGTATAAAATACGTCGTACGAGCGCCGGAGCTTGAGTCGCGCATTTACTTCTATATGCGTGTATATTATAATATTATAGACCGAGAGAGAGAGGAAGAGTAAAAGAGAGAGAGGAAGATAGAGCGAGCAAGAGAGAGACAGAGAGAAACAAAAACCAACTTTCCATCGGTGCCGAGGCATCATTCCGTTACGAGGCGTCGAGGCGCGAGCAACACACGTATACTTATTATATATATATCGGCTGCTGCCGCTGCCGCTTCTCCGGTACATACATATATCTATATATGTATTATACAAATACGGAGCAGCACCGCAAAAACGGAGATTAAAACACGCGCTCGTGTTCTATCTCTCTCTTACTTGCTTACTTACTTATTTAGTTATTTAAGTATATAATAAATACAAACAAGACACGCGTGTGCGAGCGCGCGGGAGAAGAGATATTCCTCTTCTTTATTATTTTTTTTTTTTTTGTTCGTTCGCCTCGAGAAACACGGAATTTTTGCATGGAAACGTTTTAATTCGATCCATCGATTATTATTATTTTTTTTTAATATAAAAAAAGCTTCGTAAAGTTACAAGTGATTTGTTGATAATTCAAGCCCGATCTTCGAGGGAGGTTGTTTTCAACGAAGCAGACAGCTAGCACGTGGTGAGTTTTCATTATTTTTCTCATTTCTTTTTCTCTTTCTCTCTCTTTTCCAAATCTGCTTTCTCTTCGTTTTCGATTCTGCTACTGCTACTACTACATCACGTGCGCGCGTGTGCATCATCGCTTTCTCTCTCTCTCTCTTTATTTCTCTCACTCTTCACGATGCGCCGCGCGCAGCACGTGAATAAGTATATACAGATATATTTTTTTTTCTCGTCCATCGCGTGAACGACTACTCCTTAATTCGGGTCTAATTTCCATTTCAGACTTTTGTGTGTAGCTGCTCGGTATATACTCTCTCTCTTATATTCGACCTTCGTCCGCAAGAGAGCCGCTGTACCAATTCGATATTATACTTATAGATATTGACGCGCGGGCTTGACCCGAAAATAATCTTCTCTTATTTTTATTCCAAAGATAAGCAGCCTCTATATATACGCGCGCGGGATATTTTCCTTTTTCAAACGCGTTTTCGAACCAACTTTCGATACTTGACTGATGTATATATAATATATTTCTGTCACCCGAAAAATCTATATATACGGTATCTCGTGTGTGTATAGGCGCTTTGTTATAATTGCGCAATGCGCACACGTAATGTTTAACAAATGTGCCGTAACGCACATCGGTATATATACAAAAGCGTCTCTCTCTTCGTCCGTGCATGTGTGCGTGTGTATTTTTTTTTTTTTTTTATTATTTCGCCTCGCGTCTCGCCTCGCATATAATATGTATATATGAAATGATACCGCCGAGAGATTAATTATTGCCTACGCAGAGGGAACATCGCGACGTCGACGACGACGACGACCAACGAGACGATAATATTTCGCATCGTCGTGCTAACGTACGCAACAAAGTAAAAAAAAAAAAAAAGAAAAAAGAAAAAAAAGTAGAGACAAAAAAAAAGTTTAGAGCGATTAGTGCACGCGAGCGTTAAATGCGTACGTTATGATACACATTATTATGAACGATACGCAACGCGCTCTAAATAAAACGAGCGAAATCTCGATCGCCTCGCGCATCGCGTCGCATCGGTTGTTCTACATAATTGGAGCATTGAACTTGCCACGCGCGAAAAAAAAAAAAAAAAATTAAAAACAGATGCGTATTTCGGAATTATATATTAAACAGTGCTCGTAACGCGTAATAATAATATCTGTCATCCTCGAGTCGAACGAAACAAAAAAAAATAAAAAAAATACGCCACGCGACACGGTGTATCTCTGACACACATTATATATACACATCAATGGAAAATCGAGACCTTGAAGAAAGAGCGCGGAGACTTTTTCACGACGATGATGACCGTTATGGGGGAATAAACATAACGTAATTTTTTTTTCTTTTCTATACAAACACGCTTGACAGCTTCATCGCGCGCACGCACGCACACACGTATACGCGCATTTTATATATTTATGTGTATGATGAATGGCAGCAACACGAATGAGAGAGAGAGAGAAATTGCGTTTGCGGTTCGGTCGATATCTGCCTGCAGGAGATGCAAAAGTGTTTATGTAACGCCGATCTCCGATGCATTATACATATTGCCTTCCTTTTTTTTTTCGTTGCCATGTATACATATAAATTATCGTGGAATTATGAGAGGAAAACGGCACACGCAATTGTCGAAATTGTAACGTAAGAAAGAGGGACAAAAAAAAATATATTAATCGATTTATCGCTCGTTATATAGAAATGACGTTCGACGCATGCATAAAATGCAACACTCGAGTAGCGCATTGTAATACCGATTATCTGCAACGAGTGTATACGCACGAATTTAGGAGCGCCTCGGTATTTATAACGCGTTGTGTACAGTATATATAATAACGAAATCGAAGCCGGCGTTGCGCGAAATCGTTATCGATATCAGCGAGTGTGTGTGCCGCGGAGCGAGCGAGTTCTCGCTTCGCCGGAGGTTACCGGGGTTAACGCTACAATTTCTATATATATAACGCGAAAATATGTATTCGATGCACGCAGATGTTAATGTTGAGCTCAGGGGGGGTCCCCGCGCGCCATTTAATAATGAGAGTATACACATTCGCACTCGAGTATATATAGGAAAGAAACGAGTGGCTTAATTTTACAGCTCTCCGCTCGTCGTGCGATCGGCCGATAATAATATAATATATGAATTACGATGCGAGAAAAACAATTATAAATGTTTGTCGTTGCGAGCGGGGAAAGGGAAGTACAACAATATCTAAACTGCAAAAACAACAGAGAGAAATGTATATACCGATAAAAACCGTGCGGGGCCGCGCGGATAACGATCTCTCTCGCTCGCTCGCTCGCTCGCTCTCGTATTATTATTAATTGCGAAGAATCTCGTGCCGATCGAGAAACGAGCCGCGATACCGATCTTACGTAAAATGTACTCGCGCGTACGACCGAATAAAATAATATACGTATATTATATAAAAAAAACCGGGCACGAGCACGAGCTAAGTAAACGCATGCGTGTACAAGTGTGTATGTATTATGAGATCGTTGACCCACGCAAATCGGCAATGGAAAATTAGGCTCCTCCGCGTGGAATAATTACGAACGAATCGATACAGAGAGAGACAGAGATGGAATTATAAGTGGAAGTCGCGCGCACGTGCGAGATTTCATTATTATTATTATTTTATTTTTTTATGGACACGCGCGAATTAGCATAATTCTACCTAGTAGTCGGCCTTGTCTTTCTCCTCGCAACTTTTTAATATTTTTTCTTCTTCTGCGCAGAGCGTATAGCTGGACCACAGCTCTTGACCGACTTAACCATGTCCGAGACGGCGATGTCGCGACTGTCCCTCGAGGACGGCAACGAGCAATCCACACACAATGAGCTTCTCAAATCGCTACCGGTATCGAAGGGCGAGAGACGCGCCAACGGCAAAGAGTCCACGGGCCTGACCCACGAGTGCGGCGTGTTCGGCTGCATCGCCGCCGGCGACTGGCCCTCCACCTCGGTCGAGGTCGGCCAGAACATCTGCCTCGGCCTCGTCGCGCTGCAGCATCGCGGCCAGGAGTCCGCGGGCATCGTCACCAGCGAGGGCGTCTGCGCCAAGTCCTTCAACGTGCACAAGGGCATGGGCATGATCAATCAGATCTTCACCGACGACAGCATACGCAAGCTCAAGGGCAATCTCGGCATCGGTCACACGCGCTACTCCACCAGCGCCGCCAGCGAGGAGGTCAACTGCCAGCCGTTCGTCGTGCACACGGCCCACGGCGCTCTGGCGGTGGCCCACAACGGCGAGCTCGTCAACACCGAGTCGCTGCGCAAGATGGTGCTGGGCAGGGGCGTGGGCCTGTCGACGCACTCGGACTCGGAGCTCATCACCCAGGCCCTGTGTCTGAATCCGCCCGAGGGCGAGCTCAACGGGCCCGATTGGCCGGCGCGCATCAAGCACCTCATGCAGCTGGCGCCGCTCAGCTACTCGCTGGTGATAATGCAGCGCGATCGCATCTACGGGGTGCGCGACCCCTACGGCAATCGGCCGCTCTGCATCGGCAAGATCGTGCCGGTGGATCGGCTTGGCAGCGACTCGGACGACGACAACGTCGAGGCCGACGGCTGGGTCATAAGCAGCGAGTCGGGCGGCTTTCTCAGCATCGGGGCGCGCTACGTGCGCGAGGTCTTCCCGGGCGAGATCGTCGAGCTGACCCGCGAGGGCATCAAGACCATCGACATAGTCGAGCGGCCGGACAAGCGACCCCAGGCCTTCTGCATCTTCGAGTACGTGTACTTCGCCCGAAGCGACAGCATCTTCGAAGGCCAGATGGTCTACTCGGTGCGCATGCAGTGCGGCCGAGTGTTGGCACGCGAGACGGCGATCGAGGCCGACATAGTGAGCTCGGTGCCGGAGTCGGGGACCGCCGCGGCGCTGGGCTACGCCGAGGAGTCGAGGATACCGTTCGCCGAGGTGCTCTGCAAGAATCGCTACGTCGGCAGGACGTTCATACAGCCGAGCACGAGGCTGAGGAAGCTGGGGGTGGCCAAGAAGTTCGGCGCCATCTCGGGCAACGTCAAGGGCAAGAAGATCATACTGATCGACGATTCGATCGTGCGCGGCAACACGATCGGGCCGATCATCAAGCTGCTCAAGGACGCCGGAGCCAAGGAGGTGAGCTAGACATTTTTTTCTCATCAAAAAGTTTTATAAACCCCAATGAAAATATTTTATAAGTTCTCAGGCAAGATTTTAAAAAGATCTTGATAAAATTGTAAGACATCTGGTAGCAAGTTCTTGTATAAGATCTTGATAAAATAGTAAAACTTCATCACAATCATGAAATTCAAATTATATAAGAACTTGTTATTTCAAGTCTAGTAATGAAATCAAAAACTCTCCTAAGAATTTGCTACCTGAAGTCTTCCAGTTTTATCAAGATTTTATATAAGAACTTGCTACCAGATGTCTTAAAATTTTATCAAGATCTTTTTAAAATCTTGCCTAAGAACTTATAAAATATTTTCATTGTAGAAGTCTAAAGGTACCTTGAAAAGTCTTACAAATGTTCGGATTTAAAGAGTTGATAAGAGTTTTTAAAAACTTCATAAAACCTTGTGGAGACTCAATTTTGTAGCAAGAGTATTGATTTTTTCTCTATTGTTCATATGGTTGAGCGTATAGTTTTTTCATCATGACTTTTGACGACGGTGGATATCGATCAAAACAGTTTTTAAGACTATGAAAAACTTTTATAATAACTCTTAATAATTAATGTCACTTGTAAACATTTTTTTACATTTAATAAGCAGAAACCAAATACCAGGTTTCACATAAATTTATTTATATCAATTGAAACTCTTTTAAAGTTTTATTAACTCTAAAAATCATGGTACGAGATCCGAACATTCATAAGAATTTTTAAGACTCATTCAGACTTTTTGAGAATTTTTAAGAATTAGAGTGACGGTGACTAATTTTTTTCTCTTTTTTTTTCCTGCTCGTCCACAGGTACACATAAGAATAGCGTCGCCGCCGCTCAAGTATCCGTGCTACATGGGCATCAACATACCCACTCGGGAGGAGCTGATCGCCAACAGACTGGACGCCGTCAAGCTCGCCAAGCACGTCGGCGCCGACAGCCTCACCTATCTGTCGGTCGAGGGCCTGCTCGAGGCTGTGAGGCACAAGATGGACAACAAGGACAGCAATTACGCGGGCCACTGCACGGCCTGCCTCACCGGCGAGTATCCCGACGATCTGCCCGACGAGCTCAGCTGGTGAATTTTACGCGCAGCGCTCAAACGAGCGAGAAATATTTAATTATTATTTATTATTTATTATTATTGCATATTATATATGTTTTTGATGAAGGACGAGAGAGATCGAGTTCGTTTAATTTATTGATATATCTTTTTTTCGATAATGTATGATGCTAAAATTCATTGTATAAGAATGAATTCGACGACGATGATGATGATGATGTGTGATCAGTTTAGTATGTAGCCGGCGCCTCGCTCAGCGGAGCCGATTTAAGGTTGATTTTGTACAACATTTCTCTCTGTTGTATAATTTATATACATGTTATTAGTTTAAAAAAAGAAAGAAATGAATATGATTGTAAGAGTATAATGTATCTGAAGCAAAAAAAATACACTCCCCCCTTTGAATAACTCGCGTTCAGAACACGATAACAATACTTAGTTATTAATTGCATGATTTAAAGTTAATGTTTTACTATATGAATTTGTATGTTTATATACGAACACTTTTATGTACAGTAATACTATATTTTTTGTTATGAAAAAAAGACAAGTTTTTTCAAGATATCTGAAATAATTTTTCGTTATTTACCGATTACCCTTGCACTTGCACCTTGTGCTATTCGTTTCATTTAATTCTTTGAGTTTCGAGTATTTTCTTTAATAAGTAACAAATGGATTGATAAAATTATGCACTGAGCTTTCATTAAAAATTGTAGAAATTGATTATTATTTTAATTCATGTTATTGGTACAAATTACCCGCTAAAATAGACTTTCACAATAATTTCATCATAGTATTGTATAATTTACATAGATTTAACATTTTAAACAGTTCATAGTTTTAAAATACACAACAAGCAAATACATAACAAAGTAGTGATTTAAAAGATGAACTGTACACACCATTCACATACTTATTCGACAAACAGAATATTTTTACACAATTGTTATAACAATTATAATAGTTCTTAAAATATAATATAATTCTTATAATTTTTGTGTCAACTCTTGCTTTGACGAGCGTTTGCGTTTTTTTCCCGTATTTCCTTCATCTTAGCTTCACGTTTTTCCCGCTTTGTTTTATTCCTAGCCATCATCAGCTCAGGAGTCATTTTTAATTCCTTAGCCAATGCCAATTCAGATAACTCTGCATTTTCTTCTTCGACTTCCATCTCTTCAGTTTTAATACTCTCAAGGAATTTTCGTTGCATTAATTCTTCTGAATTACCATTCTCAATATCCCCAGTAATTTTTTCAGGGTCATTTTGAATGCCTGCTGCGACTCTAGCTTGATATTCAGAGTAACCTTCGATTTCATTTAAATCTAAAACTTTTTTAACCCTTTTTGGTTTAGTTTTTTTATTAGATGTGTCTTTCACTTTTCCAACAGTTTTCACTTTTTTAGACGGCATTGATTTTTCAGTAATATTTTCATCGTTCCAAGGTATACTATCTTTAGAAGTAGAAGGCCCTGGATCTAAAACTGTCAAATTTTGTCTGGAATTTGTACTATACTGCATACTTGATTCCTCTTCAATATCAGTATTTTGAAGAACGTTTTCCAAATTCTGTACTTGCGATTCAAGATCTTGAACATTACCTGTCCCATTTTCCAATTGCTGTTCATAATTTGATTTATATATTGAAAATGGACTATCATCATCTGATTCTGATTCCAGTTCAAAACCTTTCATTCTCATTTCGTGTCGGTGTTGCTGCTTCTTCATGTAATCATTCAAAGCTTGCACTCTGCTTATTCTAGCATCTCCCCAAAAGTCCAATGCTATCAAATAAAAATAAAAATTTAACGATATCAATAATTAGATGAATGTATTCATCTCGTAGAATTTATTGAATTAAATATGTACCTTGATCTTGATATTTTGGTGGTACACCGGCTTCTTTGAGTGTTTCTAGATTTGGTACACATTCCGGATGCTCAGAGTCTCCCACGACTTCGTTCCTAGGTATCAAAAAAGCTCTCTGCATCTTTAAAACCTTTCTTGTTTTATTGTAATACCTGTAACGCGGTACTTTATCAAAAACAGGATCGTCTACTTTAGGCTCGAGATCGTTTTCAAAGAATAGATATGTCCCTACGGCATCCTCGTATGTCCCCTCGAAGAACTGAATTGAAACAACGAACAAAGGAGTGAATAATTATTTTTCAAAAATTGCCACACTTTATTGATAATTTTATTTCATTCAAAAATCACTCACTTTGCCATTGATCTGCATGACAGGGTGCTCGGAATCGAGACCGAGCATGTCCAATTTGAGATCTTCCTTGCTGAAAACGTCACTCGAAATGCAATTGTCGAATTCGACGTAAACCAAGATCTCCTCCTCGTCGTCCTCCAAGTCAGAGTCTGCATTCATCATTCTTTATATTATTTACAAATTAAAATCAAAAAAACCGGCCAATTTGACACGACAGTGAATAGGTTAAGTGGCGCAAAACGACGCCTGCTGCAGGCAGTTGTCAATTTGAAAGTTCGTAGCTGGAGTATGCGCGGCGTCTGCTCACACTCAATTCTCACTTTTCATCGTTCTGTAGTTTACGACTTACTGCGCAGTGCGCACTCGCCTCTCCAGTACAGTATATGCATGTGTAGCACGTGGGTATGTTTATGGGCATAACCTGCATTGAATTCAAACGATAGAAACACGTTAATAAGTGTTAATTGTTTAGTAAAAATAGTATAGTATTGTAATTATAGTAAAAATAGTAGGGTAGAATATAAATAAAAATGGTTCGTCACAATAATCAGTTGCCCGATAATTTACCTCAACTGCAGAATCTCATCAAACGTGATCCAGATTCCTACAAAGATGAAGTAAGTTTGGTGCAGTGAGTGCAAAGTTTTTCAAGATGCTTTTTGATTCATCATTTACTAATAATTGTTTTCCATAGTTCTTGCAGCAACTTCGTCATTACAAAGGGATACTGGAAGTTTTCAGTTTTAGCCCTGACAAGTTCGACAAACATCTCGATGCACTGGTCATGTTCTTAGCTCAGGTAAATGTTAAACTTGATTACTTTTTTTCACTGATACTTTCATGTTACAATAAATTCATCTATATTTTTAGGTTGCTCAATGCTACCCTGAGGATATGAAAACATTTCCACAAGAGCTGATTGATATTCTGAGAGAAAAAAATGATGTTCTTGATAATGAAATGAGAATGACTTTTTGTCGTGCTTTAATATTACTCAGAAATAAAAACCTGGTCGAGCCTACTCCATTGCTCAGTTTGTTTTTCGAATTGTTGCGGTCGCGAGATAAGGCCCTTAGAGCGTACCTGAAAACACACATTGTGACAGACATCAAGAATATTAACGCCAAGCATAAAAATTCAAAAGTCAATTCAGCTCTTCAAAATTTCATGTTTGATATGCTTGATGATAAAAAGGATTCACGTGCTGCAAAGATGTCAGTTGATGTCATGATAGAGTTGTACCACAAAAAAATCTGGAACGACGCCAAGACCGTTAATGTTATTGCTCTTGGCTGTTTTTCACAGCACCTTAAAGTTAAGGTGACCACTTTGAGGTTCTTTATAGGCAAAGATGAAGAAGAAAGTGACAGTGACAGCGACAGTGAACCTGACGTCAAAGAAGTAATAATGGCAAATAAAGTGAATAAAAAAACTAAAAAACGTGAAAAAAAGTTAGCGACTATTAAAAAGAAGAGTGCTGTATGTATCATTAGTTATATCTCTATCTCTAAACAAACTAAATTTGCCAAGTTATAATGCTTTAAATTTTCATTTCAGAAAGCACAGAAAAAGAAGAACAAAGCTCCAACCTACAGCTTTTCAGCTCTTCATTTGATTCACGACCCGCAAGCTATGGCAGAAAATTTATTTAAAAAGTTGGACAAGAAAAACGATAAATTTGAAATCAAATTGATTACGCTGGACGTAATTTCACGCCTGATTGGATTGCACAATTTGTTTGTGCTTAACTTTTACCCGTACATTCAGCGCTTCCTTCAGCCTAGCCAAAGAGGTAAATATTCAGAATACATCTTTGTCCAAGTAATTATGTCCAAAACACATTTGACACGCGTTTCTTGATAATTTCAGAGGTAACGAAATTGCTGCAATTCATCGCTCAAGCCTCGCACGAGCTCGTGCCACCGGAATACATGACGCCGGTTCTGAAGACCATCGCCAACAATTTCATCGTCGAACGTAACAGCAGCGACGTCATGGCAATCGGGTAAGTCATTTTTTTTTCCTTCCCTACAACTCAACGAACTCGATTTCGTGCGAGATAATCAACGTTTTCTCGAATCTCTGTCTCTGCTCTGCAGTCTCAACGCGGTGCGCGCGATCGTTAGCCGCTGTCCGCTGGCCATCGACGAGGACCTGCTGCGCGACCTGACGCAGTACAAGAGGCATCGCGAGCGCAGCGTCATGATGGCCGCGCGCTCGCTCATCGGCCTGTTCCGCAACACCGCCCCGGAGATGCTGGCCAAGAAGGACCGTGGCCGGCCCACCGAGGAGAATTACGCCCTGGAGCTGCCCAAGTACGGCGACCAGTCGGCCAAGGACTTCGTTCCCGGCGCCGAGGTCGTCCTCGAGGAACAAGCCGACGAGGCGGAGAACAGCGACAACGAATGGACCGATTGCAGCGACGTAAGTGTGGCAGCGTTAATTTCGAGGACGAACGCGTGTATCGTTGAATTTAACTCTATTTTTTTTATTTTCGTAGGATGACGATGATTCCGACGGAGGGTGGGTCGATGTCGATCACAGCAGCGACGAGGAGGGAGCAGATGACGACGAAGAGATGGGCTCCGAAGGCGATTCCGAAGACTCGGATGACGAAGACGAAGATGGCAAAGAAAAAGTTAGCAAAAAGAAAGCAGTCAAAGCCGACGACGAGGATGAGGGCTCCGAAGGCGATTCCGAAGGCTCGGACGACGATGACGAAGACGGCAAAGAAAAGAAAGAAGGAGAAAAAGCTAGCAAAAAGAAAGTTGCCAAAGCATCCGTCTTGAGCACGAAGAAAATTCCGAAGGACCGTAAGAAACTGGAGAGAAAGAAGAGGCGCGCGGAGGAGAAGCGCAAGGCCCTGGAGAAGGCGAGGGCGCTGAGAAAGGTCGTGTACACGGCCGAGAGAAAGGCCAAAGCCGCGGAGGCGTCCACAATGCGCCTCTTCACCGACGAGGATTTCAAGCGCATGGACGCGACGAGGGCGCGCCAGATGGTCACGCCCAAGCGGGGCCAGGTCGCGGGCGCCGTCAAGAGGCCGCGCGAGGACGACGACACCCGCCACGAGCTGGTGCGCATCGGCGACATCGAGAACATCTACAAGAAGCGCAAGAACGACAAGGCCGCGAGGATGGCCAGCGTGCGCGAGGGCCAGGAGGACCGCGAGAAGCACGGCTACCAGGACCGCCGCCAGAATCCCCACTGCAGCAAGACGAATCGCGAGAACAGCAAGAAGAAGAACTTCCAGATGCTGAAGCACAAGGCGCACAGGAAGGTGAAGAAGTCGTTCAGGGAGAAGCAGATCGCACTCAGGAATCACCTGACCAAGCTCAAGCGCATGAATTAGAGGAAGGGAGAGAGAGAGAGTCAAATGTTGGATATAGTTTATATATATGTCTTATTTACATTTATACATTTTATACACTGTAATTAATTAACGTAGCGTGTACATTGTTGAAAGTAGCATACGTTAATGATATTTATTATTTTTTAATAAAGTGTTTTGCAACTGTGCAAGTAAAAAGTTACTCTCCGAGCATATACCGATTATTACGCTAAACACTCTAATTTTAACTATCAATTTCAATCGTGACAATCTTGCAAAAAAACAAACTGCGTCGAACAATCGATCGTTCGATTTTGGTGGCGCGAAAGAATCACGTGAGCAGCAGCAGCAGCAGCCGATCGCTGCGCGAAGTGGCTGCTAAATTGTAAAACGGCAGACGACAAGCGTTGAGGGATCAACACCGCAACACACACACACACACACCCCCTACCTATTTACCATATGTGTTTTCGCGCAGACTACACAATCTTTGCAACACGCAGCAGCACGCGGGCAGCTGGTATTATCGAAGTCGCGCTGTGTTGCCGCGGACGTACGTTTTTGATATAAACTTTTCAACGCCAATTTTCCCGCGCGCAACGATATTTATATAGGATTAGAATACGCTCGCAATAAAGGTCGGTGTTCTTGTGTGTGTGTGTCGCGTGTGCCAGACCGAGAGAGAGAGAGACAAGAGCAGCCCATTGTTGCTAACAAAGAGACACACGAACGACAGCTCTAAATATAGGATAATATAAAGAGCGAGAGAAAAAAAAATAAACGCGAAATCGTGCGTGCGGTATAAAAAGCGATGTCATTGCGCTAGACTCTGGCCATACGATATCGATCTTTTGAAATAAGAAGTTGAAATAAGGTACGCTGCTGGTTTCTTTTATTTTTGTTTTCCTGCCTCGCTCTGATTTCTTCTTTCGCCTGCATCATCATCGTCGTCGCCGTCGTCGACCATCGCGACGACGACGACGACGACAACGATAACAACAACAACGACAACGACTTTGGTCAACCGCATACGTTATCATACTACAGACATACGGGGGCCCAGCGTGAAATCAATCAAGCTGGCGGCGACTTGCTGGATGCGCGAGGCGAATTTGAGGTTACTCATAATTTGCAATTAATTCGCGATTATCCGTCGCACCGATGTTATATTATAACATGCTTTCATTCACACATATGTCAAATGGTTGATCGAGAAAATTCAATCGATGCCTCGCTCTTTTCTATATGTTCGGTCGATGTGCGAAGCAGCTTCAGCATGGACGTGGTGGAGGATATCGCCGACGACTTCGAGAACTACGAGGATGACACGCACCTCGGCTACGCGGCCGAGGTGTTCGACGAAGTCTTGGCCAAGGAGGAGGAGCCCACTCGTTTCCAGCGGCCGAATCCCTTCAACAAATTACTGCCCTATTCCGATGTGCTCGAGGTCGAAGCGGATGCGATGCTCGCCGACATCAAGGCCAATCTCGGCCGCTGCGTCATGCAGCGAGATATCAAAATTGGTGCTGTCGCTTGGACCAAGATGTTACACAAGTAAGCTGCAGCGATCGTTTGATTATGGAATCGTTCACTGATTGACAATTTTCTTGCTTCAGGTACATCATTCTTTATGACATGAGATTTACCAAAGATGATCACATTGCTTTGATCAAACTTTTGTACGAACTCACGACAATACCCAAATTGGAGTCTGGTTTAATAGTTAGTTTTGCGTACCGCCTGTTTTTACTGTTAAAGTATGTATAATGTTTATTGAGATCTGTTACTGCATTGATTCATAAAGTCTAATTGTTATATAAATATTCCAGAAAAGATCATTTAATATCGCCAGATGAACTTGAACTGCCATGGAAGCCTTTATACAAACTATATTGGGATTTTGAAAATCTCAAATCTAAACTAATAAAACTGGACCGTCTTCACCCAATGACAAAAAGTATAGTAAAGGCTGTTATTCGGTTAGCAAAGATATATTTTCCAGTAAGATTATTTCAAATGCAAAAAAGTGAAAAAAAATTCATGAAAATATTTACAAAAAATAAAATAAATTTCCATTTTTCTAGGCAAGTGCTACTGAGGAAATATTAGATGAAATAAAACCAATGTTGAGTCCAAATAATCATTCTATAATGGTCGTGACAAAAACTATGGAAATATTTTTACCTACTTGTACATTACCTAAACACCATTCCAAAAGTTTCGAACTGTGGCTACATGAATTTATGAATATGTGGGAGGATCATAACGCAGTTACACTGTCATGGAGCAAATCTTTAACAATTTTAACAGCTAAACTAGCCCTACACAATGTAGGATACATAAATTGGGAACCATATCTACCCGTCATGTTCAATAGATTGGTTCATTTATCCAGTTTACCTATAAGTTATAAAAATATTTCCAACGATAGGCATTATAGGGATTGGCTTGGTCATGGAGGAATGTGGATAGCAGCAGTTTTGGTGGGTACTTATTGATGATTGTCTACATACATTTTATCCAGATACAGACGTTTTTATCTGATTACAGGGTCCCGATTCAAAAGCCCAAAATTACTTGGACAAGTTTTTGAAATTAATTGAAACGCACTTTCATCCAGCTAACCATTCACCCAACTTTGTAAAATACGCATCGTTTATTTCTTCTTTAGTCCATTGCTTCACCACGAGAGTAAATAGGTATGATCGAAATCCTGTCGATACAAATTTCCAAGTCGTTCATAAACTTTGCATCTACAATCTACATGTGGATTTGCTCTTTCAGAGAACGGTATCAGCAGGGTAACAAAACTTGGAAACCGCGGATCCCGGACTCGCATAAATTAAGGGACGTCGACATCGACGCGTTCGTCAACAGTTTGATGCCGATAGTTTTGCAATGCATCTTTCACACCCAGCGGCCGGAATCGTTCGGAAACGCAGTACAGAATTTGGCCAATCTGCGTCCGAACGTCGTGATACCGCGCATCCTGGAAAAGGTTTATCCGTCCATCGGCGACGATATCGAGCCTCACAAGTTTCACCACGCGATGGTCAATCTGATCGACGTGGCGCGTCCGATGATACTGGGTTCTCGCGTCGCGAATCCAGGTACGACTACTCTTACAGACTCCTCGTTTTATTATGTATTATACATGTCGATGATGATGACGAATGTTTTGTCCGACGGGTTTCAGAGTACGCGTACGTGGAGGGGCCACAGCAAGTTTTGCCAATTTTGTTCTCGGCGCTGTCGGGCATCGATCCGAACGACTTCATCAAGTATATGTACGCCTTCGCGTGTCTAGGTTTGTACGCCACGATGATACCGATCGTCGATTGTTCCGGATGCACAGCGCCCGATCTGACCGAGGACGAGAGGCTCGTGTGCGAGCAGACCTCGAAATTCGAGGATTTCGTCCTTCAATTTATGGATAAAATATTCAGCTGGATCGACTCGAGTCGTCTTCAAGCCACGAGGCTCGAGAATCAAGTCAAAGACAATACCAAAAGTCGATTGGAGAACGCTTGCGAGAGCGCGCTGAGCAACGTCATGATAAAGTAATTCTGCTCTTGACGTATACGAATTATAAACAGAAACCAAATTTTTTGAGGATCGCTTTTTAAAGTATCAATTGATTATTTGACAGTCTTCTGCGATCGATGAGCAAGCCAATTTTCATGTCGGCTCTGAACAAGCTGCGCAACTACGTCATGGAGTACGAGCTCGAGATTCAGGTGGCGGGTCCGCTGGTCGCCGTGATTTGTCGAATGTTCAGCAATACGCACGCCAAGGAGACTCTGAACGCCTTGATGCCGTTCTTGGTCGACAAAGTACTCGAGATACTCGGAGACGGCGACGACGTGATCAAAGCCGAGGCCGTCGATCACCAGCTGCTCTATCCTCTTCTGCTGCTGAAGAGCTTGTCCTTCGTCCACTGCAGCGTGATGATGATGCACGTCGATTCGTTTTTAAAGGTGGTCGACAGAGTCATCAAGATGAAGAACAGAGAGGCGCAGACTCTGGGATCGCAAATAATGGCGAACTGCGCTCAGTCTCTGGGGTCCGCGACGATCTACGCCTGCGACGTCGATTACGAGAACAAGAATCACTGCTACCCGAGAGACTGGGGCGTATCCGGAAAGATATACGACACGAAATTGCTGTCCGAGATGCCGGGCGAGCGAGAATTCGAAGCTTTGAAAGGGATATTTCACAGATACTTCGACTACGCTTTGAGGATAATCAACGGATTCATCGAAACGGGAGATTCCTCGTTAAAGTAACGTACCATTGTGACGTAGATAGCTCGAATGCGAGCGAAAAAGTCGAGAGGGATTACATGTTTGTTTTTAATTTAATAGAATCGAGTTGCAAGGAGCCTTACGCGTCTTGGTTCATCTTTTCGAGGGTTGCTCCAACGCGTTGCCTAAAATTCAAGGAGCCCCCGCGTTAATCGAACCCTACGTTAACGAAATTAAAGCATTCGATCCTTACGTCGGTTGGAACCGAGACTGGATAATTACCATGCCAGATGGTAGCAATGTCAGAAATTACATGGTGGACGTTATTGAAAAATTGCAAAAAGTCATGCTTGAGAAAATAGAAGACGACACGAAGTGTTTCGTTCTCTTGAGTATGGTAAGTTTTCGGAGTCACGAGTCAATCTTGTTTCAATCATTATCAATTTTACTAATATTTTTTTACCTTTCCATTCGCCGTCGACCACAGCTCTGGGAAAATCTCCTCACGGATTGCTTGGATACTCCGCTGGACACGTCCTCGACGTTCTGCACGAACTACTGCATCAAGAAGAAGAAGGTCGAGAGCACGATGACGGGCAGCAGAGCCTGGTTCCCCAGGCTGGTGCTGACCCGTGCCCAAGATCAGCACGGTTTGCGGACCTTGGGCCCGACGATGACGTTCACCGAGACCCATCGCCGGGTGCTGATGAATTTGATGGATTTGAACTGCAGCCGCTACAGCAAAGTGCGCCAGAAAACTCAATCGATCATCGAGGGAGCCGTGATGTTTTTCCCGCAGGCGCCTCTCGCGATTTTGCCGCGCGTGATCGACGTCCTCAAGACCGATCCGGACGCCAATCACGAAGCTTTCAAGGTACGCACTCGCGCGCGATTTGCACTCTCGACGACTTATTACGATGATACTTATCGCGGTGAATTGTTGTCGCGTGTTTGCAGGGAGTCTTGCATCTGATGGTGCGAAGAATCGCCGCCAACGACAGATTGATCAATTGCCAGAATTGGAACTACTTGAAGCAGCTGTGGCCGGCCCTCGTCGGATCCGCTTCGTCCGAGCGAATCTCGATAACCACGCTGAAGAACAAAGCGAGCATGGCGGTGTTGGCCGAGTCCTATACCTTCAACGTGCGCACGGAAATACCCGACGGCTGCGTCGAGGTGGCGAGAAAGCTCTGGGACTGCGGCAAGCCGCCGAGTCTGCCACCGGCGACGTGCGACGAGGTCAGGGCGGGCCTCGACAAATCGCTGCGGCGCAACGACGCGAATCAGGCCGACTACGTGGAGCTGGCCGACTCGCTGCTGAAGGACACGGCCTCGAAGAACTGGCGACAGCGCCTCATGGCCATACAGTTTCTCACGCGCATGATGCAGAAGGACGCCCGGCTGCCGGACGCCGCCACGTACACCCTGGTGAGCAACTGCATCAGCGACTCGGTGATGGAGCGCAAGCAGTGCCTGAGAACGGCCGTGTTCGTGCTCTGGCAGCTGAAGCTGCGACACCCGCGATTGAGGCATCCGGTGCCGAAGCGGGAGGCGGCGGCGGCGGCGGCTGCTGGCCCCCCGATCAGGCCGGGCGTGAGGCCCGACAATCTCTGGCTGCAGTACGACTACGAGAGGCGGCCGCTGGACGCCGCCGCCTGGGACGAGCCGCGCTACATCAACTCGGATTCCATCGGCTACTGGGCCTGGCCCAAGGAGTACTACGAGACGGTGGCGCCGTGGTCGGCTCGTCCCACCGATAAGCCAGCGAGCAAGCTGGAGCGCGACATCGAGGCCTTCTTCGCGGACGAGGCCAATCTCGAGCGGCTGATCAAGTTCTGGAGCCTCGAGGAGAAGAAGGTCCACGAGAGGGGCAATCACGAGTTCGCCTTCCTGATGCGCGGCCTGTTCCGCAACTACGGCGACAATCTGCTCGACGCCGTGCTCAAGCACGCCGAGCGCCTCGTGGAGATCAAGCAGGAGGGCCCGCAGCGCTGCGTCGCCCACATCGTGAGCGGCACGATAATGGGCAGCAAGTACTGGTCCTACGACATGACCGAGCGCATGTGGTCGCGCCTGCTGCCCATTCTGAGTCGGGGCATCGACAAGCAGGACGAGACCGTGAAGATCGACTGGCTGGAGACGATCGCCCTGGCGATGAGAAATCGCGACCCCAATCGCATACACTGGCTGCACGAGTTTCTGCTGGAGCGCGCCAAGCTCGGCCGCCAAGAGACCTCCTTCCTCGAGAGCATGCGCCTGAGCTACTTCCAGCTGGCCATGAGCTCGCAGATCTGGCGCACCGCCTCGCTGGAGCACAGGGCGCTCGAGCTGATCGAGTGCAGAATCGAGGAGTCGCCCCTGAAGACGGTGCGCGACAAGTTCCCGCTCCTGCTGCAGACGATCTTCAGCACGGAGAGGCGCGAGGACGGCTCGGTGCTCGACGTCTTTCCCGATCCCGACGCGTTCATGGACAAGATCTATCCGCGATTCTTGACGCTTCTCAAGGAGGTGCCCAAAGCAGAGCCGGAGCCGATGGAGGTCGATGGCTCCGTTGATCAGGCCACGAAGTAAGCCAATTAACTTACTTGTATTTTTATCCAAATGGTTCCCTCGCTAACGCGATTTTGTCGCTACATTTTTGCAGCGCGGCCAACGCGGAGCGCGAAAAGGTCCTGAGATATTTCTTGGTGATATGCGGTTGGCTAGAGATGTTGGCGCACGGAATGTCGCACAACCGAATGGAGCGCTTTTACAAGCTCCTGCCGATAATGTGCCACCTCGAGGTCAACGAGAAAGACGAGGAGGTCGTGAAGATCTGCCGCAAAGCCATAGCGGTTCTGGCCAAGAGGGTCCTGAGGCCCGCCGAGACGCCTGTCGCCCTGGAAACGATCGATCAGGTGTCGCGCAGTCCATCCTACTGGATCAGATTGAGCAGCTTGGAATTTCTCACGGTCATGAGCACTCACAGTATCAGTATACTCCTGAGCAAGGACGAGTGGATCTACGGGATCGAGGAGATCGTCATGAGACTACTGGAGGACGAGCAGCCCGAGGTTCGTGGCAAAGCGCGAAAGCTTCTCGAGGGTCTGCTGCACTTTACATTCCTGCCTAATCAAGATGTGCTATTAGTGAGTTTAAGTCTTTATTGTTTACTTGCGCGAGCAAACGAGTTTTACGTTACTTTACTTCGTTTTTGTTTTTTTTTTTTTTTTCAGGAAAAATTAAGAGTCAAAGCGAAAACAAAACTGCCGAAGATGAGGAGCGCGCCCGGAGCCAAAGCCAGCGTCGAGAAAATCGAAAAGTTCAAGAACGCCGTTCGATTGAGACATGCCGGTGTACTTGGGCTGTGCGCTTTCATTTCCGCCAATCCTTATCACGTGCCCGATTACGTGCCGGAAATTTTGGGCTGGCTGAGCGACCATCTCAACGACCCCGAACCCATTCCTGTAAGTTGTTGCATCTTTTGCCGTACTCTCGACGAGTCGATCGCAAAATGTCTGATCTCTCTTTGTTTTTCTCTTTCGTACAGAGTGCAATACGCAAGTCGATAAACGAGTTCAAACGCACGCACTGCGACGGCTGGACTGGTTTGCAAGGCTTGGCAGACTTCTTGACGGACGAGCAATTGAGCATCCTGTCGGATTTAGCAGTACCGCCCGCGTATTACGCTTGAGTCGAATCTATCGTACAAAGAGATTTAAGCTTTAATTCGAGGAGGATAGTACTTAAGATTTTTATAGATATAAAACATTATCAAGTCCCAGAAGCAAAATGGATAGATTTATTTATTTTTAAATGATAACAGAGAATAGTATATATTAGAAGTATGTGTTATTACGAATGCAAATGACCTATATGTACATTGTAAATGAAATAATTTTTTCACCGTTTGAAATCTCGTCGTTGTAAAATGTGATAATCATGGAGCGGCTTTTGCCGAAATCTTTTTTTAAAAAACAATTTTTGTTTCCACCGTCCACGAGGATATGCTGGAAATATAAAATGAACCAATCGCGTCGGCCTGTGATTATTATTGTACGCTAATAATGAATTCACGGCAAATTGCGGCATTCGATCGAACGTCGCTCTTTGCGCACTGCGATGTATCTGTGTATAAATTTGTTAATTTATTACGAATAAAGTTGCAATTGTATTTTCTCTAAATACCTCTTCGACAAATTTATTCGTTCGCTTTACCCAACATATACTGCCAGGGAAAATTGGCGACGATTTCTAATGACCTTTGTCAACGCAAGTGGAATCGCGGGCTGATTCATTTGCTACTTTAGCTCTTGTGAACGAGTTAATACCTCAAAGCTTTTTGTCGTTCGAGTTCTAAAATTTGAATCAATTAGTTTACGTTACTACGTAGAATTACGAGTACGAATCCGCCGCCTCGATTCCAAGAAACGAACGTTGCAGGACACGTATCTTACGCATCATCGCGGGGGCAGATCAAAGCAGACCTCCGAAAAGTCCGCGCCGCACAGCAGCGTAATAACGCACACACATACAGACCGCAGGCGTGTAGTATGCGTGTGTGCGGGTCGTCGCAACATATGCGCGTGAAAGACTCGCGCGACTTTTAGCAGAAAACGTTTTTAATGTATCGCAGTGCGAGTTCGCGGCGGCCGCCGCTTGACGATAGTAGGCCGAGAGTCGCAGCAGCGCACAGTCGTACGAGTGCGACGAAGACGGGGATCTCTCGCTGACTCTTGTGGTGGGCATGGTGCCGTAGTGGTGGTGCATTATACACACATATATACCGAAAAACGACACATATACCGAACGCGCGTGCTGCTGCTGTGCCAGTCCGACACAGCAAACTGTGTTTGGGAATCTATTTGACGGCTATCGAATTCGTGTTTTTTTTATTTGCGCGCGCCACAGTGTGTGCGTGCTCGTACGAGTTCGGACTCCCTATGCATCAACTGTGCATGGTTACTATCTGTACGTATAGGTAACGCGAGCCTAGAGAAGGATAGAGAGAGAGACGGAGAACGAGAGTGAGTGCAAGATAGAGAAGAGAGAACGTTTCGACGTAAAGGGACAAAAAAAGAGAGAGAGAGATAGAGTGACCGAGAGAGAAGCAAGAAAAAAACAAGCAAAACACAAACAAAACAAAACCATGTCCATTGTCGATCCCATGAATCAGCGACACATTGCGATAAATCACTGCTGCTGATAACGAAAAAAAAAAAAGGTCGATCGCTCCGGATAAACAAACACGAGACGGTGAGTTTATCGCTTTTTATCATCATAATAAATGCGCGCGTGCTGCGTGTGCTGCAGACAGTTTTATTATAACAAGGAGCAGCTATTATATACGTTATTATTTCCCTAGCCTTGTCGACCGCTCCTATTTCGTACGAATATATAGCTTGCGGACGACGTCCTACTTGACAGTTTGATGCTCTTTTGTTTGTTTGTTTTTTTTTATCTCTCTACAATGTGACTTTTGAAAAAAAAAGTGTTATGATGTTTGATGCTAAAAGCTCGCGGGCAATTGTAATTTATGTCTACGTGAATTCGCAGGTCTGCTCGACTGTTTGTGCGGTGTAACAAGAAGTAAAGAAACACAGGAGATTCTCAGGCAATAATGGGTGATCAGCTGAAATTCAACGTCAGACCGAGAGCTCGCCTAGATGCCAAATGGCTCAAGATTGATTTGCAACGATTTCTGTGCCGAGATGGATTGGCCGAACTATGGAACGAAATGATAAGAGACGGCGAGATTGTTGGTGCCTTTAGCAATGGATTGATGAATGCGGCTGGTGTCATTGCCAGAAAGGGTATGTTTTGCTTTGCTCACAATGCGTATCGTTTGCTGACTACCATCGATGCTAACTCGAGTGTATTCCATTATTTTGCAGGAGAAACTGGACACTATTATTGTAATTTAAAAATTTTATCGTGTACCTGTTGTGATGGCATATGCGGTCCTCAAAATGGATGCAATTGTGCATCGTGTAAAAAGTTAGATGACGAAGAGGGACTATCTGTTAATGTTAATGAAACCCCTGTTCCTGCTCAAAATACTATAGACTCTTGGCTGTGGGGCTCGCAACCAAGTAAGTATACTCGTCTGCTCCAGTGTTGACAATTTTTTCATTGTATGTCAAAACTCACGAATGTTGTATCTTTGCAGCCTCAGCTGAGCTGACCTCATGCATCGAAGCATTAATCAAAGAACAAAGAAACCTATGTCACGAAGTAGCAAATAGTACTCTATCAGCGATTAGATTAAGACAGCGCCTAGTTATTGCTCACAGATATTTCACTGCCTTGTCTCGTTACGAGCCACAAGAAATCAAAGAATTGTCCACAGTACCAAAGACATTTGTCAAAACACAAAAAAAGTCAGTTCAAATAGCTTACTTTAACGGCATTGATTTTTTCACAAGTATATAATTTACTTATTTGACCTATTTGATCATTACAGGGTGAAACCTAGCGAAAAAGCAACTGCAGGCCTCGCACGAGTTGGTACGCGTGCTGCATTGAACTTTTCCTTTGCATATCTGAAGAGAGCCTGGAGATCGGGTGAAGACATAGACTTTTGTAGTGAACTATTAGTAGAATCTTTGGAGGCATTACAGTCGTTACCAGAAGCAACGTTGTACGACGAGAACAATGTATCACAAGTATGGCTCGAGGTAGTCGACAGATCAGCCAAATTTTTACGTCAAGTTGTCACAGGGTACGTTAAACTATCTAGTTATATCTCATTTTCACGTTTTAGCACATTTTCTCACTCGGTCGTAAATTATTCCAGCGATGTGGTATCGGGTAGGATATCCTACTGCGCGGTGCCGGTCGCGGACCAGCAGACGGCACTGTGCCTGCTCCTCGAGCTGGCCACGCAACGCGGCACACTGTCGAGCCTGCTCGACTCCGTGATCCTGCTGCTGCAGCTGAGCGAGAAACCGAAGCAGCAGGACAATCGAGTGATGCCGCCGGGCAACACGGCGCCGCTCGTGCCGCTGCTGCTGCGTCTCAGCAAGATCGAGGCGTCGAAGCAGCAGCGACTCAACGTCAACGAGCCGCCGGGCCCGTGCGAGGTCTTTCTGAAACACCTGCGCATACCCGAGGACGAGACCAAGGTCGTGGAGCTGCGCAAGGCGGCGGTCATCATAATGTGCCACCTGAGCAGGCTGGCCCAGCCGCTGCTGCCGCCCATACCGGATCTGCTGAGATCCAAGACGCAGAGCTTCCAGGAGGTGCTGGCCTGGGGCAGCGTGCAGTTCGGCAACGGCAATCCACCCTACTGCTGCGACTCCATCGCCGACATCGGGGTCAGGCAGCTGTACTGCACCGAGCGCGCCCTGCTCATACTCTCCCTGAACGGCAAGGTCTACTCGATGAGCTACGGCTCGGAGACGCAGTATCCCCAGTACGTGTCGGGCTTCAGCGAGGAGATAGTGATGATCGCGGCGCACCCGGACGGCAAGTACCATCTGGCGCTGTCGGCGCGCGGCTACGTCTACTACTGGGGCACGGGCAACGACGCCGCGGGCCGACTCGGCCAGGGCAACGGCTTCTGCCCGGACGAGCCGCTGACCATCGAGGAGCTGGCCGACAAGAACGTCGTGCAGATCGCCTGCGGCAACACGTACTCCGCTGCGGTGACGGACGCCGGCGAGATCTACACCTGGGGCCGGGCGAATTACGGCCGACTGGGCCACGGCAACTTCGAGGACCTGAGCGTGCCTGCCCTCGTGAAGAACATGGAGGGCCAGGTGGTGAAGCACGTCGCCTGCGGCGTCGGCAACTCGGGCACACTCTGCTGCACCCAGGACGGCACCGTGTACTCCTGGGGCGACGGCGACTACAGCAAGCTCGGCCGGGGCGGCAGCGAGGGCCTGCGTCTGCCCAAGGCCGTCGAGACCCTCAAGGGCTACAAGATCGTCAAGGTGTTCCGGGGCGATCAGTTCTCCGCGGCCCTCTCGGACGAGGGCGACATCTTCACCTGGGGCAAGGGCGACAACTATCGGCTCGGCCACGGCGACGAGAAGTACGTGCGCTACCCGATGCTGGTGGTGGCGCTGCGCAAGAAGAGGGTCTGCGACCTGTCCGTAGGCAGCTCGCACGTGCTCGCCCTCACCGAGGACCAGCTGGTCTACGGCTGGGGCCGCAACGACGCCTGCCAGATCGATCCGAGCCTGCCGGTCATCGTTTCGGAGCCCGCGCTCTGCCCGAGCCTCAGCGGCAAGGGCCTCGTCGGCCTGGTGTGTGGACCCACGCAGAGCTTCGCCTGGTCCATGTTCTCGTGGTTCGTCGCGCCCCAGGTGGCCTTCATCGTCGACGTCTGCGAGGAGAGCTTCAAGCTGCTGGACTGCCTGCTGGCTAAGTCGTGCGAGGGCCTGCCGGGCGCGCGTCCCCCCAATCAGGACCGGGAGTGCCTCGTGGTGGCCGCCCTGAATCTGCTGCGGCTGCAGCTGCACGCCATGCTCACCCACAATATGGACGCGAACCAGGTGGGCCTCGGCTACGCCTATCCGCTGCTCAACTCGCTGAAGCAGCGCTGCGTCTCGCTCGCGAGCCTGTCGGGCATCACGGCGACGATACAGGTGGCCGCGCAGGCCGTCCTGCAGACCGGCTGGAGCATACTGCTGCCCACGGCCTACGAGCGCGCCAAAACGCTCTCGGGCTTTTTGCCCAACACCAGCGGCCTCGACGTGGGAGGAGGAGGAGGAGGAGGAGGTGGTTCGCCGTCGAGCGGCAGCAACAGCCGTGGTCAGCAGTTCATGGCCGACCTGCTGGTCTCGAGCCTGATGGCCGACGGTGGCTTGGAGCTGGCCCTCAAGATAGCCATCAAGACGGAGATCTCGGACGGTTCGGACAGCAACAAAGACGCCATGTCGGTGATGATGATCAATCAGGGCCGAGAGAGCGAGGGTCGCTACAACATATCTCTACTGCAGCTAGTCAAACAGTTGATACGTAACGGCACCTACATCACGCAGTCGCAGCTCAAGAACTTGCAGCAGCAACAGCAGCATCAACAGCAACAGCAGCAGCAGCAGCGTCAGCAATTCCATCAACGAAACCAAGACAATCGCCACAACAAGATCAACAGCAACTCGCCGAGTCTGAATCTGCTGCTGCGATTCCAGAGGCTTCTGATCGCCCAGATGGTCGACTGCATCAGGAAGAACGGCAGCGTCAATTCCGAGTCGCAGGACCAGGAGATGCTCGGCGTCGAGTCGCTGCTCAACAAGTTCATCTGTCAGGTCTGCGCGCACGTCAACGAGACCCTGCCCGTGGCCATACAGCTGGCCAGCGCGAGCGTCAAGCACTTCATCGTGGTGGCCTCGGTGCTCAGGAACGACATAGTCAGCCTGCTCTTGCCCGAGCTCGTCATCAGTCTCATACTGCTGCAGGTGACGTATTTTCGTTGACGTACTTACTCGTGTGCGACAAACAAAAAAATTGTATTGCATGATTAACTCGATTTTTGAATCGCCAACAGATCGACTATCCGATGCTACTCGCCAAGATGAACTGGATGGAGGTGCTGTCGCCGATTCTCGACGTTCTCGATCAATTCAATCGTCTGGCGCCGACCATCGAGAAAGACGACGCCGACGATCTGTCCTGGCCCGGTATCATAGCCCCGCAGCACAGCAACAAACTTTTCATACAGGACGAGCCGTCGCTCATACGCTGGGCCGATCTGGTCAATCACAATCGAGACGGCGGCTTCTGGGTCGTCGTCAATAACAGCGTTTACGACGTTCAAGACATATCCGGCTACGACGCCACGTCCATCGTAAGAATTATATTCAATCACGAATACTTTTTTTGAACGTTGGAAAATTTATTAATGTATTTTTTCATTCTACGTTGTTCCCAGGGATGCAATTCGGAGAGCCTGCATCGCTTGATCGGCCGCGAGGCGCGCCACGGCATGACGGACTCGTGCTTCGTCGGCTTCTACTGTCAGCCCGAGCCCGAGAACACGCAGTTCAGCATCGAGGTGACGGACCTGTGCGCGAGCCTGCTCGACACCGAGCGCGCCCTGAGCTTCGTGCTCGGCCTGCACGCCTGCCGGCTGCGCGAGAGCCTGAGCCTGCAGCCGGCCGAGGAGGAGGTCGGCCGCTGGCTCAAGTCCAGCTTCCTCAGCGGTGGCCTGCAGGTGCTCCAGCCGCCCAATCCGTACGAGGAGGAGAAGGGCGAGGCGCGCAGCAACAACTCGACGGCCGCGAACTCGCCCACGGAGGCGCCCCTGGTGCCGGTCTGCTGCGGCGGCGCCAAGGACGAGCCGCAGCGCCTCCTACTGCTCGGCGACGATCGGGCCCTCGCCTTCGTGCAGGCCCTCGCCGAGAGCTACAAGTGCGACAGCCACGTGCAGGCGTTCCTCGCCGTCGTCGATCGCTACTACAAGTCCAACAATCTGCTCTGCAACGCCAACTTCAACGGCGACCATCCGGTGGAGGAGCTCGGCCGCCTCCTGCTGGCCGTGCTGATCAAGCATCTGGCGCTGGGCTGCCAGATACTGGCGCTCGTCGATCAGGAGCTGAGCGACGGCAACGCCAAACTGACCAAGCCCCTGGTGGACGTGGTCAAGGCCGTGTACCAGGCCAAGTGGGACCTCATCAGAACGAGGCAGCAGCAGAATCGCAGCTACAAGGAGGTCTGCACGCCCGTGCAGGAGAAGTGCCGCTTTCTGCTCTACGAGGTCAGATCGGCCACGAGCTACGAGATCAAGGGCCTCAAGGATCTGAAGGTGCTGTACACGGTGCCGCGATTCAAGGCCGCGGTGCAGCGCGTGATGGCCGATTTGAAACTGGCCGACTCGCCGAGCAAACCCGAGGACATCGTCAACGCGTCCATACAGAATGCCAAAGCCAAGAACAGCGGTGTTGTCGGCGGCGTCGTCACTGGCAGTGGCAGCGGTAGCAAGAACATCGACGACTTGGAGGACGAGAAATCCGACGACGCGGAGAGCATCGGCGTCGGCGGAACCGGCTGCGCGACCTCGACCAAACTCAACGACGTCAACGAGGAGGCCAGCAGCGGCGGCGTCGGCGTCGGCGGCGGCGGCAGCAACAGCAGCGTCTTAACGACCTGCATGACCAACGTGCTGCGCCAGCTCACCGACAAGCTGAGGCGCAAGCCCCTGCTGCAGACGCCCTACAGCCTGCTGACGAGCATCATGGAGTTCGTGCTGGCCGAGGAGAGCGGCGGCGACGTCGAGTCGCTGCGACGCGCCATGTACTGTCAAATCCAGCGGGTGAAGATGCGCGAGCAGGGCCTGCAGATGATACAGGAGCTGCTGGAGAAGGATTACCTGATCACCTCGGTCAAGTACTCGCTGCTGAACGGCTGGCTCGGTCTGGTGCACCACGAGCCGCGACACCTGAACAACAAGAGCGTCTCGCACTGCCTCGACGACATACAGTCGGTGACGCCCTACCTGCGGCTCAAGGTGATCCTCGACGAGGCCAAGGTGACCCTGTGGGCCATCAAGACTCTGCGCGCCTACGTCATACAGACCGAGCTGCCGAGCAAGTCCAGCAAGGCCAGCGGCAAGAGCAGCCTGAATCAGGGCACCTACACCTGGCTGAGAAAGCTGCCGAGGGCCCGATTCTTGCTGACGATCTTCGGCATGCTCACGACGCGCCAGGGTGCCAACGAGATCGGCCTGCTCATCAACTCGGGACTCCTGTCGAGCGTACTGACGCTCATGCGTCAAATCGGCCCGACCAAGATCGGCCATCATCATCACGAGAAGAGACGCGACAGTCGATGCAAGGACAGCGGCGGCAGCGGCAGCCGCGTGCCGGCCATCTACGAGGACGCCGTGCACAAGTGTCGACCGCCCTCGGTCACGGTGAGCGGCATGGAGCTCGCGGCCCTCATGAAGATCGGCACGAAGGTCGTGCGAGGCGTCGACTGGAAGTGGGGCGAGCAAGACGGACCGCCGCCCGGCGAGGGCACCGTGATCAACGAGCTCGGCGAGGACGGCTGGATACGCGTCAAGTGGGACAACGGCTCCACCAACTCCTATCGCATGGGCAAGGAGGGCAAGTACGATCTGAAGCTCGCCGAGCCGCCGGCCCCGCTCGAGAGCGACTCGGACAGCGACATGGCGTCGCCGAGCGACACCCAGAGCGCCGCCGCGGCTTTGACCGCCAACGGCGTCTCCGCGGCCAATCATCAATTAGGACACGAGCAGCAGCAGCAGCAGACAACGACGACGACAACGACGACGACGACGATGGCGACGAATCGCGAGGTGCATCCGACGACGTATCTGAAAAATTCGTGCGTCACGCTGCTGCGCGTCATCATGCTGTCGTCGGCCATCGAGGCCGAGCACATCCAGCCGTCGGCCGTCAGGATACTCTCGTCGGTGCTGCGTGGCGTCCTCGTCAACGCCAACAAGTCCGACTCGAGCCTGCAGACGCAGCTGGCCAAGGAGCACGAGGAGACCTGGGCCACGTTCGGCCTGATACGCGTCATATCGAGCTCCGAGGCGCTCTGTCGCGCCCTCTGCACCCCCTGCTGGATCAACTTTCTGCTGAGCGTGGTCGAGGACTCGTCCGAGGGCTTCGCCCGCTTGACCAAGCAGATAATGGCAGTGCGGCTGCTCGGCAACGTGCTGCCCCACTGGCCGCTCAACGAGTCCCAGGCCCTGCTGGACAAGGTCTTCTGTCTGCTCGGCCGCATCGCCTATCTCTGCGAGTCCGGCAACGAGCTGCACTCGAACAAGTGTCGCGTCTCGCTCACCGCGTCGCACGGCTCGACCCTCGCCGAGGAGCTGATCGGCCTGCTGCGCAATCTGCACGCGCTGCCCAACTGGAACTGCGTCATCAATCGGTATCTGCTGCCGAAGCTGCGTATGGCCGCGGATCTGCTCAAGGACCCGGCCAACTTCAACACGCAGCTCAACGAGAACGGCAAGGAGAACATCGCGAGCGTGCAGCAGTCCACGATGGCGGCGCTCATAGTCGTCGGTGGCCTCGACAGTCGGCCGAGAATCGGAGCCACGGTCGAGGTGGACGGCTGCCAAGGCACCATTTGCAAATTCACTCGGCACTGCAAGCTCAGCGTGCAGCTGCACGATTGCAAAGCTCGCAAAAAAGTCAACTTCTCCGAGTTCAAGGTAAGAAGAAATTCGTAACGTCGTACTGTTTTTATAATCGAGATCGCGTTCGTTTCGTTCAATCGATCCCTCGTCGATGTTCCAGATGAAGATCGACAAGTTTCACCTGGACCCGAGCTTGCTGGCGCCGGCGGCCCTCGACACGTGGGCGGCTCTGCTGCTCGGGCAGAACGCGACCGACAAGCGGCCCGGTGGCATGCCCGTGATCGCGGGTTTCGTCAACGCCTCAATTCTGCGCGCCCAGCAGCAGCAGCTCGCCGCCCTGAACGCCAGCAAGAGCCTGATCGAGTCGCAGACCAAGCTGCGCAGCGTGCTCAAGTGCCTGACCACGGACAACGACAAGGATCGTCGCAGCCTGCTGCAGGAGCTGCTCGCCCGCGCCATCAAGCCGCAGCCGCTCAAGCCGATATTCAAGCTGGAGGAGCTGGAGACCGCGGCTCTGGTGGTCAGCCAGTATCTCGCCTCGGAGCTGAGACACTCGCCCATTCACTGTTCGGGTGAAGAGATCTTTTTTTTATCATTTAGATCATCGACTCCGTAAAGCTCGCGCTCGTAACTAATTTTAATTTCGATTTTCATCGCAGGTATCGACGGATCCGAGCCCGTGACTCCGTGCTCGGAGGCGTCGGCCCCGTTCCCGAGCGCGGTCCAGCAGCATCATCGTCGGCCGATTCGCACGCCTCGAGGCCGCGCCGCCGCCGCCGCCGAGAGCAGCAGCGGCAGCAACAAGTCCATCGTGACGACGGCCAGCGCGCATCTGCTCAGCCAGGTGACGGAGATGGGCTTCGATCGGCGCACCGTCGAGTTTGCCATCAAGCAGCTGAGCGCCGTCGACGTGGTCACCGGCAGCGGCGTCGGCAGCCTGAAGCCCGAGACGGTGGTGGCCTGGCTGCTCGAGAACGCCGACATCAATCTGAGCGACGACGACAGCTCGACCAGCGTCGAGGACGCGCGCGATTCCGACAATTCCATCAGCGAGGATAACGAGGACGACGCGATGATGCTGCCCGAGGCCAGTGGTGGCGCTGGTGGTGGTGCTTGCAGCGGTAGCAGCGGCACGGGTGGAGGAGCAGGCGGCGCCAGCTCCGCGCCCGGCCCGAGCGGAAGCTCGTCGTCCCAGCCGTCCTACATGAAGAGATCGGATTTCTTGTCGCTGGACGAGTACGCCAACTACGTGAAGGTCAACATCAAGGAGGGCATGCTGGTGAGATGCTGCAAGACCTACGAGGAGGTCGAGTACGGCGACGTCGGCCAGGCCGTGAAGATAGACGTGGAGGGCCTGCACGATCTGAACGTGCAGGTGGCCTGGCAGCACAAGGGCGGCACCTACTGGGTCAGATTCATACACATCGAGCTGCTGGGCAATCCGCCGTCGCTGCCGCTGCCACCCGCGCTCAAGGTCGGCGACAAGGTGCGCGTCAAGCGCTCCGTCGCCGTGCCCAAGTACAAGTGGGGCTCGGTCAATCATCAGAGCGTCGGCGTCATCACCTCGATCATGAACAACGACAAGGACGTGCTCTGCGACTTTCCGCAGCAGGTGAACTGGACGGGCTGCGCCAGCGAGATGGAGCGCGTGCCGTCCTGCCATCACTCGGTCTCGTGCAACTCGTGCGGCGTCTCGCCCATCTCGGGGCCGCGCTTCAAGTGCAAGCCCTGCGACAATTACAATCTCTGCGAGAACTGCTTCTACACGAAGCGCGCCCATCGCCACGGCTTCAATCGCATCCCGGAGCCGGGCTCGGCGGCCGTCTACGCGGGCAAGCCGGGCCGCTATCATCGCCAGGACCTGCTCGAGCCGTCCCTCATCTACGACTGGTCCAAGTGCATACGCACGCTGTCCGTGTCGACGAACGAGCGCTCCGCCACCCATCTCGTCGACGGCATGGGCACCTACTGGCAGAGCTGCGGCCCCAAGGGCTCGCACTGGATACGCCTGGAGATGCATCCGGGCATACACATACACACGCTCAAGCTCAGCGTCAATCCCAAGGACAGCAATTACATGCCCGCGCTCATCGACATCAACGTGGGCCGCACCTTCGACTCCATGTGCCGGCTGTCGAGCGTCAACGTCGAGGAGCAGGCCTCGACCATACTGCTGCTCCAGGATCTGCAGTTCTATCACGCCTGCATCGAGATCAAGATCAAGCAGTGCCGCAACGAGGGCATCGACTGCCGCATACACGGACTGAAGATCGTCGGCTACAAGAAGCCCAGCGACAATCAGCTGGCCACGTCGATATCGTTTCTGGCCAGCGACTGGGAGGTCGTGCAGGAGCAGATATCGACGCCGCGAGCGAGCGACCAGCAGATGGCGGCCGTCTTCGTCTGGGGCCTCAACGACAAGGATCAACTGGGCGGACTGAAAGGCAGCAAGATCAAATTTCCCGTTTACAGCGAGGTCCTGTCCAAGCTCAAGCCCATACACATCGCCGGTGAGTCTAACGAAAACGAAATAACAACATCGTCGCTTCACGACCGCGTGAAACAATAATTTTTGTCCTTTTTTACGCGCACAGGTGGCAGTAAAACTCTCTTCGTGGTGAGTCAGGAGGGCAAGCTCTACGCTTGCGGCGAAGGCACGAACGGCCGACTCGGCCTCGGCGACAACAACAACGTCAACGAGCCCAAGCCCATACCGTTCCTTAGCCAGTACGTCATCAAGAAGGTGGCGGTGCACTCGGGCGGCAAGCACGCGCTCGCTCTGACGCAGGACGGCAAGGTGTTCTCGTGGGGCGAGGGCGAGGACGGCAAGCTTGGCCACGGCAACAAGACGTCGATCGACAAGCCGCGCCTGATCGAGGCGCTCAAGTCGAAGCGCGTGCGCGACATCGCCTGCGGCAGCGGACACTCCGCGGCCATCACCAGCAACGGCGAGCTCTACACCTGGGGCCTGGGCGAGTACGGCCGGCTCGGCCACGGCGACACCACGACCCACCTGAAGCCCAAGCTCGTCGAGGCCCTCGTCGGCCAGAACATCGTGCAGGTGGCCTGCGGCAGTCGCGACGCCCAGACCATGGCGCTGACGGGCGACGGCGCCGTCTTCTCCTGGGGCGACGGCGACTTCGGCAAGCTCGGCCGCGGCGGCAGCGACGGCTGCTACACGCCCAAGCAGGTCGACCGGCTCAACGGCATCGGCGTCACGCAGATCGAGTGCGGCGCCCAGTTCTCGCTGGCCCTCACCAAGTACGGCGAGGTCTGGACCTGGGGCAAGGGCGACTACTTTCGGCTCGGCCACGGCAACGACCAGCACGTGCGCCGGCCGCTCATCGTCGAGGGCCTGCGCGGCAAGAAGGTCGTGCACGTGGCCGTGGGCGCGCTCCACTGCCTCGCCGTGACGTCGGACGGCGAGGTCTACGCCTGGGGCGACAACGATCACGGCCAGCAGGGCAACGGCACCACCACCGTCAATCGCAAGCCCTCGCTCGTGCACAATCTCGAGGACGCCAAAGTCAATCGGGTGGCTTGCGGCTCGAGCCACAGCATCGCCTGGGTGCTCACGGACCAGCCCAGCCTCGGCAATCAGGAGCCCGTGGAATTTCCCACGGCCAAAGATCCATTGGGCCAGGCTCTGCTTCATTTCGCCCAGAGCAGCGAGGCCGGCAGCAGCAGCAACAGCAGCAGCAGCAGCACCGTCACCAGCAGCGGTGCTGGCGTTGGGGCTAGCGCGACCGCGACCGCCACGATGACGACGACGAGCGGTACGGGCGCGAGCGCGGGTCACTCCGCCAACGGTAAAGCCGCGAGCAGAACTTCGTTGGCGCACATAATACTGTCGCTGGAGAGCAACGTGGCCAAGCAGCAAGCTCTGCAGCATGTGCTCAACGCGCTGCAAATCATGCAAGCTCGTACGGCAGTCGTCACCGCTCTGCAGAGCCACATAACGCACAGTTGCAGCAACGGCAGTAGCAACAGATCTTCGCCGATGAGACCAACCGCCGATGGTAATTTTGAATGCTCTTTTTCGTACAAAAATGTGGAAAAAACGAATAATCTTTCTCTCTCTCTTTCTCAATTTCAGATAAATTGAGCTCGAGCATGGAGCAAGCCTCGTCGCGATGGATGAGCAACGACGTCATCAGCGAGATAGCCCAGGGCGGCGGAGAGTCCTTGGCCAACGTATCCGAGGCTGCGGCCGTGACGAGTCCCCAAGCTACACCCGAGAGCGACAACGAATTTCCCATAACGTCGAGCTTTCCGAACTCCAACTCGAGATCGGCGAGCATATCGTCGCGAGCCTCGAGGATGTCCACGAGCAGCGCGATGAGCGTCATAGCCGCCACCTTTACGTCGAACGCGCAGGTGGTCGGCGAGGGCTCCACGAATTCCGATCACGATCTCGACGAGTTCACATCTCAGGTAAAACATTGCGGCATTGTTACGAATTCGCGACATCGGTCGATCGGGGCGATCGTCAATGACTTTTATGTTCTTTTCGGCAGTTAACCGAGGAGGACGCGCGCATGCTGATGGATCTGCTGAAGTTGGCCGTGGCGAATCGCGTCTGCGACGGAGCCCGAGAAACCATCTCGTCGGTACTGATGGCACTGGGCAAGTCGAACGCGTCCATCGGCAACACGCTGCTCGAGCTGTGCGTCACCGAGCTCGAGGACACGGTGGCCAACTCCAACTGCTCGAACAAGGGCCCCCAGGCGATCGTCCAGGAGACGCCACATCCGTACATCGACGACACGACGCTGCAGGGCTACGTGAAGATACCGGGCGCCGAGGCGCTGCGAGTCGAGTTCGATCGGCAGTGCTCGACCGAGCGCAAGCACGATCCGCTCACGATCATGGACGGCAACAATCAGGTGGTGGCGGTGCGCTCGGGCCGCGACTGGAACGAGTGGTCGACGGACGTTCGCGTCGAGGGCGACGAGCTGCGCTGGCGCTTCACCGCCGACGGCTCGGTGAACGGCTGGGGCTGGCGCTTCACCGTCTACTCGACCTACGGCAATCTCAGTCCCCAGGAGTCGGGCTCCGACCGCGCCGTGCTCTCGTCCACGTCGATCGCCCTGGCCGAGTGCCTGCTGGACAACAATCTGCCCATGATGCTGAGCCTCGATCGGGGAATAGTGCAGAGACTGGCCAGCGCTCTGTCCCAGTGCAGCCAGCTGAACAATCTGAGCGCCCGCCAGCGCGTCTGGGCCCTGAAGAAGCTCCAGCTGATCGTCCAGTGTCACTCCGTGAAGCCGCAAGTGACGCTCACCAGTTTGCTGGGTTCGTTGCCGCAGATTCTGCTGAGGCAGTACGAATACGAGGATCCAGCCGTGAGGGGCGGCAAGCAGCTCATGCACAGCGATTTCTTCAAAACACTCGTCTCGCTCGCTTGCGATCTGGAATTAGGTAAATATACGATCATTTTCGCTGTCGATGCGAAATCGCATGAATAATCCGATATGCATATGGCGTTTTGACCCAACGCAGACACGATGCCGTACTGCGCCGAGATCCACAAGTGGTCGTGGTTCCGACGTTACTGCCTGTCCGCGCGAGTCGCCAACTCCCTCATCAATCGAACACCCCTGCCGGCGGCCTTCTGCGTCGAGGTGTCGAAGCGCATCAGCGAAATGGTCTCGGACGACGTGGAGAACGTGGTCAGAGAGCACGAGAATCACGCGCTCTTCAAGCAGGAGCACGACGAGACCCTTCTGCAGTGGTTCACGCGACGACCCGACGATTGGACCCTGTCCTGGGACGGCTGCGGCGCCATCTACGGCTGGGGTCACAACCACCGAGGCCAGCTGGGCGGTCTGGAGGGTGCCAAGGTCAAATTGCCCCTGCCCTGCGATAGCCTGTCGGCGCTGAGGCCCGTCCAGTTGGCCGGCGGCGAGCAGACCCTGTTCGCCGTGACGGCCGATGGCAAAGTCTATGCCACTGGTGAGTGTGTGCATATATACTTTTATTCGCGATACGGCTTTGGGGAAAACTTGCCTTAATTCGCGCGAATTTTTTTGCCCCACCCAGGTTACGGAGCACTAGGTAGACTCGGTATCGGCGGTGTCGAATCCGCGATGGTGCCCACTCTACTCGAGTCGATTCAGCACGTCTACATCAAGAAGGTCGCGGTGAACTCCGGCGGCAAGCACTGCCTCGCTCTGAGCAGCGAGGGCCACGTTTATTCCTGGGGCGAGGGCGAGGACGGCAAGCTCGGCCACGGCAACCGACTCACGTACGATCGGCCCAAGCTCATCGAGTCGCTGCTCGGCACCGAGATCGTCGACATAGCCTGTGGTGGGCATCACAGCGCCGCCATATCCAGCGCCGGCTGGCTTTTCACTTGGGGCAAAGGTACGTGTTTTTTTGTTATTGTAACGAGCCCCCGAGATGGATCTTGTGATTTTTAACGCGGCTTGGGGCTTGGGGGACACTCGCAGGTCGTTACGGGCGACTGGGTCACGGGGACAGCGACGATCAGGTGAAGCCCACGATCGTCACCGCTCTGCAAGGCTACAAGGTCATCGACGTGGCCTGCGGCAGCGGCGACGCGCAAACCCTCTGCGTGACCGACGACGACAACGTCTGGAGCTGGGGCGACGGCGACTACGGCAAACTCGGCCGCGGCGGCAGCGACGGCTGCAAAGTGCCCATGAAGATCGAATCGCTCGCCGGATTGGGCGTGGTCAAGGTCGAGTGCGGCAGCCAATTTTCCGTGGCGCTCACGCGATCCGGAGCCGTCTACACCTGGTAAGAAGATTTCGTTTGAATTCGTATAGCTTTGATCACGACCGATATCGATTCTCTTCCGCAGGGGCAAAGGCGATTATTACCGCTTGGGCCACGGCACCGACGATCACGTGCGCCGCCCGAGAAAGGTCAACGCCCTGCAGGGACTGAAAATCGTGTCGATCGCCACGGGCTCGTTGCACTGCGTGGCGTGCTCCGACCAGGGCGAGGTCTACACCTGGGGCGACAACGACGAGGGCCAACTGGGCGACGGCACGACGAGGGCCCAGCAGAGTCCCAGGCTCGTGCTCGCGCTCCAGGGCAAGAACACCACGAGGGTGTCGTGCGGCAGCGCTCACACGCTGGCCTGGAGCACGACCAAGGCGCCCCACAGCCTGCCCGCGTCCGCGCCCATGGAGTACGACGCCGTGAAGGATCTTCCGTTTTCCGCGCTCTACAACAGGCTCATACTGCTGCATCACTTCGCGGAGCTGCTGTGTCCCACGCTGGCCATGTTCCCGACGACGGGCCAGCTGGCTCTGCACAAACTGGCGCCCATGCTGGTTTACAGTATCAAAGAGGCGACGTTCAGAAAAGTCGTACAGTCGACCATGGTCAGAGACAGACAGCACGGACCGATCATCGAACTCAGTAGATTGCAAGTTAAGAAGAGTCGAGGAAAGGGCGGTTACGCTGGCCCGGATGGAATGAAATCTGTATTCGGACAGATGGTCGCGAAAATGTCGCTACTCACTCCAGAAGTTCTCTTCCTGCCACATCGAGTGTGGAAAGTCAAATTTGTTGGTAAGATCAATCAAAGATTTAAAAAAGATTTAGATTATATCAGTAGAAATTAGCTGAAACGTCGAATTGAAAACGAATGCATAAACTCGCGTGTCCGCAGGTGAGAGCGTGGACGATTGCGGCGGTGGCTACAGCGAGAGCATAGCCGAGATGTGCGACGAGCTGCAAAACGGCTCGTTGCCTCTGTTGATAGCGACTCCGAACGGCCGCGACGACAACGGCACGAATCGCGACTGCTTCATTCTCAATCCCGCGGCGAAGTCGCCGCTGCACATGCAGATGTTCCAGTTCCTCGGCATACTGATGGGCGTGGCCATACGCACGGGCAGCCCGTTGAGTCTGAATCTGGCCGAGCCCGTGTGGAAGCAATTGGCGGGTGTGCAGCTGACTCCCGCCGATCTGACGGAGGTCGATCGAGTTTACGTTCCGGGGCTGTTGTACATCAGGGACATGGATCCGCAGGAGAAAAACTTCCAAAATTTGGAGATGCATTTCTCGACACCCTCGGCCGCTGGATACGACGTTCCCTTATCCACCAAGTAATTTTCATTCCATTACTTATGCGTACGGGTTGAACTTCAAAATTTTAAAAATCAATTTCTCATTTTGTTAAACAGATACCGAAAAATAACACCGGAAAATAGAAACGAATACGTCAGGCTGGCTTTGAATTATCGTCTTCACGAGTTCGACGCACAGGTAGCTGCGGTGCGCGACGGCATGTCCAAAGTCATTCCCGTTCCGCTGCTCACCTTGTTCAGTGGTAGCGAGCTCGAGACGATGGTGTGCGGCAGTCCTGACATACCGATTGAGATGCTGAAGTCCGTTGCTACTTACAAAAGTTTGTGTTCAAAAATTATTCATTATTGTTGCTTGTCATTAAGTATTGGTCCAATTCTGACTTCTTTATGTTGCAGGCATTGAACCAACGTCTCCGATAGTTCAATGGTTCTGGGAAGTGATGGAAGAGTTCACCAATCAGGAGCGATCGTTATTTTTAAGATTCGTTTGGGGCCGAACGCGTTTGCCTCGAACCATCAACGATTTTCGCGGTCGAGATTTTGTCCTCCAGGTAATCATTAACTGATATTCCTCCGATTTTTTAAAACCATCGAAACGCTGTAGCTCATAAAACTCTGTCTTCCAAAAACAGGTAATGGACAAGTACAATCCAGCCGACGCATTTTTACCCGAGAGCTACACGTGCTTCTTCTTGCTGAAATTACCACGCTACTCCTGCAAGAGCATACTGCGAAAAAAACTGAAATATGCCATACATTTCTGCAAAAGCATCGACAACGACGATTACGCGCGAGTTCAGGCAGAGGCGACCTCGGAAATCGACGACACAGAGAGCCTCATGAGCGAGGAGCACACGTCGCTGTAGTTTAATCAATCCAGGCGACAAAGGTGATGGAATTTCGCGTGGATTTAAATTAATAGAAGCAAAATCGAGACACGAAATTCTAAAAAAGAAAAACTTACCAAAAAATAGAAAAATACCGACTAGACTAACTACTTTACGAATAGACTCATAACGTAGCACAAATGATGGAGAAATACGTAGCGATTTGTGCGTATAAAAAAGAAAAGAAAGAGAATGGCAATTATTTTAATCCGATAATTCGTGCGATTTGTGATTATCAGATTATCAGAGACGAAAGAAACGTTATTTTGTGCGACGCATAAACTAAAATGCGTCTAACACGAGGCTTGGAAGCGTCATTTGTCGATCTTTCGTAAGCCGCTTTGTGATATATATTCTTTTAAAAAGAGCTACATACAAATATTAATTACTATTTTGTACGATAACTTCTATTCCTCTAAGCGCTATTAACATATTATTTAAGAATTACGTTCGGTTAATCATTGAGAATGTTGGGTTAACGAGCTTCGATATTTCATGAGCTTTGTGAAATTTATATGGATTACATTGAATATTATATTAATTACGAATGGCTGTGTGAATGGGAATCTGAGAAAATAAGAATTATGTCTGAGTAATGTCTTGTAATAAATGACATTTACACCAAACCAAAATATTGTTCAGTTTGATCTTTCATATGATGATGATAATGATGCACTAGTGCTCTACTTTTTTACTTTTGAAATGTTTTTATTATCTTTAATCATTCAGATCTGTATTGTATTTTCTATTTAGTTTGTAAAAACTTTGTTTACATCGTCAATTCACAAATCAAAGATAAATGTTATAAATAAATAAATAAATTTACTGAAAATAAATCGTCATTGTAATTAATTCGTTGGTTTTATCATTGAATTCAAAATGTTACTAATCGAGGCTAAATCTCCCAAGTTGCCAAAAAAATAAATGATATAAATCGTCGTTCGTAAATGATTCATCGATGATTATTTCACTGCGCCCGATTGGCAGCCGAAAGCGCGTCAACCCAGTGTCCATCACCATCGTCCATCGATATCTGGAAGCCGTTGGTCCTTCCAATCCCTGATCAAGGGATAAAGTTGACGGAAAAAATTGCTATTACTTAGCATATTGCAGACTACTATTTTTATTATTGCTCCTACGTTGAATTGATTATTTTTAATCGTTACTGATTTAAACGACGCTCACTGTAACACACGACGAGGAAGAGGCAGAATTAAATCAATTCTCGCTTTCGTTCGTTCATTGCGATTAATTTTATGAGCGGTCGAAGTCGGTAATATTATATTACTCACTATGCCCAAGACTGCAAAAAAAAAGAAAATTTCGGCGAAGTACACCGGGTTTCTTCTTTTCTTTTTTCGCAGTGAAGGTTTGTACATGATTTTTCATACCAGTGACTCGAAATTTATATTTCCCATAGTTTTGATTTGTTTCTCAATGATCTATGTACATTTTTAATTCGTCCGTCTATACTTAACAATGACGACTTGAATTTTTTTTATTGGATATCATGCATAATTTGAGAATTTCGGTACCAGTGGCCCGAAAGTAACTTTTTTTAATCATTTGGTGTGAAGAATAATTTACCGTCCATCTCGAAAAAAGAAAGCCTCCGAGCACTTGTTTATTAGCATTGGCTTCGGTTTGGCCACTAATTACATGTACCCTGGGACTTTTCTGTTTTTTCGCGGTCTAAGGCAGTAATGTGCTATGCATAACTCGACACTTGATAATCTTTTCAAATGCAATCGAAAAAGGTACTTCTGATGAAAATTTTCCTGTTGATTACTAGTATCGAGGTTGAAAATCGATCTGGAACGGGCATAACTCATAAAATATTGACAATTTCACATTGTTTTATTGCATTATTAAAAGTTAAAATTCGTTTATTTCAAGGCTTTAAAAATTATTTATTTGTACAAAATGTCACGGACAAAAAGTTACTCATTGGTCAAAAAAATTTGCTTCTTCTATAAGAAAGCCCTGTACTTTTTTTTGCAAGTAAAAGTCATAATTTTTTTAAAAAAATTTTTCGTCAAATTTTTTATAGATATTATTCAGATATAAATTTTTTGGGGAGCCAAGTCCTTGGTAGGTAATCCATTATACTTTTATAGAGTAATCTGAAAAATTTGAGTAGAAACGTCTGCCATGAATCCTTTTGACGGGGATAAATTTTTTCGTCTGTCCACTTGTACAAATCCAGTAGGTCTTCGTAACTCATTTTTTCGGCAACGAGGCGACAAGGGACATAAGGTAGATTCAATGCGCAATAATCAGACATAAAGAGATCCGCTGCGAACAGTTCCAACTGCGGTCTTATGAAGAGGTTCGCCAAGTGCCTTTTCGCCGCGATGTTCAACCACGTACACAAAAGATCGTCCATCGGCGGTAGTTGACGTATATTCGTATTTTTCAAAATCGAGTAGCCCTTGCCGTAATTCATCTGACAAATCTGATAGAGCGAGACGTCGTCGGTTAACATAATGTTCTCGATTTTCGAAACATCCCTCCTCATTTTATCAAGAACATTATTGGGAATCTCATCCCGCACGTTCTCATCGAACCAATTATCTGCCATCGTCCCTCTCAATCTGTTGCTCTGGTTGAGCAAAAAATCCGTCGTCTCCTGTTTCATATAAAAGCCGACGCGACTGTGAGCGAATAAAGTTACCAAAATAACGATGCCGTTAAGTAAGTCTCGAGAGTTCCCTGAAAGAAAAATTTATTATCTTTTGCTATGAAAGGTTATTAACTATCAAAAACTTTCATAAGCTACTATTAGCTTTTATTAATTTATATAAACATTCAGATTTGAGACTCTAATAAAAGTTAATAAAAGTTCATAGAAGTTATGAAAAGTTTATAAAAGTTTATAAAAGTTTATAAATGTATATAAATGTTTATAGTACTTCTTCAACCAAATTCAATAAAATTTGATAAAATTTACAGAAGTTACAAATTTCTTTTTTTTTTTTTTTTTTATTAATTAACTCTTAAAAAATTGTTTGACGCTTCTTTTGGCACACATATCCTTCAAAAAAATCTCAATCTAAACGAGAATATAGAAAAAGCAGTTTTTCTATAAAACGTGTGCTCTTTATTCCAATTGATGACTATTTCAGTCTTATCATAAAATTACGGAGCAAAAATAGAAAAATTTAATGAATTAATCTCAACCTCATCTCGATATTTTTCTCCGTTTGAAAGATATAATGGTTCTCTACCCACAAATTTAATGCCATATACACATGCACACATCGTACATACAGTTATTTGTTAAGAAATCTAAATATGAAAAGCATATTATCGTACAATGTCTGGTTCAAAAGTTCATTATAATTTTTTCAAAATTTGAAACTACTTAGAAAGATCTATATACTTTTATTATCTTTTATAAACATGGAATAATTTTTATGAACAGATCATAACTTTTTTATATATGAAAAAAACTTTAAAATGTTACTAAAACTTGTCTCAAATCTAAATGTTTATATTTATATAAAATTGTATTAATTTTTATAGAAGAAACGAATTTCGTTAGGGACTTACCATCGGTATTACCGATCAAGTGGTCCGTGTCGTTTCCTCGCACTGTCATCCAGCATTTGATCATCCTGAATCTTGTGTTCAAGCTCATTTCGTAGCCAGCCGACTTCAATAAATCCATCATCTCGATGATGTTCAGAGTGAGCGGATAATTTTTCAATTCGGTCGATGTGAATTCTGCGCCGAACATTTTATCCTCATTCAAATTGTCAAGACTCGCGCCGTGTTTCAAAAGCGACTCGACAAGCTGCACATCGAAACGAGAGACCGCCAAATCCAAAGGACTATTACCATGACTATTTCGTGCTTCGATGTTGGCTCCATATTTAATGAGCAATTGAAGTATTTTATCAAATGGTTTTCTCTTATCGCAGCGTGTGACGCCGTTGGTGCAGTGGCATAGACACAGCCTCGCGAGTGCGTGAAGAGGTGTCGACTTCTCCACGTCCCGTTTGTTTGGATCGGCCCCGTTTATCAATAAAATCTCTACTATTTCCTCGTGTCTGTACTGAGCTGCGATATGCAACGCTGAATACTTGTACGAGTCGCGATTGACGTCCACGCCTTGGCTCAAGAGTAGATTCACTGCTGTCGCGTTGCCCGACATGCAGGCCGCGTGTAAGTACGTGTAGCCATGCTTGTCACGGTAATTTTTGCATGGATTTTCTAAGAAATATTTCATGACTTTTAGGGTCTTTGATTTAGCGTCCAAGGCATCATTTATTCCATATATTACCTCGGCCAAATAATGAACAGCGGACTTTCCGTCCAGACACGCGACCTCGTGTATGTCGAGTCCGCTCGCCTCGATCAGTTTTACCATTTTCGAGCTGCGTTGTTCCAAGGCATATCTGAAGAAATATATTTTATCTTCGACATTGGGAAATAGATTTTCACAGTTCATCAAAGCTATTAAGACTCTTTTGATTAATTCGTTTTCTTCCGACCTGGACCAATCTCGCAGCATTTTACAAAATTTATTGTGTCTATTGTCAGAGTTTTTCAACTCTGATAGACGAGACAAGTATTCGTTGTTATCGGTCAAGTCCATTTTGAATTAAACTTTTGATAAAATTAACTTTCGCGACGACTAATTTCGAGTTTGACACTGAATACTGTACAATGTTTACTAAAAACCTCAAGCACGTGCTAGGCGTCACTACACTGCACTACAGAACTAAAGAAGTTGGACGCGTATAGAGGCATGACCGAACCGTGCATGTGTACGTGAATAAAATTTTTTTTGTCTTCGAGAGTCTCTAATATGTCAAAAAAAAAACTGTAACGTAGGCTTCTTCATCTGTGTGCCTATAGGCGCTGCGCAGCTGCATCGTGCTGGTAACGAGATGCATTGGAAATTAACATGTGGCACAAAATCTGTTACGTAGAAGAACTTTCTAATTTGAAATTCAATGTGAAATTTTGATGACTATGAAAATGATGAAAGTGAAGATGATACAGCTATTTCCGGGTTGCAGCGCATGAAAAATCGTATGCAGGCTTAAGCTGTGAAAGAAGAAATGTGCTAGAGCAGTTGTATTCTATTTCGAAGTCAGTAATCAGGGTGGTGTTATTATATTACTGCTCTACACGGCGAAAAAAATTGTCCCAGGGCACGCGTAATAAAATCGGCAAAGCCAAGTGAACTGAGGCTTCCTTTTTTCTTGGCTCAGGCCTGTTTAAGATTTGTATTATCCAATGGCATGGACATTGCATTTACCGCTTTGCACAGTGTCGAGAGAGAATAGTCCTTGTCGGGTCGGTAGCGTGAAAAAATCTACCAAGGTAAATCTTTTATTATGTTAGGCCTTATCAAACAAAATTTCAAAACTGAGAACACTTCGGTACCCTTTCCAAATTTTTTCCACCATCATCGGAGCTGAAAAAAGTATCAAACGCTCATTCAAATTCATAACAAATTTAAGTTAGAACGGGTTTAAATTTGGAAGGCAACGCATAAACCGATGAATTGATAAATTAATTGTAAACAATATGATCATTAACGAATTGAACATCGTCCCTCGATACACTGACCATGATTATAGTGAAAACAAATTAGTGTGAATATTGCCTCTCCCGACGAAACAAGCCTCAATACCAGAACATAAACTTTAATCATTTAATTTCTATAGCATCAAATAGAAGGATCTAACGTTTATTTTAGTCACCAAAATGGATAAAAGAAAACAGAAATCCGAGGAAATTGTCTCCAAGAAGGTTTCAGACGACAAAAAATACGTTTATGATATTTGTCGAGAGTCATTTGCACTAGAATCGAGCCTCATAA